GAATTGACATTTTTAGCCGATGACAGCTCAAATGTTTTTATTCTATTTATTTCTACATTATTACTATAGTTTAATCGTTCATTAAATCTTAAAAATTTTCTTTGACAAACTCCAAAAAGAATGATCAAAATCCGAGTAACCGTTTAGGATAAGTATCAAATCATACACTCGTACAGAAGAATTTTATATATATATACTAGCTGGCCCGGCAGAAGTTGGTTTGCCATAAAAAAATCAGTATAAAAAAAACTAATTGTTAATGTTGAAATATGTCGTATATAAGTGAAAGAGGCAGCTAACAATAATGATATAGATGGTTTACCCACCACAAAGCATGCCACATATAATTGTTCCTGAGGGGTTATTAAGCCAATTTCATTTAAATTGAATTGGCACATTTGAATATTTAAGGTTTCAATATATTATTACCTATTAATCAAATAATGCACGAATTGATCGATAATTTGATGCACCTGCTTTCATCAATGGTAAGCTTTTCATTACCTATATCTAAAAATTTTGAAAATGTTTCAGCGGATAATATAGTGGATACATTTAAACTGCCCAATAAGCTCAAAAAAAAACTTCGATTATTAAAATGATTATTACGTAATAAAACATGAATGTTTTTTAATTACAAAGAAAAACAAATTTAAAAATAAATAAAAACCCAAAAATAAGGCAATAAGACCCAAAAATAATAAATTAAGGATGGCCAATCCTTATCACTTAAATAGATGTTACCTGATTTTCTGATCCTCAATATAATATTATTAATATTTATAATAATTAAAATATGGATATAGAAAGGCAACAAATTCGAATGTAACAAATTTTCGACTTATGGTGGGACTCGAGACGAGGACTTTTACTTTGATTGACTTTTAAAGGCATAATAGAGAAAAAAAATAGTTCGATAGTTCGTGTAATAAAATTATTTACAAACCGAATCGAAGAAAGTAATACATTATGTTATCCTGAATAGGATTTCTTGTTCAAAAAATTTTACTGAACAAACTATAGAGATTCAAACACTTAAACACTGCCCTATATTGAAGAAATGCTAAAAACTTAAAATTTTATTATATATTCAATAATAAAATCTCGTCAAGACCACGTTTGTTATTTGAAAGTCTCAAATGTCGTTAAATTTTCAAAAATATTAGTTTTTTGTAATATCCAACGATCATTATCATAATAATTATTTTCATAAAATTTAGAGTTTTTTTTACAAAATTTGAAAATTCTACAAAATGCAGTTGGTATCATCAAATATACAACGAAAATCGACTGTTCTAATTGAACTAATTGAAATTTATTTGAAAGAAGTTTTCGTGTAAAATTCTAACTTTCATTACTAAAAGTCATTAATGTATTATTTGAAAAAGTTGTACTTGATATATTTATTAACATCACACAAAAATTTGGGTTAAGGACAACAAATTCTTGACTTTTTTACTTAAAAAGTGCAACACATAACGCGAGTAATGTAAATTTAGGATACGCAAAAAAAAACTTTTTTTGTTCAAAATGCTATAAATAAATTACTGATTATTTTCTCAAATTTCTTCTGGAGAATAATTTCATTCGAATGACGACTTGGGCTGGCCATTGAAAAAAAAAGAAAATGTAAAAAAAAGTTAGCTGGCACAATCTTTATGAGCCAATGAGAAATCAAGTTTGTGATTTAAATCCTATATTATAAATAATATGTATAAAATAGTTTAATTAATTATTTTCAAATGGCATACTATGCCAAAACGTACTACTATTTATAGTTTATAGTTTTATTTATACAGTATTATACGAGACTCAGAGATCCAAACAAATAGTCCGAAAAAAATCATACCGTTAAAAAATATTTCGAATACTAAAATATTTGAAAATTCTCATATACATTTAATAATAATTACAACTGAATATATATGAAAATTTTCTTTGTAATTTATGTTATTTAGTAATATTTTATATTAGTTTAGTAGTTTGACCAAATATGTAAATAACACGAGTCATTAAAAATATTAGGAAGTGAAATACTAACTTGCCTGAAATTTAATAGGAAACTTGTAAATAAATTATCTTGAAATTATTAAATTAATAATTTAATAAGTTTAATTAATTATTTAGTAATTTTTAATTCTATGATAGCGACTAAAAGTTTAGTTAAAATTATTATACAGGTTTCCTATTAAATTCAGGCTGTAGTTACGCCAAATATTGTAATCTGGTCAATGTAGAAGATGTAAATTGTGATCAAAGTTGTCTTATTGCAAAATTATTTCAAAAATCTTGAATATTTATTGTAATTCGTTAAAATATACTGCCAAATAAAAACAAATATTCTAGATGCGTTAAAAAAAGGTTGACAAAAAGTTGAATGTCGGGGTCACCAATTAGGAAAATTTGATTTAAATCGAAGTTGAATGTCGGGGTCACCAATTTGGTAAAATTCTTGCAAAAAATATAATTAAAAGTTGAGAAAAAAACAACATGGTAAATTTGATTTGATTCGATGTAAAATTGAATGTTGGGGTCACCAATTTGATAAATTTCTTGCAAGAATATAATTTAAAGTAAAAAAATTTTGAATAATGGGGTCACGAATATGGAAAATTTGATTTCAACTATTTGGTAATTTTTTTGCAGCAAATATATAAATAAAAGTTGAAAAAAAATTAATGTCGGGGTCACCAATATAATAGATTTGATTTGATTTAAAGATGAATGTCGGAGTCACCAATTTGGCAAATTCCTTGCAACAAATATAATAATTAAAAGTTAAAAACAGTTGAATGCCGGGGTCACTAATATAGTAAACTGAATTGAACATTTGTTAAATTTATTTACCAAAAATAATAAATACATATACAAATGTATGAAACTGTAAAAAATGATCGATTACAAAATATTGCGAAGTTATGACGCATTTTTCCTGTCTCTCAAAGCCAACCCCAACTTGTATCGTCACAAATATTATTAATTGTATTTGAAATCAAGATCAAAATTTTCATCAAATAATTATTTTGCAATAGTAGTTGTATTTGTAATTACGAATAAAAATTTGCTATATTTATTAAAGCTAGTTTGTTTAGCACAACATAGTACAATATAGTAAATTTGATTGTAAGTTAGACAACTTTGATACAATTAGTGTATAGATGCTCATTTAAATAATTATTAGCACTATCTAACACAACACAAAATTACAATTTTGTACATATCTATATCAATATCTCATATTTAAATTTTTCATGATCAAAAAAATGAGTACTGACGTCAAATGAAGTACTGACGATAACAAAAATATTAATATTAAAAATGTCAAAATAAAACTAATATAATAAAATATCATTAGGAGAGTATTTAGAAAATCGGAAGTACTATCGATAATAAAAATATTATTATTAATAATATCAAAATAAAATTAATATAATAACAAAATCAATAGGGAATTATTGAGGAAATCCGAAGTACTATCAATAACAAAAATATAATCATAATTGGAAATATTAATATAAAATTAACAAAATTAAAAAATTACGATCATGTATATTTTTAAATGGATTTTTCATATTAAAATTTTATCACCAAAAGATGATGTAGGTAACAAAAATTATTACAATTACAAATATTGTGTTGTGTTAGAAAGTGAAATTTGTAGGTAGTTTTAGTTATTAAATAAATGCTTTTGTAAAAAGTTCAGATGAGGTCAGAATGTCACATTCGATCTGCTGTGATAACAAATGAATTGTTGAAATAAATAAATTGAAATATAATGAAAGAGTTTTATTTGTCACTTATTAAAAGAAATAATGTGTATTTATTTGTTCACAATAATAACGCTGATGTATTTAGTTAAAAAAAATAATATAAAAGTTTAACTGTTTTCAATAAATAATTTATTTTATTTTAATTAGCTTTAGTTAACTTCCAAAAATTTAAAGTAAAGACTTTTGTCGACAAATTGATTCTAAGTAAGCCTTTAATCAAATCAACACTGAGTAAACTTACAATGAGTAGAACTCAAATATTATATATATTGGGGTGGCCCTTAATATGAACATTTACGAATTTATTTGCTCCCAAGGGCTCAAATGCTTCCAAAATGATTTTAAAAAATCCTCTAAAAATTGTAGCTCTTAGTATTAACATTTACATAGTCCGCAAGTCAATTAAAAGTTTGGTAGTTTTTTTTTTAACTTATATCATTAAGTGAATCTTGCGCCATCTGTTATAGGAGACTTGTAATTTTGATGGTAATTTATTACTGACAATTTGAGTGTAATGATCACCAATTAAATAGATATTTTGCTGCAAAATTAATTTTGATGCCATGATGAATAAATATTTCGTTAAACAGCACACGTGGATTTAATTAGGGGTTGTTAATTAAAAGTGTTTTGATAAACATTTTTAAGTGTCGTAATATTTGAGTTCACAAATGCTATCACAGATGGCGCAAGGATTTACTTAATGACATACGTTAATAATAAATATACGAAACTTTTAATTGAATTGCGTACTATCTAAATGTTGATATTAAGAGCTAAAACTTTTAGAGGATTTTTGTTAATTATTTTGGAAGCATTTGAGCCCTTAGGAGCAAAGAAATTCGCAAATGTATATAATAAGAACCACCCTAATATACAACAGTTTCTTTGAGTATTGATAAAGCTTTCCTGATATCAAATGAAATTGTTGAAGTCTTCGAGCCCATCAACAAAAAAATTCTAAAAAAATATAGTACCACTTTTGCACATATTTTATGCCTACAAACCTTGAAAGCTATCGTCATTAAAATTCATATTTCGTTGATAAATGATAAAACAACAATACTGTCTAACTAGACTTTGTTTTTCTTCCCTAACCTAGCAGAACTTTTCTTCCCCGAGACCAAATATCAAGAAATTATTGCTTCAACAATAAATAGAACGTCCTCATCATGAGACTCGAGTCTCATTTTTCCCAAAATTATGATGATAAAAAAATAAAAATCCTACCTTAACGGCAAATTTCCATCGAGAGCTTGTTGAATAGTTGGTGTCTGCGATAGTGCCAATCCTCGAGACAGCAAATTTCCATGCAAAAGTCTTGCAATCAAACTAACTTCTTCCGAATTTTCCATATCTGATTCGGATTCATCTAAAAAAAAAATAATACAATTATTAAAGGATAATCGAATATTTAAAATTACATTAAATATTGATTTTCTTAAATTAGTATTAAGTTAGAATTTATATGAACTCTCATATGAAGGGTTTTGTTTTCAAATAAACTATACACTAACTAGTTGGTATTGGTATTTTGCCTTGAGGCAAGTTACATGAACTTTCCGATATGTGTAAATAATCGACTTAATCAATAAAAAATAAATTAATTTATGATTAATTAAAAGTATTCCGAGTGGATTTATTACACATAATTGAAAACGAACGAACACGTTAACTCGGAGTATTCCCTAAAAGCAAATTTTCAAAAATCAATGTTTATAAATGAACCAGTTTCCGTAAGACTTTAATGATTTAGTATGTTCATTAAGACCAAGTACTCTATCGTTATACCAAGTAAATCGTCTAATTTTAATTTTAACAAACGCCAAAAAACTGCTACTTATTTTCTCAAACTTTGATAAATTTTCAAAATTAAACTACTTGTCGTAGGGCCGCAATATTTCAGTAAGTTCTATAAGACCATGATATATATCGCCAAAGAAAGTTCCATAAAAATCGGTTTAATTTTTTTTCAACAGTTAATTACAAGAAAACGGCTCGGTAGATTTTCACCTGAAACTAATCAGTATTCTTCCCAACTAAAATCATTCGAACAGTTTTTGATTTTTTAAAATCAATTCGGTAGTATGAGCTTAAATGTGATCAAAAAGTTCAACACTTTTTTCCGAATTATGAAGAAACGGCTCGGCAGATCGTGACACAAAACTGACATAGTCCCCATCGAGTTACTTCAAATGGCGTTTAATTTCTGAAGTCGGTTCAGGCGTTTTTGAGCAAACGTCGATGAAAAGTCTAATTTTGACAAACGCCAAAAAAAACGATACTAATTTTCGCAAACTTTGACTATTTTTTAAAATTAAACGATTTGTCGTAACATGAGCCGTAACATTTTAGTATGATCAACAAAACTATGGTACCTTAAAAAAATCATAAAAATCGTCAATTTTTTTTTTCAAAAAACTTTATTACAAGAAAACGGCTCGGCCGATCTTTACCAAAAACTAATCAGCACGATTCTCAACCAATATCTTTCGAACGGTCTTTGAATTTTCAAAATAGATTCAGAATTGCGGGCTAAAACGTGGACGAAAAATATTACACTTTTCTGCGATTTACAAAGAAACTGCTCGGCCGATCGTCGCACAAGACTGAGAAACGCTAGTCCTCATCGAGATACATCGAATGGCTTTTAAATTTTTGAAATCGATCCCGCCGTTTTTGAGAAAACGTCGATTTACATATAATATAACATAATATTTTAGTATGATCTACAAGACTATGGTATCTATAGCCAAAAAAAATTCGTCGATTCGAGAAAACGTCGATTTACGGCAAAATATACATACACATACATACATGCACACACATACATACACAAACACACACACGCACGTACGCACACACGCACGCACGTACGCACGCACACAACTTTTTTCCAATTTTGGTTTCATTCGATTCAGAATGTCTTGAAATGTCGAGAAAACATAAAATTAGCGAATCGGATTTTTTGATGAAAAAATAAACTTCTCCTTCGGGAAGTTAATATACTGTAAAAAAAATTAAACGCAAAAATAAATAAAAATAAGAAAAAATAAAAAAAAAATACTGCTAATAATTTTATTCTGAATCTAATATCCCAGCAATATACATATGCCTCTCTCTCTCTTTATATATATATATATATATATATATATATATATATATATATATATATATAATTTCTTCCTTTTTTTCCCTTGAATTTATATTAGAGCGTCCTACTTTTGGCACATCCCTCATAGACTGTTTGGCATTCTTAAGCCGTTTATAATCGACTTCAAGCCAAAAATTGCATGTTTAGATTCCAATATTAATCTCCAAAACTACCATTTGTAAAATATTGCTTAGACCATAGTTGAAATTATCCCCAGCAAGATTGACCATCTTGATATGTGTTGACTCTTCACTGATTATCTATTATGTAAAAATGCTTTTACATATTTATACAATATAAATGCATTGTAATAATATATGTTAGTATATTTAAGAAGATACGTGTGGTCATTTTGCTTCATGTTTTTGGTTAAGGGGCACAACTAATGTGAAATTTTCAAAAAATCGAATTTTTCCCTATTTCGATAGGTGATTAAAAATAACATACCAAAATCTTAGATCGCTATCTTAAATAGTTTTTGAGTCACAGCCATTTAAAGAGTATATATGGTATATAGTATAACGATCATTTTATCTTTAAACGCGTTTTTCTCGAAACGGCATTTTCCGAATTTGCTGCAGCGATTATTCAAAAACAAATGATCCGATCACTATCAAATTTGTTTTACATGTTTTACATATGAACTTTTGATCGGATCAAAAATCGAATTTTGGCAGTACCAAAACGACCAAAATTTTGGGTAAAATTCGACTTTTTGTTAAAAAACGCCGTCATTCTGTCAATTTTTGATTTGTTTTCTTTATCGTAGTCAATTTTACAGACAATATTATCTAGTTTAACGAGAATTTTTTTTATTTCATCCACGTAGAAGGCCGGAATCACAGCACCAGTTAAGGGTCTTTTTTTTTGTCGCGCCGTTGGAGATCGACGATAACTTAAAAAATATTTAATTTTTTTTTTCAAAAATTTCACTATGTATTCTTAAAACATGTGTAAATATATTCTTAAAATTTTGAAATGATTGATGAAGTAGTTTTTTTAATATAAATTCCCAAAAATCACCTTTTTTTTAGGCGGTTACACTAGTTGTGCCCTAATGCATTTGAGTGGTGTCGGTACGGTATATTTTTCCTCATACGGTGTCATTTTCCTTTTCTAAGTGGTTTAAAGTATATTTTAAGCCTAGAGTGTAATTTTTTTTTCTAAAATTTTACAGTGATGTAACCACTTAAGTTAGATTTTATACAATTTTAGGCCTAGAAAGTAATTTTTGGTTTTTCTAAAAATTTACAGTGGTGTAACCACATAAGTTAGATTTTATACAAGCTTATCTAAAGATTGCTTCAGAGGGAATTGTTTAATAAATTATTCACTAATTATAGATTATAAATAAACTAAAAAATAATTAAAATTATTAATACTGTAACATTGCTTTTCTAGGAAAAAATAAACATTTCCTACAATTTTTCTCTTCCTACATCACCATAAACTCTTTCGACGTCTTATATTTAAAAAATTATGTTTTATGTTTTTTTATTTAATAATTATTAATTATTATATATAATAATTATTAAATTATTTAAATAATTATAAAACTGATTAATACTTAATTTCATATTTCAAGTGAATTAATTTGTCATATCCTGTTCATATGTATATCATACAATCTGCCATACATATTCTGTATCTTATATTATTTCAATTTCTGGCACATCTCACCTGCTTTTTGGAAATAATAAGGTAGACATTTCATTTTTCTTATTCATAATCATAAATTTATTATAAATATTCTAATATTATTTAGGATCATAAGTAAATTGAAATTTTTGGCAGATGATAGTTTTCATTTGTTGCCAATGCAAACAATTGCATGACGTTTTTTTCATTTTTATTCATTTATTTTATATTATAGATTTCTACGATATTGCACATACATCCCAGTACTTATAATCACATACTTCCTAGAAAATTTCCTTAACAAACTTCAGAAAGATTTATCAAAATCCGCATAATCGTTTAAGAGGAGTATACAAAGGGTGCTTGTGATTTAATATGAACTTTATATAATAGCAATATAGCTCAAATTGATTCTACGTTTTAGTTAGAAAACGCTTGTATTTGAAAAAGAAAAAGTCTGCTTTTGGGGTTTTCCCGTCAATTATTAGTAGGGTAGTTATAGTAATGGGCCGAAAATCGAAAATGAAAATTTTAGCATTTCTCGACGTTTTGAAGGTTTCTGAACATTTTAGCATACCTCAGTGTGTGTGTTTTGTATGTCCGCATTTTTTCGTCCACGTTTTCGGGCGCACGAATCAACCGATTTGAATGGTATAAAAAACATTCGATTCCTATTGATAGAGAGATGTGCTGATTAGTTTTTTAGGCAAAGGCAGGTCCAGCCGTTACGGAGATAAAAAACAAAGAGTGCACAAAATGGAAATTGAGTTTTTGAGAGAACGGATTATCTGATTTGATAATCTAAAAAGCATTCAATTTGTAATGATTGGGAGAAGAGATGATTAGTTTTTGGCAAAGACAGGTCCCGCAATTTCGAAGATACAGAGCTAAATGTGCAAAAAATGGCAGTTTCTGAGTGAACTAAGCGTCCGATTTGAATGATCTAATAAACTTTCTGCTTGTATTGACAAAACAATTGCTTTTAAGGATAAAAAATTCCAACATCTTTTTTTATTTTCCATAAAATATTTTTGTAATTTTGGATTAAAAATTCAAAAAATCACCCAAGCTAAGCACAGTCTAAGCGCCACTCTGGTACAAATATTTTCGCAAGTGCGGTTAGACTGTTTAGAAGCACTTTTCCAATTTTGTGAGAAAACTGTGAAAATGTGAAAATGCCGCCAAGCTAAGCACAGTATAAGTGAAAATGTTGCATAGAATTATTTGCAAATGCGTTTAGACTGCGACTATAATGGAGCACTTTTTCAATTTTGTGTCATTTTGGGGCAACTATATTTTTGAAATTGAATTCAAAATGAAATGACGATTGTTAATGTTCTAGAGATAAATTGATTGATTTATGATTTACATTTGATTTGCTCAGATATAACAAACAAGATAATACAAAAATAATGAAAGTTACACTATTTGTAATAATATATTTGAAAACGTTTAAAATTTCTCGAATATTTCATTACGGTACGGGAAGTTCCAGCAATTTGCCTTAAGGCACAATGCCATACACCACTAGTTCGATTCTTTCTCGACGTAAAAACCATCCTTGGACTTCAACGAACATTTGAAAAAAAGAATTGGCTAAATTGGTCCAGGCGTTGTTGAGTTATGCGCTTACCAACACATTTTGCGATTCATTTTTATATGTTATATATATAAACAAAAAAGTGTACAAAAATATCGATGTCTAATAAAATCATCGACGAATCACAAAGAATTGAATTTTAATTGAATACACTAAATTATCAAGCAAAATCAAAACAATTATAACCACAACCGTAAACTTAGACAAAAAAATATCAATGAAAATGCTTTCCACCATCATTTATTAATTTTAATATTTCATCATATCTTACCAGAAACTGATGGTAAAACCAAATCCTTTCTAATCAGGCTGGCAGCACACATTCCACCCAAATGTGCCAATTCGTTCTCTAACAATTGCATACCGTTTGTTGAATGTGGCATTTCGTAACCAATAACTTGGCATTTATACCTAAGAATAAAATTTTAAATTAGAATAGAATTTTTATGATAAACTACTGAACTTCTATACTAATTTCTCAGGTTGTCAGATAGAAAACCTAACCCAAAAACCGCACAAATGTTAAAAAAAAAACGATGTTAGATAACAGGATCTTTCTGACTCAGCTTCACAACATACGAGTGACGTTGCAGTTTATGTGTGAAATTCCTGAACGCATAGCAATTACATGGATTTTGACAGTATTCAGTATGATTCAGTAGCATGATGCATGGAAGTTGAAGCGTAACATGGCCTTGCCATAACATCGGTTCCTTTATTTTTTACATACCCATAACTGTTCAATCTGTCGTCTTTCAAATAATTCGAAGCAGTCTCCATCGAGAATATGACTTCTCTTCCTGGTAGTATCACACCAGAAGCTGGCCATTGGGATGGACTGAAGAGAAATAAAAATAGAATATTTCATTATAAAGTAAATTGTTGAAATTTTATTACTAATTTTTTTTTATTTGCATAGATTTATTGCCGATCAAAATAATATACATTTTTTAAGACAATATGCTGGGTGTACATGCATTTAAGAGATTATACCCTTGCGATATCTCTTTTTTTAATATTTTGACATTTTATTTAAGATCGCATTTCGCCCATTTTTTTTTTCAATCTTCTGGTAGGAGATTCCTCGCTTAATTCTTTTAGATAATTTTTTGGGTGACCCGGTAATTTTTGGTGGAATTTTTATTACTAAATATTAGATAAATGATAATTATTATTATTGTTTAACTTTGAGCAAATTTTCCAAATATTTCCATATTATTGCCAAATGCCAAATCAAATGTATCATATTGGTGACCCCGACATGATGTCTATAAACAAAACATAAACAAAGTAGTGGCATCGTGCCTTAAGGCAAATTGCTATAACTTCCCGTACCAAAAATATACTTTTTAAAAAATATTCAATTTTCTTTTAGAAGTCATTTAGAGGTCACTTAAAAGTCATTTACAAGTCATTTAGAGGTCATTTAAAAGTCATTTAAAAGTCATTTAGAGGTCATTTAAAAGTCATTTAGAAGTCATTTACAAGTCATTTACATGTCATTTACAAGTCTTTCAAAAGTCATTTACAAGTCATTTACAAGTCTTTCAGAAGTCATTTACAAGTCATTTACAAGTCATTTACAAGTCTTTCAGAAGTCTTTCAGAACTCTTTTAGAAGTATTTTAGAAGTTTTTTAAAAGTCTCTTTTAGAACTCTTTTAGAAGTCTTTTAGAAGTCTTTTAGAACTTTTTTAGAACTCTGAAAAAACGGTTTTCGAGATTTTTAAGAATTTTGAAATAACTAAATCAAATATACCATATTAGTGACCCCAACATGATGTCTATAAACTAAACATTAAACTAGTGGTGTATGGCATCGTGCATTGAGGCAAATTGCTTCCCGTACCAAAAATAATTTTTTTAAAAAATATTCAATTTTCTTTTAGAAGTCTTTTAGAGCTATTTTAGAACTATTTTAGAACTATTTCAGAACTATTTCACAACTATTTTAGAACTATTTTAGAACTACTTTAGAACTACTTTAGAACTATTTTAGAACTATTTTAGAACTATTTTAGAACTATTTTAGAACTATTTTAGAACTCTTTTAGAACTCTTTTAGATCTCTTTTAGAACACTTTTAGAAGTCTTTTAGAAGTCTTTTAGAACTTTTTTAGAATTCTGAAAAAACGGTTTTTGAGATTTGGAGTCCTTATTTTTGGAATGGTTTTAAAAAAAATGTCAAAGAGAATAAAAAAGGTTACCATATATACATACACGTACAAATATGATTTCAAACGATTAAAAATGACTTGAAGCGTCGACAACATAAAATCAGAAAATCGGATTTTATGGTGACAATAAACTTTTGCTTCGCAATAAATAATAATATAAAATCGTTAACGTTTGTTTTCAACAAAAATCCTGAATCGATTTTGTAAATTTACAAATTATTGGAAATAATTTTGTTTATGTTAGGCGTCAAGCGATTCAGAATGACTCAAAACGTCTACATGACAAAAATTATTAAATCGGATTTTCTGGTCAATACAAATTTGTTTTTCGATAAGTTCATTAACTAGGGTAAGTTATAGTAACCGCAAAAAAATCGAAAACAATTTTTTTTATATATCTGTGGGGAATCAACAGGCTAGACATTCGGAAAAAACAATTATAACTTGTCATTTTATTTATCATAAAATTTTGATATTAATAAATAGTTTATATTTTCATCCAATGGATTTCATATTCTTATATTCATAACTACCCCCACATTAATGACCCACGACGTTTGAGATGAAGATAGAAAAGGAGTATTTTTTTGGGATTTAAAAAATATAGATTTTGATGCAGCGCCATAATCACTGGTCTTCCGTGACTACTTTTAAGGTACGTCCAGCCCTCGGTTCATCGTAGTTAACGCATTTACTACCTGACACCGGACTTCTGTTGGTATACCCATTTTAGAATTGGGTATACCAAATTTTATGATAAAAACAAAATGATGTCATTTTTTAGTTATCATAAAATTTTGTAATTACTAAATAGTTTATATTTTCATCCAATGGAGTTTATACTTTCATATTCATAACTACTCCCACACTGGTGACCCACGACGTTTGAGATGAAGACAGAGAAGAGAGCATTTTTTGGGATTTAAAAAATATAGATTTTGATGCAGCACAATAATCACTGGTCTTTCGTGACTACTTATAAGGTTCGCCCAGTCTTCGGTTCATCGTAGTTAACGCATTTACTATCTGATACCGGACTTCTGTTGGTATACCCATTTTGTATACACAAACCTCAGTGTTTATTGCTGACACAAAAATTTATTCTGAGCCTAGACATCGGGTCATGAATTGAATGCACTATCAAATGGTCATTTGAATCGTAATTCAACCTTTCCTTATCCGTTAACTCAACAAATCGTCTTTTGGTGCATAAGACTTAAGTCTGCATCTTGTCAAGTTGATGGCTCTTTAATCATATCATATCTGATCCGATGTATAATCCAAAGGGCTACAGAAGTCAAAAAGATCGTGGCGGAATCTTCGAAGTTCAACAAGACATCGAGGTTCAGGAAATTTACCACGTAATTTATATTCAGAACCATATGCAAAGTATGAAGATGATGGAAGGTCGAATTATCTGCCATACAGTGGATCTGCCGACAAAACTGTCATTTATTTCATTGAATGAACTACTAATTGACCAGTACATAACACTGCTATAATCTGCTTTTCCACCATATGTTTATAACGTATTTTCCTGTATTTTTTTTTTTAAACTATGAGGTCAACACTGGGCAGGAAGTGGACAAAACAATTAAAACTTGTCATTTTAATTATGATAAAATATTGTAATTAATAAATTGTTTATATTTTCATACAATGGATTTTATATTTTTATATACTTAACTATTTTCCACATATCTTTATAATTCAAATGTTTCTAAATATTTTGGCAAACATTAAAAAAATACATGTAGGTGTGTTAGGATTTGACTCCGCTTCAGAGAGGAGTTATATCCACTTAACAATTCTACAACTTCGACAATTTTGAAACATAATACTTATATATTAACACTTTGTTTTTTTGTTTTTTTTTAATTTCAATAAGTATTACAACTGTTAAATTATTAACATCAAGTAATATTGATAAATAATAACATAAATTTACATAAATTTAAACTTTAATAAATAAAAGTGCAAAGGATAAAATTTACATAAAAATAATATCCGTAATATGATTTGATATAAAATATAAGCAAATAATAATAAAAATAAAATTAATAAATAATATAAATAAAATTTCTGAATAATAAAATAATACTAGAAAAATAATAAAATATAACAAAATAATAATAATAGAAATAGTAAAATTATAATAATAATTTGGAAATAGTTTACAAATATTTCAAACATTTTTGTACATTTTATTATAATTACTATTTTATGCATTTCAATATGCTTACAAATCTCAAATTGACAAAAAACTTGGGAATCAAAATCAATTTTATAGAGAAAATATAGAATTCTTTGAATATGTTTATTTTTGTATAAAAATAATGCAGTGAACCTTAAGAACAAATCTTTGTGTATAATATTTTTCACAAAATAATGATACCTCAAATTCTTTTATTGTTTCCTTTTCGAGAATTAATTATACATCAGGTAGTTTGATTAGCATACTACTACTTTTTACAAATGATTACAAAATCATAATTGTGTAAAAGTTATAATAAAATACTTAATATTTTTTAGCTGGTTGTATACTATTGAAAGAGCTCATTTACGGAAAAACATTATCTATTCTAATTCACATTGTTCAATCATTTTCTTGCATAAAGAGATACTCATTTATTGGACAGAAGTAGTAAGATATGAAATAAAATTATAATAATTGTAATTTGCAAATTATGTTATAGCAATTACAATTTTAATTAGATTATCTTAAATTTAAAAAATTGGTTATTGGATTTATCTCAATTTCAATTACAATAGCCACTATTTTGCCTTAAGAATTGTGATAAATGTTTAATACTAGGGAATGCAATACCGGTATATCGGTATACCAAAATACCGGTAAACCGCTCGATTTTTTGGCGGTATTAATACCGGAATTTACCCTAAAAATACCGGTATTTTCGATATTTTTACACAAGCGCTTTTCGATACATATTGCACTCAAATTTAAATTTCTCGGAACAAATTTATATTTAAATTATACAAATATACAAAAACCGACATTTCAGAAAACCGGTTTTCAAATTTTAATTTTACTAAAAAACCGGTTTTCGTTTTTTATATAGAAAATACATTTTTGCTCGAATATTCTGTAATTTATCTGCAAATTTAGTTTTATTTAGAGCAGTATTTGACTGAAGTTACTTATTGTTCAATTTTATAGATAGTAAACAAAATTGTTTTAATTTTAATTAGTAGAACTAAAAAATAATAGTTTATCTTGATTAGATAACTTTGAAAATAATTATTCATTATTCATGTATCATTTTCACATATAAGAAAGGAAATATTTTTATGATAGTGAAAGGAAAGGTTTCGAATAAATAAAAATAATACATTTTTAAATGAAAAAATCATTGAATTAAATAAAATTAGATACATGTTGGTACATACTTGTTAATATTAATTTTAGTTTTAAAAACAATTAAGCTAAACTCGGGTATTGTCTGTTCCGAGCAATTTTAATTCATTAATTTTGAACATTCTAATTGTTTTTTCGTTTATTAAAATATGATTTCAAAAAACTGAGAACGTCTATCGAATTGCGACATAGACGTGTCCTTTGTTTACTCAGAAAATTTCCTGAAAAATTTTCTGAAAAAATCTCTCCATATGTAAGGTTGTCAAATATCTCCCTTCCGCCTTTTTGAGCAAAAAAGCGGAAGGGAGATATTTGACAACCTAATATGACAGAAATAAAATAAATCAAATATTTTTCTGTTTTTTTAACACTTCAATGGCGAAGTAGCTATAAGTAAGTAGCTTGAAGTGTTAAAAAATCAGCAAAAAAAACAGAAATTTTTTTGAATTATTTTATTTCTAGATCTCATTCGCTCAATTTAATATTGAAAATATTAATTATTAGAAAGAATGTGGTCAAGTACGAAGTGCTGTCATATATGGACAGATTTGATACTACGGCGAGAGCGAGAGCAAAGACTTTGAGGCGGCCGTACTCTCAAAATATCAATTTTACAAAAAAATAGTTTTCTAAAGAATTGTAGGAAATTTTATTAAAAGAGAATTATTTTCAAAAGAGATATTTTAAAAAAGCTGTTGTTTGACGCCATTTTTCCAATAAAGCGGCAACTTGCCGTTCAAATTTGAGGTGGCAAAGTTGATTTTCGTAAAGAGCACCTCGAAATCTATAAAATTACCAATTTTCAGAATTCCCGGAGTACTGTACCGGCAACAGCCTTTTTTTGCACCAAATGACTGGACTAAAATACCGGTATTAAAACTTTTATTCGGTATTGCATTCCCTAATTGATACAGGAAGAGCAGGAGGTGCAGGAATAGCAGGAGGTGCAGGAATAGCAGGAGGTGCAGGAATAGCAGGAGGTGCAGGATGACCAGGAGCTAAGGCTAGAGCCAGAAGTGGAGGAAGAGCTGGTGCTAGAACTAGAGCTGGAGGAAGAGCTGGTGCTAGAGCTAGAGCTGGAGCAGGTGCTAAGGCTAGAGCCAGAGCTGGAGGAAGAACTGGTGCTAGAGCTAGAGCTAGAGCTAGAGCTGGAGGAAGAGCTGGTGCTGGAGCTATCACTATCACTAGTATCTGAATCACTGTCAGAGCTGCTGTTATCTGAACTATTTGAACTTGAGGTGCTACTGTCCACTACTCGAGATTTATTCTTTGAATTTAACTTTTTTTTCAATCGCTTTGCACCATTTTTTCCACTCGGCCCTTGTTCATCTACTTGAGCTGGTAATTTGTTCATCTGATTTTTATTCTCCATATAACGAATTTTTTTACGAGGGGGTTCACTTCTAGAATCCCTATGTAAATATTTGCGTTTTCTTGTGCATTGATAACTCGAATGTCCATATTCCAAGCATTTCTGACAAAGAATCCATACTGGAAAAACGGCCGTCTCTGCAACTGCCATGCGTTTTTGTGCCATTCCACTGCTTCCAAATGTTTAACATGACATTTTATACATTGATTGTAACATTGATATTTTATAAAACTTATATTTACTTGCGTTCTAAGAGCTGAAATGCCAGAAAATCAACTTTGCTAATAAAACATTATCGGCAAAGCAATAAATATTATTAACTTCCCGTAGGGCAAGTTATAGTAATCGCAAAAAAATCGAAAATGAAAATTTTTATATATCTTTACGTTTCAGAGGTTTCTGAATATTTTGGCATACCTTAGAAAAAATGGATGTATGTGAGTGTGTGAGTGTGTGTGTGTATGTGTGTATGTGTATGTGTGTGTGTATGTGTGTGCAGATACAAATTTTCGTCGACGATTTCGGGAACACCGATCAACCGATTTGAATAATTCAAACAACATTCGATTCGTATTGACAAGGAGACGCGCTGATTAATTTTTGGCAAAGACAGGTCTAGCCGTTCCGAAGATACGGCGCAAAAAGTATCAAAAATGGTAACTCAGTTTTTAAGAGAACGGAGCGTCCGATTTTAATAATTCAAAAAACATTTTACTTGTATTGACAAGATGAAGAATTGGTCAATTTTCATAAAGGCAGGTCTAGCGGTTTCGGAGATCTAATGAAAAAAGTAAAAAAAAAAAAATGCCATTTAGCGGTCAAAAATGATCATTAGACATATGCACATCAAATTATCAGATATTTTATAGATATTTTAACAATAACTATAAATTTTGTTCACATTCCTACGGGTTCAGTACCAATGCTTATCCTTTAGACGGCGACGCGGCGCTTACGCGCTTTGACATTTCGTCTGTATGCAGTTAAAGCAGTACGATTGCTCAAATTTATAGTTTCTCAAAAATCTTATTTTTTCGAAGTAAATTTTTTTCAAAATGTTAATCGTTTTTAAAAAAAATAATAATTTTTGGTACGGAAAGTTCCACCAATTTGCCTTAAGGCACGATGCCATGCGCCCCACTACTAGTGGGCCACTAGTTTTGTGTTCATTTTGTATTAATATATTAATATACACTCGTAATTATATAAAATATATACTTCATTCAATTTTATATTTTTGTTCTTTTCTTGTGACAATTTTGTAATTTTGTTGCAAATACATTAATCCCGCGCTCAGTCTAAAAATATTTTGACTTAATTTTAGATCAGACCTTTATCAGAGTTTATGAGAAAGCCTCAATTTTATTAAAAAATGCAATTTATTTTTATCATGGCTTGTACGGCTGAAACATTTTTTTTTAATTTCGTTCTTGATTTTATTTTTTTTATGCGAAATAGAGAACTACAAACAACTCCAAATTTTTTTTTATTTTATAATAGTCATTTTAGTAGTCCAATCATTTTTTATATAGCTCGGTAATCGATCAATTCACTATTATCGCCTTTTTTGTGAACGTTTTTAATTGAAATTCGATCAATATTTTTCTGAGCATATAAAAAAGCTTAAACTTATCCACTTTATCTGCTGCAACATTTTAAAAATGACAACGAAATGGTTACCTCCGATAAAACTAACTGATTTGCAGGCTTATCCTATTGTACAAATATTTCTCGATGCGCTTAAGAAGTACATGGTTTTTGAATGTCTCACAAAAAGAAAAAAATTCAGCAAAAAAAATTAGAAATTTAATTTTAAAATCAGGAGATAAAACTGTTTTTGAGAGAAAACTGGAATTTTTTTCAGAGTACAATATAATTACAATATGAATGTTAGTATTTTAGCGTTGCAGTGGGTAAATTATCAATGTAATAATATTTATATATACATATTTATTATAATATATATATATATATATATATATATACACATATTTATTATATACATTCAGAATTAGTTAGTCATTTCTTATACTAATGATTTTCTAAAAATATTTTCTGTAGCTAAACGTTCGCCGGGTCATCTAGTATATAGATAGATATATATATATATATATATATATATATATATATATATATAAACTAGCAAACCCGACGAACTCCGTTTCGCCACCAGATGGTTTCGTGAGAAAGATGAAGAAATTTTTTGTTTGTTTTAAATTTGAAAAGAAAAAATTTGATTTTATTGCACAACAGTAATGAATTTATTTCGATTACAAAAATGAAGTGTTTTTTAGTTGAACTTCTCTAAGTAAATGAAAGTGAATCCGCAACTATTTGAAATTTATCCCGCAAACACTAAGCGATTGGCCTTGCAACTTGTTATTGTGAACTGGAAATTGCAATCGTTTGAAGTCAAACGGAAGACCAGTCGGAATCATTGGTATGTCACCAAATCGCCAGCAATTTTTGATCGAATCGTGAAATTCAGTGCGTGTACATCATTATACTTTGCTGCAAGAATTGTTCGTTGACTTAACCAAGCATAATTCTGATAATTCTCACTAATGTCATTACTCGAATTTTTAATTACGGTGCGTGAAGTTCCAGCAATTTGCATTAAGGCACGATGCCATGCACCACTAATTTTCTTATCTATAAACCTTGCGGAGCTCGAGACCTTTCCAACGAATGCAAAATTGTCGAAATCGGTTCGTGCGTTCTGGAGTTATTTCGTCAGGGAGGAAAACCCGACTTATTTTTATATATATAGAAGATTACGTGCGGCCCGCCAAAACATTTGAAAATGTAAATTGGCCCGTGGGCTAAAAAGGTTGCTCGCCCTTCTACAAGGTAGATTCATAATCTTTTTATTTTTTGCATTACCGATGGCTAGGGGGCCTGAAATCATGTCAAGACTGAGGTGCAAATTTTTTGAGACCACGCACTTCATCAGCTGTCAGTTTTTACAATTTTCAACTTTTTTATTTTTTAATTTTTGTTTTGTATTTTAATAATATTAATAAATAAGTGGTAAAAAAATGGATAGTAAAAACATTCAACGCTTTCTTTTACGTCACTTTAAAAATGACCTAAAATTCATCGCTCTACACTAGAATACCCCCTTAAGGGGCACAACTAGTGTGAAATTTCAAAAAAATCGATTTTTGTTTTTTTGCATATTTCGGTAGATTATACCTTTGAAAATAATATATGAAAATTTCAAATCGATATCTCAAATAGTTTTTGAGTTACAGCCATTTAAAAAGAATATAAATAGTATATAGTACAACGATCATTTTATCTTTAAACGCGTTTTTCTCGAAACAGCATTTTCCAAATTTGCTGCAGTGATTACTCAAAAACGAATGATCCGATCACTATCAAATTTTTTTTTCATGTTCTGTATATAGTTCTCCGTAAAATGTACTATCGATTTTTTGATCGGATCAAAAATCGAATTTTGGCAGTCGAAAAACGACCAAAATTTTGGGTAAAATTCGACTTTTTTTGAAAAAACGCCGCCATTTTGTCAATTTTTGATTTATTTTTTTCATCGTAGTTCATTTTACAGACAATATTATCTAGTTTAACGAGAATTATTTTTTTTTGATTTCATCCACTTAGAAGGCCGGAATCAATGCAGCAGTTAAGGGTCTTTTTCGTCGCGCCGTTGGAGATCAACGATAACTTGAAAAATATTTTATTTTTTTCTCCAAAAATTTTACAATGTATTCTTAAAACATGTATAAATATATTACTAAAATTTTGATAATGATTGATAAAGTAGTTTTTTTAATATAAATTCCCAAAAATCACCTTTTTTTTAGGCGGTTACACTAGTTGTGCCCCTTAAGGCATGATACCACTAGTTTATTACTATTAGTACTTACATGTTGCTCATCTTATGCAAAGCAGGCCAATACGGTTGATCATTCTTATCATTCTCCTGCTGTCCAGCTTGATTAACATCGATAACCTCATTAGCACTAAAATACTTGTCCTTATCCTTATCATCCTGGACGACATCAGGTTCCTGCACAGTATCATCTTTCTGGCTTCCCGAATAAAATTCCTTCGGAATAAACAACTCTAGTGTGTCTTCAGGCTGAACAGTTCCACATTTAGGATCGAATTCTAACACCATCCATTTGACTCCTGATGGAAATCTGATTCGATAATTCACGATGCAACTGGGTTTGTAAGGATGTTCCGATTCGACCAGGGCATAATGAGTGCCTGTCGAGGTGCTGCTGGTGGTTTGTGATGATTGGTGGCTGGTTGCCATGTCCTCCGGTTTGGTGTCGTTGGAGGACAGTAGATTCAGGGCTGATACGTGGGGTAAGAGCTCTTGGATTAGAGATAAGACTTGGACGCTGCTCTGTAATAAGAAAATATTTCACGTTAATAAAGCTTGAAGCACTATAAGCGGGGCGGGTAAAAATACCTGACTATAGGCTTAGGCAGGTTTGAATATCACCAACTTTAAAATCTGTTTACGTATGACAGCGGTCGGAAAACTTTTTTAATCATTACCCCAAAATATTTTTGTCTAAGCTGATACTACCCCCATGGCAAAGAGAGATTTGCCCCCATACGGACAACTACGTAGCAAATAGAGTGAATATCAATTAAAAATACATTTTTTTAACCCAAAAAAGTCCAATTTCACCCCATTTGGGGTAATTCACCCCGGTTCCCCGACCACTGACATATGATATTAAAAGATTTTGAGCTGGTAGTTTTTGTATAAATTCAATTGATTTAGTTTTAATACATTAGTATATTTTTTATTTTGATAATTAGCGATATGTGAATTTAGGACGCTTTTAAAACGACTTAAAATTTTTATTCCAAATATTTTAATCTGTATATATTATTGAAAAATGACTTCAAGCAAAGCAAAGCAAATTCAGATACAGTAGAAGTCCTTTAGTCCTTTAGGACTATCAAGCGATAATTATAAAAACAAGTAGGTTAATAATCAAGCTACAAAATCAGTAGAAAATACAAGAAATTTATTTTATATTTAATACAATATATATAATTATATTTTTAAGTTGCCAATAAGTTATCAAAACAAGATCACTGCACATTCAGGTGGTTAAATCTACTGATGTATCTATATTGTGCTGCTGTATTTATTAGAATAGCTTAAAAAATGCCAGAATTCCAAACAAACTCCATAGAAGAGAAAAGTCTGACTTGTTTCTAAGGAACGTAAAAAGGAACTCTGATATTTTTAGAAAAAATAAACTCTACTGACGAGCAAATTCTGACATTTTTAAAAGTAAAAGTAACATCATGGAAGAAAAAATTCTGACTTTTTTTTTAAATAACAAGGAAACTCTACTAACGAACAAATTCTCATATTTTTACGAAAAAAACTCCATCGACGAGCTAATTTAAAGTTTTTTTTTTAAATAAAGAACTCAACTGACGAGCGATTTCCTACAACTCTACAGACGAGTAAATTTTGATATCTGTTTATTGGAAAAAAGGAAACTCTAATGACAACAGACCTCAGCTGAAGTTCAAGTTCTGACTTTTTTTAAAAAAAAGAAAAGGAACACTACTAATGAGCGAATTCTGACATTTTTACAACAAAGAAAGTATAACGATTTTTTTTTTTTTTAATTTTTATTTTCAATAGCAATCAGAATACATGACCAAGTATATCCATGAGAAAATTCTTTCATTTTTAATCAAACGAGCAAATTCTGGCATTTTTTTAAAAAATGGGAACTTTATTAATGAGCTTAATCTAGCACTTTTAGAGGAAAAGAACTCTACTGACTAGCAAATATACCGACGACCAAATTCTGTCATTTTTACGAAAAAAGGGAATTCTACTGAAGAGGAACTCTTGAAATTTTTTAAAATAAAAAACTCTACTCACGAGAATATTCTAGCACTTTTAGAAAGAGGGAGCTTTATTGACGAGCAAATTTTGACATTTTTAGAAAAATGGAACTCTACTGATGAGCGAATCCGCATAACAGACCAATATTATGGTAAGGCTATGTTATGTAATGCAGTGCAATCAAGCGTATTTCTCAGGTTGTCAGATAGAGAACCTAAACTAGAAAACGCACAAATGTCAAAAAAACGATATTAGATAACAGGATCTTTCTGACTCAGGTTCATAACACACGAGTGACGGTGCAGTTTATGTGTAAAACTGTAGCATAATCTATGGAAGTTGGAACGCAACATGGCCTTGCCATAACATTTTTCTGTCCCTTTGTTTCATAATACAAAACCATTTGCTTTTGATTTAAATTTCCACATGCACAATTTAAATATAAAACTAATAAATTATTATTATTACTTACCCTTGCGTCTCCGAGTAGTGGCACAACATGTGCGAAAACAAGTGGCATCAGAGTATTTATCAGGCTAGACTCGCCCAATCTACTACAAAGTTCCTGTACGGAATCATCGGAGCCACCGGCGGTAGTTGAAGGGCTTTTATCACTCTCCAAATCGTTGTTGCAATCAAGATTGTTATCCAATTTACCAATTAGATCTCTCGATTCTACGAGCAAATATCGGCAACAATTTGATATAGTCGTAATCATTTCGAGAGTGGATTTTCTCGCTTGTCGCTCTATTACTGAGCGGCTTGTCTGGATGGTGTCAGTATCGGTAGGATTGCTAGAAAAAAATATAAGATAAATATTAATAAAGTTAATACTAAACTAGTAGTTGAAAGTGGCATTTTGCCTTGAAGGGTTATATACACAAAAAATGGATTTTTGAAGTAAAACTTCTTTAGGCGCGATATGGGTGTAAAAACTTCTTTAGGCGCGACACGGGTTAGCAGTATAATTTGTGAGTTAATAAAAATGTCAGGATCGGAAGAATATTTTATCCCGTCCCCCATAAATAATTTCAGTGCAAATGATCGCAAATAAATAATGAAACAAAGGAAAAATCTGCGCTGCGTAAGAAATGATAGCTTTGGCTATGTATGTTCTGTGTGTGATCGACTTTGGCTTCAAAGTGACTTAGAAATATCAAATGATGCTCAAAAACAAATTCTTAATAATGTTGTTTGAATATTGATTTAAATAATCAGGTTGGATGTCAAAAGATATTAAATTCGGGTAAAATTCCCACTTTGTGTAAGTTTAACGGGTTTGTATTTCCACCTATACCAAATTATCTACCTAAACTATATACTGTATCTGAAAGGTTAATTTCACCTAGGTTGTGTTTCATGCAAATTAGACGATTGCGACATGCAAATGGACAATTTGGAATGTTTGGCCAAATTATAAATGTGCCTGTTGACATTAATAATATGGTTAATTTATTACCTCGTAATATTGATGATGATCATTGCATTAACGTTCACATAAAAAAGCAAATGATTCATAGATCAAGCTATGTGCAGGGCTTGATAAACAAAACAAATATAAAAGTATGGCTTCAATTTGTTAGGCAAGACGGATATTACGGTAAATATTATACATATTTTTAATGTAATCATAAATATATAATTTATAATTTATCATTTTATAAATGTGTATAATTGACGACACTAATAAATGTATGCATCACGAGTGTTTGCACTAATAAACTTTATTCAAAATTTTTATATGATGTATTTATTTTTACTCAATTTAAATTTGCTACAATATAATTGCAAATAAGTTTTACTTCAATCGCGTGTGATCCTTACGCGCAATCTTTTTTTTTAAATTATATTTTCTGGGTGTACATTTATTTAAGAATACACACAAAAAAATCGTATCATTCTGGTGAATATTTTCCAAATGCACGCAAATTTGAAAAGAAAAACACAGACGGAAGAAAGAAGTTAGTAATCCGGTGAAAAAATTAAAAAAAAAACAGAGAAAAACCTGGTTACATGTTATTAGACTGTTTAGTATTGCATTCTAAATTTTATAACAGTGTTTAAAGCAATTTCTGAATATGTGAAATGTAACATGTGAAAATTGTTCCAACCTGCATATTTCATTATGAATTACTATTAAATTGTATGAAGGCAATATAAATTACAATTTGGGCTCAATACGCATTTCAAGGCCTAAAAAGAGGATGAGCACTGCGAGATAGTTTCAAATCAATTAAGGTCAAATTTTTAGCAAAAAAGCGATTTTTTTTTCAAGAAACCGCCATTTTGTAGAAAATTATTATTTTGCTCATTGCTTCGATTAATTACTAAATTTATGATTACTTTATTGAAATCTTTTTGGATTTATAAATTCAGATGATTTTCTCCAGAGATAGAATGATCACCGCAAAACGTGTTTTTCGACAGACGCTTTCGCAGATCTGCTGTAACTTTTTTTAATAAATATTTTTACCTGTAATTATTTTTGAAAAATAGTTAAAAGATGCTTTTATATAAATATAAATTTCTGTATTGATACATTAACAGTTTTTAGAGGGAAAAATATAGAAAAATGGCTTTTTGTAAGTGTATATAACCCCAAGTTGCATGAACTTCTCGAAATGTGTAATAATTGACCGAATCAACCAAAATTGAGATTTAGATATTAAGATAAACTTTTCAACTACACGATTACATATATCATGTACGTAGTCCTTGATATTATTTGATGAATTAAATTAATAGTAACTTTTTTGCACAACTAAAGAAGTTTTGTAGACTTATTTTTATGCTGATACCCAAAAAAGACTTTTAAATTTGTGATATTCAAATTTTGACTCAACACATCACATAAGCGACTTATGACACAAATTTTGACTATTATACCTTTTCAAACTTTCATGATATTTTAAAATTAAACTACTTGCCGCAGGGCCGTAAAATTTTAGTATGTTCTTTAGAATCATGATATCTATTAAAATAAAAAAACTTAATCGAAAAAAATTTCAATAGTTAGTTAGGAAGAAACGGTTCGGCAGAACTTTGTCCAAACTAAAAATTTTTCACTTTTCTGATATTTACGAAGAAACGGCTTGGCCGATCTTCGCGCAAAACTGGCAAACGCTAGTCCTCATCGAGATACATCGAATGGGTTTTAAATTTTTGAAATCGGTGCAGCCGTTTTTTAGAAAACGTCGATTTACGGCAAAAAATCTGTTCACACACACACACACACACACACACACTCATACATACTTTTCCCTTAAATTTGTTCTCATTCGATTCAGAATGGCTTGAAACGTCGAGAAAACATAAAATTAGCGAATCGGATTTTTTTATAAACCTCTCCTCCGGGAAGTTAATTAATTTGGAAAGTAATAGATTTCAGGGATGATATACCAGCGGGTAGAAATCCGAACAAAATTGGAAGTGTTGCGGACACATTCATAATTATTGAAATATATGTCTTTATTATTATTATTATTAAGTAATAGATTATTTTCTTACTAACCTATAATACAGCAGCGATGGTATCTGTCCTCGAACCTGTGTGGTTCCATTAAAACTTAACGAGCAAGTAGAAAAATGAAAAGTGGCACCACAAGGTCCCACAACTGTCGTGATACCTGCATCACCGTTATTGGTGCGTCCACCATGATTTCGGAGCCTAATGGCATATTTCTTTCCCACCTATAATAATAATATAATTAGAAATGAAATTTAAACTATATCAATTTCTTACCGGTTTTACCTTGATTGGTACAGAATAATAATATAATTAGAAACATAATTCAAACTATATCAATTTCTTACCGGTTTTACCCTGATTGGTACAGAATAATAATATAATTAGAAATGAAATTTAAACTATGTCAATTTTTTTTACTAATTTTATTACCTTGAGTGGTACAGCCTTCTCGAACAATATATCAGCCAACTCTCTCTTTGAATAATCTTCAGGACCGATCGTTCCTTTTACGAATTCCAAAGTGTGCCATCTGTGGGTCACGTAAGGTCTGCCCGAATTGGTGGGTGACTCGTTGTCCTAAAGGATAAAATTTGTATGTACAAAAGGACAAAATTTAATTTTTTTTTGAAAATGTTGAAAAATTTTGAAAGTTTGAATTTTTTTAAACTTTAATTCTATTTGAAAGTTTTGAATTTTTTTTGAAAATTTTCAAAATTACAAAATTTGTTGTAAAAGCATTTTTTGCACACCGCAAGCAAAAGGTTTTTTGAATTAATCTAATCGGACGACCCGTTCTCTCATAAACTGCATGACTATTTTCTCATACATTGAAACATGTGGAATACCTTTTGTCTATACGTGTATGTGTGTATATGTGTTTATGTGTGTGTGCGGATACAAATTTTCGTCGACGATTTCGGGAACACCGATCAACCGATTTGAATAATTCAAAAAACATTCGATTCGTATTGATAAGGACACGTGCTGATTAGTTTTTGGCAAAGGCAGGCGAAACTGTTTCGGAGATACGGAGCAAAGAGTACCAGAAACAGTAACTCAGTTTTAAAAACAACGAAGCTTCCGATTTCAATAATTCAACAAACATTTGACGTAATAAAGCACTGATAAAACTTTTGGAAAAGCAGGTCTAGCGGTTTCGGAGATCCAATAAAAAAGTGAAAAAATGCCATTTGGCGGACAAAAATGATCATTAGATATATGCTCATCTAATTATCACATATTTTATAGATATTTTAATAATAAGAATAAATTTTGTTTACTTTTGATATTTCGTTTCAACGCAGCTAATGTATCACTTTGAAAAAAATTCAAAATATCCAAAATATTTCAAAGTAAAAAAAAATCTAATTTTTTCAAAAAATAATTTTTTTGTAATAATTTTGAAAATCTAAAATATATCTTTTTTCAGAGTTCAGAGTTCAGAGAAAAGAAAATTGAATCTTTTTTAAAATTTTAATTTTTGGTACGGAAAGTTGCAGCAATTTGCCTTAAGGCACGATGCCACGCACCACTAGTTAATTTTTTAAATTCAAGAGTTAGTAAGGTCTCATTACATTATTCAAATTATATATTACACTATGCAATTTTGCTTGAAGAATTTAATAATAGAACTTTGGAAATACCTACAATTAAAACCAAATTTGTTTCAGAATATCGAAAATAATAAATGAATTTGCTTTTGAATATAAAAAATCGAGCAAGAAAAATTATCCTTAAATGACTGTTTAAAGTAGTTATTTATAGTTTATTAAATGTTTATTACTATTAGTTTTTATTCAGTGTTAAATATTTGTAGTTTATATTAGGTGTTATGTATATATATATACAAAGATATCTATGAACTCTTAATACTCAAATTTTCTCATATATTATCTTTAGTTTATAATTTGTACACTTGTAATTATATTGTATCATTGCCTTGTGCGTTGAATAAATAAATAAACTAGCTGTAATTCTGTCTTGAGGCAATTATGGCATCGTGCCTTAAGGCAAATTGCTGGAACTTCCCGTACCGTAACAAAATGTTCGAGGAATACTAAATGTTTCTGAAATATTTTCGATATACAAAAAACTAAAAAAAAAAAATGGAACAAAATTTTTTTTCCAAAATCAATTATTTTATTAAGACAAGCAGAAAGTTCTTTGAATCATTTAAATCGGACGCTTAGTTCTCTCAAAAACTGCCATTTTTTACATATTTAGCTCCGTATCTTCAAAATGGCTGGGTCTGCCTTTGCCAAAAACTAATAAACACTTCTCCCAATCATTACTAATTGAATATTTTTAGATCATTCAAATCGGATACTCTGTTCTCTCAAAAACTCGATTTCTATTTTCTGCACTCTTTGCTCCGTATCTCCGAAACGGCTGGACCTGCCTTCGCCAAAAACTAATTAGCTCTTTTCCCTATCAATAGGAATCGAATGTTTTTTGAACCATTCAAATCGGTTAATCCGTGCGCCCGAAAACGTGACTGGAAATTTGTATCCACACATACATACCCCCCCCCACACACACACACACTTCTGAAGTATGCCAAAATATTTAGAAACCTTCAAAACGTCGAGAAATGTAAAAAATTTCAATTCCGATTTTCGGCCCATTACAATAACTTACCCTACGGAAAGTTAATAAATTTGTATTATAATAATTGATGAATTCTACTTACAAAATGTAATATCTCGAGTTCGTAATCATAGCATCCGGATCCTCCATAAATCACAGCCCCTACGGCAGAGAGACCAGGACGATCGACCGTGAAGCAAATGGCTTCGGGTGCACCATTTCCTGTATTCCAGGTTCTTGTCTGGTTGCATCTGGTGAAACGGGATGGGGTGCAGAGTGGTGCTCGGCCGCAGGCTCCTATCAAATCCTCCTAAAGAGAAAAAAAATATAAACTTGTAGTGGATCACTTATTAAAACTTGATCAAACATTTTGATGAAGATCTAGGTCGTCTTTGTCTATTAAATTTAAATAAAGTATAAATATAAAAGAACCATGTCTTGGTTTGCAGTCAAAAATTTTGAATTAACTAAAACTTGAACTGCTTTAAAATAAATAAAACCTAGTGGTGTATGACATCGTGCCTTAAGGCAAACTTCCCGTACCATAATGAAATATTCGAGAACTTTAAACGTTTTCAAATGTATTATTACAAATACTGTAACTTTCTATAATTTTGCTATGTTGTTATATTTGAGCAAATCAAATGTAAATCATAAATCAATTCATCTCCAGAACATTAACAATCGTCATTTCATTTCGAGTTCAATTTCAAAAAAAAAAATGTTGTCTAATTTACAAATTGAAAAAGTGCTCCCGTATAGTCACAGTCTAAACACATTTGCAAATAATTCTGTGAGACATTTTCACTTATACTGTGCTTAGCTTGGCGGCATTTTCACATTTTTCAATAGTTTTCACCAAATTGGAAAAGTGCTCCAGTACATAAACAGTCTAAACGCACTTGGGTAAACATTTGTACCAGAGTAGCGCTTAGACTGTGCTTAGCTAGCCTGGGTAATTTTTTGAATTTTTAAACCAAAATTACAAAAATATTTTATAGAAAATAAAACTAATGGGGCGCATGGCATCGTGTCTTAAGGCAAATTGCTGGAACTTCCCGTACCAAAAATTATTATTTTTTAAAAAAACGATTAGCATTTTTGAAAAAATGTTGCTTCGAAAAAATTAGATTTTTGAGAAACTATAAATTTAACAAATAAATTAATTTTTTTTGAAAAAAAAAATTATTATTGAAAAAAAAAATTTCTTTTGACCTATTTTGCAAATTCTGAACTTTTTTTCAAAGCAAACGTACTGCTTTAACAGCATAGAGACGAAATGTCAAAGCGCCGCGTCGCCGCCTAACGGATAAACATTGGTACGGAACCCATAGGAATGTAAATAAAATTTATACTTATTGTTAAAATCTCTATAAAATATCTGATAATTTGATGTGCATATGTCTAATGATCATTTTTGACCGCCAGATGTCATTTTTTTTACTTTTTTCATTAGATCTCCGAAACCGCTAGACCTACCTTTATAAAAATTTGATCAATTCTTCACCTTGTCAATACAAGTAAATTATTAAAATCAGACGCACTGTTCTCTTAAAAACTGAGTTACCATTTTTGGAACTTTTTGTCCCGTATCTTCGGAACGGCTAGACCTGCCTTTGCTAAAAACTAATCAGCACATCTCCCTATCAATAGGGATCGAATGTTTTTTAAACCATTCAAATCGGTTGATCCGTGCGCCCGAAAACGTGGACGAAAAAATGCAGACATACAAAACACACACACACACACATCCATTAGTTTTCTGAGGTATGCCCTTTAAAAATGTTCAGAAACCTTCAAAACGTCGAGAAATGCAAAAATTTTCATTTTCAATTTTCGACCCATTACTATAACTACCCCATCGGAAGTTAATTTATTAAAACTTGAGCTGCTTGAAAAAATAAAAGTGTTTCTCTAAATCTTTGCAGTACATTCTAAGTGGAAAACATTGAAAAATGGCATTACTTGATGATTACGTTGATATAATTTTTGAAAACTGATTTATTATTACAGTCAAGTAGTCCATTAAATATTTCTACTTACATCTGTCCCAGTGCACTGATAAGCCAATTCGGCAACAACTCGTGCAAGCAAATGGCAACTATTCTTGACCAGACCAGAATCGCGGTCCAGGCCGGCACCAGAACCTAATTTCTTGCTTGTGATGCTGGTTCTAGATTTATTTCCTTCGCCTGACAATTGTAGAGAATTTGGTGGTTGTATCGGTTGAATCTCATTGCAATTGGAATTCATAGCCGGATCGTTAGAGTTATTCATACCTGTGGAAATTATGAGTTATATGTTATAAACATAAAACGTTATTATAACTATAATTTCCTACCTATATTTTCAATATAATTGCTCCTCTTCTGAAACTCAGACATTTGTTGTTGTGTCATCGATCTGATGGGTTGTTGGACAGTTCTGATATTCTGGTTTTCACCGATAATACCAATGGTCTGTCGCTTTTGTTTTACTAAGTCAAGAATCATTCGCTTAACTGGTAAAGTTACAATGTCCAGTAATCTGTCCAGGACGTCTTTGAATTGCCAGCCTACGAAGTCGTTCTTCTCCAACTTAAAAAAAAAGAAAAAAATATTGTTGAAATAGTAAATAATTGATACTTTATATTTAATTATTTACCATTATTTAAAACTATGATATTGTTATGAAGGAAATGAAAACATTGTAAAGAAAATGAAAAGTATTTTATTACAAATTGTTTTTCTCTAACTGTAAATAAAATTTAAACTAGCTGTAAGTGGAATTCTGCCTTGAGGCAATTATGGCATCGTGCCTTAAGGCAAATTGCTGGAACTTCCCGTACCGTAACGAAATGTTCGAGGAATACTGAATGTTTTCAAATAGATTATTATAAATATTGTAACATTGTCTAATATTTATAAGAATTATATAAACTGAATTGCAGAGTTGAAATTATTTGTAAAGTATATTAGAACTATAGTCAAAATTAAAATTAAAATCTGAAATATTTTCGATATACAAAAAACTAAAAAAAAAAAATGGAACAATTTTTTTTTCCAAAATCAATTATTTTGTTAAGACAAGCAGAAAGTTCTTTGAATAATTCAAATCGGACGCTTAGTTCTCTCAAAAACTGCCATTTTTTACATATTTAGCTCCGTATCTTCAAAATGGCTGAGCCTGCCTTTGCCAAAAACTAATAAACACTTCTCCCAATCATTACTAATTGAATGTTTTTTAGATCATTCAAATCGGATACTCCGTTCTCTCAAAAATTCGATTTCTATTTTCTGCACTCTTTGCTCTGTATCTCCAAAACGGCTGGACCTGCCTTTGCAAAAAACTAATCAGCTCTTTTCCCTATCAATAGGAATCGAATGTTTTTTGAACCATTCAAATCGGTTGATCCGTGCGCCCGAAAACGTGACTGGAAATTTGTATCCATACATACATACACACACACACACATCCATTTTTTCTGAGGTATGCCAAAACGTTCAGAAACCTTCAAAACGTCGAGAAATGTAAAAATTTTCAATTCCGATTTTCGGCTCATTACAATAACTTACCCTACGGGAAGTTAAAAATTGAATATTGTCGAAATACTATTTAGAATTATTACTTGTTTTCTTATATTAATTTATATTTAATTTATTTTAAAAATTTATAATTATGAAGTTATAATATATACAATAATGTATGCTATAAAATAAAATAATGGAAAGAAAATGAAAAAAATATTATTATTGATTAGGTTTGCTGATGTATAAATCTTTTTTATTGAAATTATAACTAGCAATCAAAATAATATAATTTTAACAGCTATTAAGAAGTTAATCATTTAAATAATTAAATAATATTTATACTAACATGACTTCTGTAAGACATCTGTTCGACCAGTATCGGATAATGATGTCCATCGATTCCAGTAACCATGGGCAAACCAGCATTGTCCGAAGGACTCAATTTTGACTGAAAAATAAATATGAATAAATATTAAAACTAGTTGTAAGTGGTATTTTGCCTTAAGGCAAGTTGCATGAACTAAATAAGAATTGAGATTTATGTATATTTTTTTCCTTTGTACATTTTTCTAAAAAGTGTGTATGTAGTATATTAAATTCCATACAAATACTCTAATTCTCCAGCATCTCGCGTAGTAAGTATCGATGAAATCTCATTATGGAATGTAGTATAATGCTGAACAAACTCAAGTTCTACACTTGTTTCCATACAAAATTTAAATTTTCAAAGCATTACTCTGTATCAAAGACAATCTAATCATGCATAATTTGCGAATCTATTGTTGGTCTGTTACTGTTACTGTTTTTATTATTATAAATAACCAAATAAATATTTCAAAACCTTTGCAATGTTAGTATTATAAGACTGGCATGTTCAAAATATTACAACCAGAGAAACTTATATTTTTTTCAAATTAAGAGATAACTAGTGGGGTGGGTGGCATCGTGCCTTAAGGCAAATTGCTGGAACTTCCCGTACCGTAACGAAATGTTCGAGGAATACTGAATGTTTTCAAATAGATTATTATAAATATTATAACATTGTCTAATATTTATAAGAATTATATAAACTGAATTGCAAAGTTGAAATTATTTGTTTCAACAAAAACCTAAAAAAAAAAAAAAAAAAAAAATGGAGCAAAAATTTTTTTTTCCAAAATCAATTATTTTGTTAAGACAAGCAGAAAGTTTTTTGAATCATTCAAATCGGACGCTTAATTCTCTCAAAAACTGCCATTTTTTACATATTTAGCTCCGTATCTTCGAAATGGCTGGGCCTGCCTTTGCCAAAAACAAATAAACACTTCTCCCAATCATTACTAATTGAATGTTTTATAGATCATTCAAATCGGATACTCCGTTCTCTCAAAAATTCGATTTCTATTTTCCGCACTCTTTGCTCCGTATCTCCGAAACGGCTGGACCTGCCCTTGCCAAAAACTAATCAGCTCTTTTCCCCATCAATAGGAATCGAATGTTTTTTGAACCATTCAAATCGGTTGATCCGTGCGCCCTAAAACGTGACTGGAAATTTGTATCCACACATACATACACACACACACACATACACACACACACACACACACACACATCCATTTTTTCTGAGGTATGCCAAAACGTTCAGAAACCTTCAAAACGTCGAGAAATGTAAAAATTTTCAATTCCGATTTTCGGCCCATTACAATAACTTACCCTACGGGAAGTTAATAAAAGCTTCTGGTAAACTGTACACTAAATACTGTAAAGATAACTTGGGTAATCTTCATGACCAACGTGTTTCAAATCATAAATTCAAAAAATTTATATCATTTAGAAACTCCTACTTCCTAACTTAATAACTGCATGCATTTTATTCTTCGGCCTTCCAATTATAATCGCAACTGCCGAAATAAATTTTTCGAAATATCATAATAACAAGATATCATCACTTAATAAATCAGTTTTTGAAAAAAAAAATGCAAGGAGAGTGAATATATGTTTAGAGTCATTTGTAAAAATTTCTGGAAATTTGCAGATGGATAAGGCTAAATAATTTTTTTTTTTAAATTTTAGGCATTTTTTATAATAGGTTGTCAAATATCTCCCTTCCGCCTTTTTGTATTATAAACCAAGAGCAAAAAAGCGGAAGGGAAATATTTGACAACCTATTATAAAAAATGCCTAAAATTAAAAAAAAAAATATTTATTTAGCCTTATCCATCTGCAAATTTCCCAATATTTTTACAAATGATTCCAAACATAAATTGACTCTCTTTACGTTTTTTTTTTCAAAAAACTGATAAGTGATGATATCTTGTTATTATGTTATTTCGAAAAATTTATTTCGACAGTTGCGATTGTAACAAGATATCATCACTTAAATCAGTTTTTTGAAAAAAAAAACGTAAAGAGAGTCAATTTATGTTTGGAATCATTTGTGAAAATATCGGGAAATTTGCAGATGGATAAGGCTAAATAAATATTTTTTTTTAAATTTTAGGCATTTTTATAATAGGTTGTCAAATATCTCCCTTCCGCCTTTTTGTATTATAAACCAAGAGCAAAAAAGCGGAAGGGAGATATTTGACAACCTAATATTTTGTGAAAAATCGTTACTCTTCATAAGGAGGCCCCCAACCAAGTTTTGATATGAGGAATGAGGGATATAGTAATTTTTTTTTAAAAACCCAAACATTTTCAAAAAAATAAAAAAATCGACATTTTTTCTTGTAACTAAAAACACACATGATGTTTGGTGGGAGAGGAGGGTTCAAAAATACTTAAAAAATCGGTCACGTGATTATTGGACGCCCCCTAATATCAAATAAAATATTTTCATTAAAATTACCTTATGACAAGGCTCTCCCAAGCCTTTAGCTGAAAGCACTGGTAAAGTGGACCTTAGACGCACCGAAGGTGAACAAAGGGCTTCGAGTACAGCACTAAGAAGTCGGGCAGCACTGTTATAATTCTGATGATCCTGAAAACAAAAAGAAGAATGAAAAAAGTCAAAACATAGAAAGTATGTATGTATATTTTTCGAAATAATTTATTCTCGTTTATGGGCAAGAGATAAAAAATTTCTTAGAAAAAGCAGAATGGAAAGAAAAAAATTATGCTACAAAAAAGTACAAACAATGGAAACATACTGAAACTAGTTGGTTTGGTATTTAGCCTTCAGGCAAGTTACATAAACTTCCTGATATGTGTAAATAATCGACTTAATCAAATAAATGCTAAATAATATACTTCATTAATCCTAATTTTAGCAAAGTTTGACGAATTTTTAAGATTAAACTACTTGTCGTAAGGCCGTAATATTACAGTAAGTTCTATAAGACCATAATGTATATCTCCAAAAAAGTTCCATGAAAATCGGCTTAAATTTTTTTTTCAACAGTTAATTACAAGAAAACGGTTCGGTAGATTTTCACCTAAAACTAATCAGTACCATTCCCAACTAATATCTTTCGAACAGTTTTTGATTTTTTAAAATCGGTTCGGTAGGATGAGCTTAAATGTGGACGAAAAGTTTAACACTTTTTTCCAAATTGCAAAGAAACGGCTTGGCAGGTCGTCACACAAAACTAACAAACGATAGTCCTCACCGAAATACATCAAATGGCTTTTAAATTTCTGAAATCGGTTCAGGTGCTTTTGAGAATACGTCGATCAAAAGTTTAATTTTGACAAATGTCAAAAAAACGATACCGATTTTTGCAAACTTTGACGAATTTTTAAAGCTAAACGAGTTGTCGTAGGGCCGTAATATTTTAGTATGATATAGAAGACTATGGTATCTACCGTCAAAAAAATAATCATAAAAATCGTCGAATTTTTTTTTTTTAAACTTTATTACAAGAAAACGACCCGGCCGATCTCTACCAAAAATTAATCAGGTCGATTCCCAACCAATATCTTTCGAACGATTTTTGAATTTTCAAAATCGATTCAGAACTGCGTGCTAAAACGTGGACGAAAAACTTTTTACTTCTCTGCTATTTATGAAGAAACGGCTTGGCCGATCGTCGCACAAAACTGATAAACAATAGTTCTCATTGAGATACATCGAATGGCTTTTAAATTTTTGAAATCGACCCAGCCGTTTTTGAGAAAACGGCGATTTACGGCAAAAAATCTGTTCACATATACACACACACACACACACATGCTTTTTCCAAATTTGGTCTCATTCGATTCAGAATGGCTCGAAACGTCGAGAAAACATGAAATTAGCGAATCGGATTTTTTGATGAAAACATAAACTTCTCCTTCGGGAAGTTAAAAAAATCTCACATTATACCAAATAATATTTTATGAAACATTGAAGCATTTGATGTTTACTATAAAAATATAATTCAATTACTATTACCTTGTCCATTTCCACCAATAGGTCACACAAGCACTGCCACTTCAAATTAGCAGTCGGGTAAAAAGCATGATAGCAACCTATGAAGGTTTTATGGCACTCCTCCAGCAGATCCTCGGCCATCGAGTTCAGTCTCGAATGGTTCCATGAATTACCATGAATCCCGGTATGGTTCTGGAGAGTTGTAATCACACTGCTGTTCTTCACCTTCGATTTACCAGATGCATTCTTTCCACAGCCATCAGTTTGGGCATCGCTCAGAATTTGCATGAGTAATAGTCTCACGTCTCCTATGCATTCGGCTAGACTGAGGGACTCTTGGGTGAATTTTTTAGACACCTAGTAATGGATATATATTATATATGTATACTATATATATAACAGATATCACCTACCTGACTTGGATAAATATCATTAATGTAAATCCTGAGCAATCTCAAACAAGCCTTGCTGATATAAACCAACTTCTCCAATTCCTGAATAACAATTGCCAAATTATGCGAATTAGCCTGATTCATAGCTTCGATGGCTCCCGCTTTGAAAGTGGACCAGCTCCATTGCAATAGAGATATCAAAGCCTAGAAAAAAATAAGTCGATATTATTTCAAGAAATGTAGTCTAGTCATTTGGTGCAAAAAAAGGCTGTTGCCGGTACAGTACTCCGGGAATTCTGAAAATTGGTAATCTTATAGATTTCGAGGTGCTCTTTACGAAAATCAACTTTGCCACCTCAAATTTGAACGGCTAGTTGCCGCCATATTAGAAAAATAGCGTCAAACAACAGCTTTTTTAAAATATCTCCTTTCTGGCTGATTCTACGATAAAAGTACGATGTACGAATTAAACTAGATGAAATTTCCTACAATTCTTTAGAAAACCGTTTTTTTGTAAAATTGATAGTTTGAGAGTACGGCCGCCTCAAAGTCTTTGCTGCTCTCGCCGTAGTATCAAATCTCTCCATATATGACAGCACTTTGAACTTGACCATATTCCTTCTAATAATTAATATTTTCAATGTTAAATTAAGCGACTAAGATCTAGAAATAAAATTATTCAAATATTTTTCGTTTTTTTTTTTGCTGATTTTTTAACACTTCAATGGCAAAGTAGCTATATAGTAAGTATAGTAAGTAGCTTGAAGTGTTAAAAAATCAGCAAAAAAACAGAAAAATATTTGAATTATTTTATTTCTAGATCTTATTCCTTTAATTTAACATTGAAAATATTTATTTATTATGAGGAATGTGGTCAAGTTCAAAGTGCTGTCATATATGGAGAGATTTGATACTACGGCGAGAGCAGCCAAGACTTTGAGGCGGCCGTACTTTCAAACTATCAATTTTACAAAAAAACGGTTTTCTAAAGATTCGTATGAAATTTTCTCTAGTTTAATTCATACATAGATACTTTTATCGTAGAATGAGCCAGAAAGGAGATATTTTAAAAAAGCTGTTTTTGACGCCATTTTTCCAATATGACGGCAACTAGCCGTTCAAATTTGAGGTGGCAAAGTTGATTTTCGTGAAGAGCACTTCGAAATCTATAAGATCACCAATTTTCAGAATTCCCGGAGTACTGTACCGGCAAAAAGACCAAATGACTGGACTAATGCTGGTGAATATTTGTTGTTAATATTTATTATACTGACTTGGAAGGCTTCCTTGCTAACATTTCTTGAAAAATCTTTGCTCAGTATATGGACTGGTGGTTCTAAAGATAGAGCATTGTTTTGTCTCGGTGGCACTTGGACTTCGTTGGAGATGATTCGATAGTATATTACAGGTATCTGGCCAGCGTTTACGTCGGTTCCGTTGTTGGATTTTTTGGAAGATTTGAAGCTGAATTGAATCTGCAAAAAGAAAGAATACATATATATATATATATATATATATATATATATATATATATACTAGCTGACCCGGCAAACGTTCTGCCATAAAAAATATTCCTAGTATAAAATGTTTAGTACGAAAATAACTAACTGGTTGCAAATGTGGTGCATAGTGAAAGGAGCAGCTAACAAAAAATATATGAATAGTTTACCCACTGCAAAGCACGCCACATATAAATGTCCCTTAACATTTTTTGCAAGTGCCAACCTAATCTAAAGAAATGTCAGGATTTTCATATATTATTACAGCGCTATTTATCAATTCAGTAATTTTTGAAGTACGAATCAAAATCAGATGTAAAAATATGTGGCATGACCAGCGAATTAACAGATTGAAGAAAAAATGAGATAGTGAAAAATTTTACAGCTTCGCCATAGAATTGTGTGATATCTATAGTTTCATATCAAAAGCTCTTGTATCTTCAGATTTTAATATTGAATCTTTATTTATTTGCAAAAATTGCTCTTTATGCAAACCATTTAGAAACTATGCACTGTTTGTGGATGGTTTGGATGGACAACCCTTGATAAAAATACATTTTTTTTAAAGTAATTTTCATCCATTATCATAAGGATATAATTTTAATGTAAAATCTATCCTTTGCACTCTTATTTATTTAAATTTATGTTATTATTTATCATTATTGCTAGATGTTAAATTATTTAACAGTTGTAATAAATATTGTATTTAAAAAAAAATCATAAGGTCAGAAAAATATTAATTAAAATTCAGTTAACAAATCACTCACTGACTGAAAGCTTGATAAAAAATGATATACTGTGGTTACTAAAATAGCTATTATGAAATAGAGATTTGTAGAAAAAAGGTGAAAGTTTAGAGTTGTATGCTTTTTTTAATTCCGCATTATAAAAATTAACCCTTTCTACTCGGATGCCGCAGGTGGTAGACGATCCTTGATAAAAATAAATAGTTTTTCAAAATAAAGAAAGTTTCATGTATTTTTCAATTCCAAATTATAGAAAATATATGAAGAAATTAAATCATAAAATTAAAAAAAATTGTTTGTCCGCCCCTAGACAACCCTTGACAAAAATAAATAATTAATGAAGTAAAAAGAGTTTTATGTATTTTGTAAATTCCGCATTAATAAAATTAAAATAGAGAAAATTGACCTCAAAATTGAAAAGAATTAGGCAATTAAGTAACCTAAACTTACTTAACTAAACTAACTAAAATTATGTCAAAAATATTCAATGACTGAAGGCGAGTGAAAAATTTATTGACTTACTAAAATAGTTATGAAAAAATAGGGGTTTGGTAAAAATAAATTAAAAGTTTAGGATTGTATGTATTTTTTAATTCCACATCATAAAAAAATAAAAACAAAAAAAAATCGTCCGAAAAATTAGGAGTGGATTACTCTTAACATTTAGGGGGATGTTAGATGTTGTTCGATTCTCAGACCTTCCCAATATGCCCACAAAATTTCATGAGAATAGGTAGGATATTAATCACAAAGACGGCGACATGAGAATTTCATATATATATATATATATATATATATATATATATATATATATATATATATATATATTGAATGGTAGAGTCTTGGATTTGTGTATATTTTGTAAAGTTTCGAACAAGAATCCAAAAATAATACAAAATAAAAAACAAGAAAAGTTTTTAAAAAAACAATTTCTTTATTTAATTATTTGTTTATTGTCGACGTTTCGGAACTAGGTACGTTCCATCTTCAGGACATCTGTCAAGAAACATGATCTTGATGAGATTTTAGCAAACAATATGTTTAGGAAAAGAAAATAGATTTTTCTTAAATAATTAATTAAATTGTAAAAAATTTTTTTATCATTTTATCATTTTTATTTTGAACATATTATCATATTTCTGTACATTATTATATTTTTTACAATTTAATTCATTATTTAAGAAAAATCTATTTTCTTTTCCTAAACATATTGTTTGCTAAAATCTCATCAAGATCATGTTTCTTGACAGATGTCCTGAAGATGGAACGTACCTAGTTCCGAAACGTCGACAATAAACAAATAATTAAATAAAGAAATTGTTTTTTTTAAAAACTTTTCTTGTTTTTTATTTTGTATTATTTTTGGATTCTTGTTCGAAACTCTACAAAATATATATATATATATATATAATAAATGATTTATCGTTTACCTGATCGTCAGTAATGACGAGATGCTGTCCTGAAGCTCCACAGTCACTCGATGGTCCACTGACTCGAGCCCAAGCTAAGTACCATCTATTAGCCTGAAATAAAAAACAGAATAGTAAATTTATTAACTTATCCAGGATCATATTCCGAAATCTAATATTAAAAAAAACTTAAGTGAACACATATTTTAGAAAAAGTATGCCACAGAGAAAAATTGAAGTATTGCAATAGTTACATCAAAAAAGAATGCACACGACAACTTATTAATATTAATTAATATTTTATTAAGTTTAATTTGACTAAAATGTTAAGACTAATGAGACATTTTTTTAAAAGGTTTGCTTAAGTATTAACATGTTGAGAGTCGGTCATTAGGGAAATTAGTCTTAACGAAATGTGGTCGAATATAATTTAAACAAAATTTATTGAAACATTTTAAACAAAAATGTGGTAAGTGTGAAACGTTGCCAGCCTAAGTCAATGCCAGTTGAACGAAAAGGACAGAAAACTTGGCACAAGGCTCAACATGTTGAAATACTGAATTAACAATAAGTGGTTGTATGAATAAATTCCTCGACTGACTATGAAGATGAACTTGATATGTGTCTCCTTATGTGTAATATTTCTGATGACAGAATATACTAGAAAAAATAAATCCAGTTTAAAATTTCTAATTTATTGTTTAATTGAAAAAATCTTTATCATTATTATTATTATTGGTTGAAATTTAAAGACTGTTTATTTTTGCTGAATAAAAACTGTGGCAAAGCAAAATGATATCGATCTACTGATAAAAGGCACTATCGACCTGAACTGTAAAAATCTCAAATATTTATCAACGTTTTGCTACTAGTACAACTAAAAATTAAGTAAACAAGAAGTAATGATATTATAGTATTAATTTTATATTTTTTACCTGTATATGTATTGGTTCATCAAACAGAATCGGTTTCTTGGTTCTGGGGGCGCACTCGTAGGGAGCTTCTTCGGTTTCTGCAATTAATTCACCATCGGTTTCTTGCTCACCGCCTTCCATACCCAAATCTAAAAGTTTTATCTTGCCAGTGTATTCACCACGTCCACCGAATAGGCCAAAACCACCTACAAGAAAAAAATTTAATAATATAGAGTTTAAATACTCGTGTAATAAGGATACCAAATCAAAGATAAATTCTGTATATAAATTAATAAAATAAATAAATAAATTTTATGACTTTCAATTAATAATTTCAAGAACATCTTGTAATATATATTTAAATCAATTCTCCCTTACCAATGATGACTTCGGTTTCACACATAAACCTGATGGCTTCGACAGCATGTCCAGAATAGCCCCAGCCTCCTCCATGACTGTCGAATCTGTTCACAATTTGATAATCGTCTACGCTCAATGGTTTGGATGATGATGGTCCACCAGGAGAAGATGTTAAGGCCAACTGCTTCTTTACTGATAATCTGGTGAATAAATAATATACATAGTAGTAATGTGCTAAGTCGAATAAAGTGATTCGAATAAAATAAAACAACCTGATTCGAATCAAATTTGGCTTGATTCGAATAAATTGGTATCGAGTCGAGAAATATTTACTGCGATACAATATGTATAAAACTAGTGAGGTGTATGGCATCGTGCCTCAAGGCAAATTGCTGGAACTTCCCGTACCGTAACGAAATTAACATTCAGTATTCCTCACTGAATGTTTTCAAATAGATTATTATTAATATTGTAACATTGTCTAATATTTATAAGAATTATATAAACTGAATTGCAAAGTTAAAATTATTTGCTTAAAGTATATTAGAACAAAACTTCTTTGAAAAAAAAAAATTTGAAGAAAAAATTTTGAAACAAAAATTTTTTTTCCAAAATCAATTATTTTGTTAAAACAAGCAGAAAGCTCTTTGAATCATTCAAATCGAATGCTTAGTTTCCTCAAAAACTGCCATTTTTGCACATTTAGCTCTGTATCTCCGAAACCGCTGGACCTGCCTTTGCCAAAAACTAATCACCCTTTCTCCCCGTCATTACGAATTGAATGTTTTTGGAATCATTCAAATCGGATGCTACGATCTCTCAAAAACTCGATTTTTATTTTCTGCACTCTTTGCTCCATATCTCCTAATCGGCTGGGCCTGCCTTTTTTCTGAGGTATGCCAGTAAAATGTTCAGAAACCTTCAAAACGTCGAGAAATGTAAAAATTTTCAATTTCGATTTTCGGCCCATTACAATAACTTACCCTACGGAAAGTTAAAAATCAATTTTAATAAATACGAATATAAAAATAAAAATATAAATTAAATCATGGACTTCAATCGATTAATACGATTTAACCAAATCAATCGATTTCAATCGATTTGATAATCATATTTATCCATATAATATGCATAATGATGAATATTAGAGATGTACCGACTCAAGAAAAGGTATTCTACTGAAAAGTAAATTAAAACTCTACCGACCAGCAAATTTTAATATTCATCTGGATTATAAGAAAGGGAGTCTACTGACAAACAATTTAAATTGGAAACCAGAAGATAAGAAAAGGACTGATTAATGTTTTTAAAAGGACTTCGTCCACAAGCAAGCTTTATTAAAGTCTCGATTATATAAAAGGGACTCTACTGACGAGCAAATTAATTTGAAAAAGGGACCTATTAACAAGCAATTTAAATATCGATTTAGATCTAGAAAATAAAGAAACTCTATTGACAACGAATTTAAACGGCAAACTGGAAGATCAAAGATGGACTTCTACTGATAAATAACTTAATTTTAATCTAGAAGATAGAGAAGACTCTATTGACTAGCAAATTTTAATTTTGATCTAAAAAATGAAGAAAAGGACTCTAATGACAAGTAATTCAAATTAAAAACTAAAAAATAAAAAAGGACTCTAGATTATAAAAAGGAGACTGCTGATGAACTATCTATATTGAGGACCAGAAGATCAAAAAAGGATTGGCAAGCAAACTATTTTTAGCCTGGAATATATAAAAAGTTATCCCTTTAAAAGGGGAAAACTTCAAAATGAAAAGAGAACTCTACAGACAAGTAAATGTTTATTTTGATCTATAAGATTAAATATGGACTCTACTGACGAGTAAATTAAAATATGAACAAGAACATAAAAAAGAAACTAAAGATAAGCAATCTTTAATCTTGATTTAGAAGACAAAAGAAGTCTCTAGTAACTGTAAGATAAAGAAGGGTCTCTACTGACAAATAGATTTTTAATTTAGATCTGAAATACAGAAAAAAGTAGGTTAATTCTGATCAAGAATATAAAAAAGAACTCTACTAACGTGGAAATTAAATTGAAAACTATAAGATACAAAGAGAACTCTACAGACAAGTAAATGTTCATTTTTAACTTCCCGTCTAACAAAAATCGAAAATGAAATGTTTTGCGTATCTCCACGCTTCAGAGATTTCTGAACATTTTGGCACACTTCAGAAAAAATGAATGACTGTACGTGTGAAGACAATTTTTCGTCGACGATTTCGGGAGCAGGGATCAACCGATTTGAATGGTTAAAAAACATTCAATTACTATTGATAGAAAGACGTGCTGATTCGTTTTTGGCAAAGGCAGGTCCAGCCGTTTCGGAGATACGAAGCAAAGAATGCAGAAAATAGAAATCGAGTTTTTGAGAGAACGGAGCATCCGATTGGAATGATTCAATAAGCATTCCATTCGTAATGTTGGGGAGAAGTTGTGGTTAGTTTTTGGCAAAGGCAGGTCTAGCCTTTTCGGCGATACGAAGCTAAATGTGCAAAAAATGGCAACTTTTGAGAGAACTCAGCGTCCGATGATTCAAAAAACTTTCTGCTTGTGTTGACAAAACGATTGTTTTTGGGAAAAGAAATTGTTTTTATGTATATCTGAAATAATTCGGATTTTAATTCTAATTCTAGCTTAAGTTTTTAGCATCACTTATACACTGCTAATAAATAAATAATTTTCACTCTGCAATTCAGTTTATTTAATACTCATAAATATTAGACAATGTGCTTCATTTTAAATACTAAAGCTCTTATATTTTGTCTATAAAATAAGAATAATGAAAGTTACAGAATTTTTAATCATATACTTGAAAAAATTTAATATTTCTGGAATATTTCGTTGCGGTACGGGAAGTTCCAGCAATTCGCCTTAAGGCAAGATGCGATACGCTTGCGCCATTAGTTTCAAAGTTACACACGCCGCACGCACCATCTCTAGATCACTAGAGCATTTAAAAATAATTAAAAACTTGCAGCGAATATAATCGGGGCGCTGAATATAAAGTCGCTTACAAAAATTTACCAAATATGACACAAAATAAAATCAAGGGGGTTGTTCTTTTTTTATTTATTTTTTTTCGATTTTGAGATTTTTTGATATTATGAAAGCTAAAAACCTTAGAATTATTTTTTAGAAAAAATCATCTCAATATCTATTTTTTTGACGAAGTTATAGATATATATATATATCTCTATATGTATGATCCTCTGAAACCCGTTTTTTCATCGCTCCGGAGCTATTGTATGCCAGCTGCTCTCTTTTTCATTGTAATACCTCATGCACATGACCTTTTTAATGTGTCAGCATCTTTGAACACCATGGTGTATTTAGTACATTAAATTAAATGGTGTATTTAGTACATTATATTAAAAACTTTAAATACGTTTTTCTCAAATTGACTTTTTTCAATGCGGTGCCACAAATAAAAAAAAAACTAAGTCGGATCGACTTGCATTTTTAACTTCCCGTAGGGTAAGTTATAGTAATTGCAAAAAAATCGAAAATGAAAATTTTTATATATCTTCACGTTTCAGAGGTTTCTGAATATTTTGGCATACCTTAGAAAAAATGGATGTATGTGTGTGTGTGTGTGTGCGGATACAAATTTTCGTCGACGATTTCGGGAACACGGATGAAGCAATTTGAATAATTCAAAAAACATTCGATTCGTATTGATAAGAAGACGTGCTGATTAGTTTTTGGCAGAGGCAGGTCTAGCCGTTCCGAAGATATAGGGCAAAAAGTGCCAAAAACGCTACCTCTGTTTTTAAGAGAACGGAGCATCCGATTTTAATAATTCAAAAAACATTTTACTTGTATTGACAAGATAAAGAACTGATCAAATTTTCATAGGAGCAGGTCTAGCGGTTTCGGAGATATAACAAAAAAAGTAAAAAAAAAATGCCATTTGGCGGTCAAAAATGATCATTAGACATATGCACATCAAATTATCAGATATTTTATAGAGATTTTAACAATAAGTATAAATTTTGTTTACATTCTTATGGGTTCCGTACCAATGTTTACCCGTTAGACAGCGACGCGGCGCTTACGCGCTTTATATTTTGTCTCTATGCAGTTAAAGCAGTGCGATTGCTTTGAAAAAAAGTTCAGATCTTCCAAAATATGTCAAAATAAAGAAAACATTTTTTTTTCAAAAAAAAAAATATTTTTTTTTTTTTTAATTTTTTTTTCAAAAAAAATAATTTTTTGTCCAATTTATAGTTTCTCAAAAATCTTATTTTTTCGAAGTAAATTTTTTTCAAAAATGTTAATCGTTTTTAAAAAAATAATAATTTTTGGTACGGGAAGTTCCAGCAATTTGCCTTAAGGCACGATGCCTTAATTGCCTTTTAATTTATTTACCACTGCAATACCTAGTCCCCCTACCTCAAACAACTTTATAACATTACGCAAAAAAAATTGCGAGGCTTCTCGTCCCAAAAAGGGCCCTTTTTGATACTTTTTTTTTAAAAAATAGCTGCAATTTTATTCCTTCTTGCTTTTTTTCGTTTATTTTAGTAGTGGGACTGGATTCAAACTTCTTCTTCAACCTAGTTTCGTTTTTAACTTCCAGTAGGGTAAGTTATTGTAATGGGCCGAAAATCGGAATTGAAAATTTTTACATTTCTCGACGTTTTGAAGGTTTCTGAACGTTTTGGCATACCTCAGAAAAAATGGTTGTGTGTGTGTGTGTATGTATGTATGGATACAAATTTCCAGTCACGTTTTAGGGCGCACGGATCAACCGATTTGAATGGTTCAAAAAACATTCGATTCCTATTGGTAGGGAAAATAGCTGATTAGTTTTTGGCAAAGGCAGGTCCAGCCGTTTCGGAAATACGGAGCAAAGAGTGCAGAAAATAGAAATCGAATTTTTGAGAGAACGGAGTATCCGATTTGAATGATCTAAAAAACATTCAATTAGTAATGATTGGGAGAAGTGCTTATTAGTTTTTGGCAAAGGCAGGCCCAGCCATTTTGAAGATACGGAGCTAAATATGTAAAAAATGGCAGTTTTTGAAAGAAGTAAGCTAACCGATTTAAATGATTCAAAGAACTTTCTGCTTGTCTTAACAAAATAATTGATTTTGAAAAAAAAAATTGTCCTAATTTTTTTTTTTTTTTGTATATCGAAAATAGTTCAGATTTTATTTTTAATTCTGACTATAGTTCTAATATACTTTAAACAAATAATTTCAACTCTGCAATTCAGTTTATATAATTCTTATAAATATTAGACAATGTTACAATATTTATAATAATCTATTTGAAAACATTCAATATTCCTCGAACATTTCGTTACGGTACGGGAAGTTCCAGCAATTTGCCTTAAGGCACGATGCCACCCACCCCACTAGTTTTTTGTTTTAGGCGATGCGCAACGGATTGATCTGTGGCACCGCAAAAGAGATCGATTTTGCAATGCCCACTTTGGCGCCCCCGGTTAACAAATGACGGCGACAAAAAAAAATTATAAAATTTCTTAATATTCTATGATTTTGTAATTTTTGTTTGGAAAAAAAACCGCATGTCTCTACACATTTCGAGAAAAACAAAAACAAATACCTTGCATTTTTTGTAACAAAAAAAAGAACAACCCCCTTAAATAACTAGTTCTTCTTACTACTTACTTCAAATCCTGAGCCAAATTCAAAACATCCAAACAGCACAGCATATTAATGGCAGCCTGAAATCTGCTCACAAAAACATTGGACACCACAGGCAAGCACAACTCTGCATTGAAAATACTTCTCAATCCTCTGTTTCTGAAACCAGCGATTTCGCTCAACTTCATCCTCATAACCCGATTTTCTTTATCCTGGAATCTTTTGGCAGGATCTGGAGGACTTTTGGTCTCCGATGCGATTACGTTGTAGCATGATATCTTGGCTTGTTTGTTGTAAGTCCACATGACTCCATAAACTGGATCCAGGCAAATCATTTGGTTGTTCAAGTCTGCCTGATAATGAGGAAAGGTCGAAACGCAGGTGCCATCACGTTTGTTGATCACGAGGCATTTGAAGGATGATGTTACGTACTTGGGGAAGAGTACTGGGAAAGAGAAAATTAATATTAATAAATTATTTTATTAATAATTAATAAAAGATTTATGTAAATTGGGTAAATGATATTTAGACATTCCTAGCTGAAGTAAACTTCTACTTCAATAAGTTATTAGATACAATTATCATTGAGATACCAGTTAGTCTACAGAAAATTATATTACACTACACGACTCGACAGACGTTGTCCTGTACCCATTTATAGTCTTACCATAAGCAGTATAAAAAATTCAGAAAAAATAATACAGTATCTGCGGTGAAAGAACAATATCACACTTGATTTTACCACACGACATAATTGCTTCAATGATTTAGTCTACAATTTTCATAATCTCGTACGATATATGTTGCTTTTTGGCAATTATAATTACTAAAGTACATTTTTCTTACTCATAGTTTAATAAACATTATTGTTTATGTTCAAATCTTAGGTAAATTAATTTGTAAAATCTAGTTCGTATGAGCACTCTTCAATCTAAGATCAACTTGCTAAATATTCCAAATCTAATGTCAAACAAAATTCTAAATCATTTTTTTAATATGTAGGAATAATTTTTTGTATTGTTAAATAATTTAGTAAAGTAAATCAAAATGCGACATGCATAAGTTTCAAAAAATATTGTATATGTAATTTTGGACTTGTTGCGTAATTTATTAAACTGAATTATATAATTTCACCTGCCAAGCATATACTGTTGACTGTATCTTATATTTTACTAATTTCTGGTACATCTCAGCTGCTTTTCGGCAATAATAAAGTGGACATTACATTTTCTAGTATATTACATTCTAATATTATCTAGGCTAATAATTTCAATATAATATAATATTATCTAAATTCAAATTTCAAGTGAATTGACGTATTTAGCAAATGACAGTTCAAATGTTTTCAATGTCAAACAATGATAAGTGCTTCTTCGTAATTTTTGCCATTTATTTCTACAATACTACTATAGTTTTATCGTTCATTAGGTCTTGAACATTTCCTTCGACAAACTCTAAAAAGATTTATCAAAATCCGACTAACCGTTTAGGAGAAATATCAAATCATACATCCGTACAGAAGAATTTTATATATAAGATTTGTAATGTTAATAAGAAATTAATTTCCCAAAGAGAAGTCGTCAAAAAGGCCGATTTGCAAATTTTATGTTTTCTTGACGTTTCAAGCCGTTCTGAATCGAATGAGACCAAATTTGGAAAAAGTACGTGTGTGTGAGTATGTGAACAGATTTTTTGTCGTAAATCGACGTTTTCTCAAAAACGGTTAGGCCGATTAGAAAAATTTAAAAACCATTCGAAGTATCTGGATGAGGACTATTGTTTATCAATTTTGCGCGAGGATCAGCCAAACCGTTTCTTTGTAAATAGCAGAAAAGTGAAAAATTTTCGTCCACGTGTTAGCCAGAAATTCTGAATAGATTCTGAAAATTCAAAAATTATTCGAAAGATGTTATTTGAAAATCGTGCTGATTAGTTTTCGACAAAAAACGGGCAAGCCGTTTTTTTGTAATTAACTGTTGAAAAATTTATTTTCGAATTGAATGAAACTTTTTTTGGCGATAGATATTAGGTAATCCAATTTCGATAAGAAGTTTCAAAACCGATATTTCTGTATTTTTGCTTTGCAATCTAACCCGGCAATACGGTTAAAATACCGGTATCAGTATTATTTATAAGAAAAAGTTGAACAAAATTGAAAGTTACTTGTACAAATATAAAATATTAAGATAATATTAACAAATGAGAATATGATAAAATTTTCCAAAGGCGATGCGTTTTACGTAAAAATAATATAAGGTTGTCTCCCTTCAAATCAAATCAAATATCTCCCTTCCGCCTTTTTGTATTATAAACCAAGAGCAAAAAAGCGGAAGAGAGATATTTGACAACCTAATATTTTATAATTGTTGAGTTTTTTTAATTTTTTAATTTTAATTTTATTTTTCAAGACTAATTTACAATCTAGTTTTTAATAACAAAATTAGTATTAATATTTAGTAAGTATTACAATTGCATAGTTGTAAGCTTTATTCTTTAGATTTTGAGAAGTTATCTACGAAATATATTGACTTAAAATAGCAGTTATATATATTCTACTTACTGATGCTGTTCTTGTTAGCGACTACTATGGAATTAACGAGACTGGAAGCGTTGATGAGAGATTCATCAAACTTGACAAAAGTTTGATCTCCGTTAGCACCAACCCAAGTGGCACGTCTTGCCTTATGAGGCCCCAAGCTTTGCAACATCACAGGCGAGCAAAGGGCAAACGAGTTTTTCTAAAATATGAATAAAATCATAGTAAATAAGAACTTGAATTTATTATGCAAGAGTTATTACCTTGACCAAGAAGTTGCCACTGCTGAAGTTGTCCAAGTTCAACCCTAATTGTCCCTTCTGAGAAAGATGATATATGTATCAATTACTGTTTTTAAGATTATGAAATGTTGAGAGAAATATATTCTAATACCTGATAGTTTCCAAAGCAATAGACTTCTCCTTTTCCACTGAGAAGAACGGTGTGGTTGCTTCCGGCAGCAACCTGGACTATGGCCACGTTAATAGGGACTCTTTGAGGTCCCGAATGGGGATGTACGTCTCCAACGCCTAAAAAAATAAATGTTATAAAATAATTAAATATGATAAAATATAAAACTAGGTGTAAAAGATATTTTCCCAATGAATTTACGAAATACATACAATAATATTTTTGAGTAATTTAAACGTACACAGTAGTTGTAGTGCTTTACAATGCTAATGACTATCACAGATTTTACAATTTTGTACAAATTTGTCAAATATGTTAGTTATTTGAGTCGAACAATTAAATGTACCTTATTGAACAAAAACGTCTAATCTAATATGTATTTAATGTTTTATGAAAAAAACTTTTTGTAGGCCTATAATATTTTAGGGTGTTGAACTAATTGAAGAGAGTGTCTTATCGAGTTTCATCAAATGGCTTTAAAGTTTTGAGAAATTGTGGACATCGTTTTTGAAAAAAATACACTTTTTTTCTAAATTCAGTGTCAAAGAATTTAAATTGACTTGCAACGAAAAAATAAGTTCTGAGTTGATAAAAAAAGTATTATGTAACAAAAATTTCAACCATACTTATTATCATGTTAATAATATTAACTTCCCGTAAGGTAGTTATAGTAATGGACCGAAAACCGAAAATGAAAATTTTTGCATTTCTCGACGTTTTGAAGGTTTCTGAACATTTTATTGGCATACCTCAGAAAAAATGGATGTGTGTGTGTGTGTTTTGTATGTCCGCATTTTTTCGTCCACGTTTTCGGGCGCACTGATTAACCGATTTGAATGGCTTAAAAAACATTCGATCCCTATTGATAGGGAGATGTGCTGATTAGTTTTTGGCAAAGTCAGGTCCAGCCGTTACGGAGATACGGAGCAAAGAGTGCAGAAAATAGAAATCGATTTTTTGAGAGAACAAAGTATCCGATTTGAATGATCCAAAATACATTCAATTCGTAATGACGAGTAGAAGTGGTTATTAGTTTTTGGCAAAGACAGGTCTAGCTGTTTCGGAGATACCGAACTAAATATGCAAAAAAATGCAATTTTTAAGAGAACTAAGCACCCGATTTGAATGATTCAGAAAACTTTCTGCTTGTGTTGATGAAACGAATTTTTAGGAAAAGAAAAAAACTGTTTTATTTATAAAAAAAAGTTTAAATTTTCGGTTTGAATATCGAAAATAATTAAGATTTTCAACATTCTAATTCGGTACGAGATGTTCCAGTAATTTGGTTTTAAATTTAAATGACTATTTAAGGATTATATTATCAAATTATAATTTAATGCCCAATATTGATGTAAAAGAAGTATTATCGGCATTTTTCGTCGACGATTTTGATTTGATTTGAAAAATTTGATTTAATTTTTTTTCCATGAAACTTGATAAGCATTCACGTAGGTTAGTTTATTTTTTAATACGATCGGCTGGGACGATTATTTGTAATTAGCAAAAAAAGTGAAAAAAAGTTATCCACGTTTTAGCCAAAAAACTTGCTTCGGCGGCAAAATACATGTAAATCTCGCATTTGCGAGTGGAAAGGGTTAAAATTTTAAAAAGGTATTATTTGGGCATCCAAATATTTGGGTTGTTGATTAGATTGGATAAAGATCGACCAGATGTTTTTTTTTGTAATTGATTGTTTGAAAAAATCAGCTTGGCGATAAAATACCAGGTATTTTGGTTCAGTTATAGAAAATTATCAAAATTTAAATTAATCGTCCGTTCTTAGAAAATATTCTGAGCTATATTAGATACGGATTCTATTTTCAATAAAATGCAATTAAAAAAATTGTACAGAATTGAATAATCTGTAACAGTTTCTCACTTTATTGAACCTTACACCAACTCGGCATACTAATAAATTAATACAGTAGAACCTCGATTATCCGGACCTCAGTTATACGGATTTGTGATTATCCGGACTACCAATCGCGACAGAGTTATATGTATGTACATACCTACAATTCGAATTTTTGCACGATTTAGGCAGCAGTTTAGTATATGTATGTAATATAATCTAAGAAAAAATATATGTGCATACATAAGAAAATTTTAATTTCTTATTAAACATTGATTTTCGTTGGCATCTATGTATGAATTTGTTATTTTTTATAAATACACATCATTATTCTGCATCCATTGGATTATCCGGATGCCTATAGACAACAACTAGTCTGGTTAATCGAGGTTCTACAGTATATTGATTTGATATTGATTAAGCCGATAAATTACACATGTCGGCAACTTACCTCAAGGCAAAATGCCACATACAACTAGATATCAATTATAATCATTTATTACCTAGCTGTCCGTACTGGTTCGATCCAAAAGTATAAACGAATCCCTTCTGGGTGAGCAACACTGTGTGGTGAAGTCCACAAGCGACCTGAGTCACAGGATCGTTCAGCCCCTGGGCGGAAGAAGTAGAAGAAGAAGCCGCCGTCTGCTTCATCAGTTCGGTTCCTGGACGCTTGTCGCCTCTTCTCGCTGGTGGTATCGGCGGCGAAGGCGACAAGAAGGGCAATCTGGCCGGAGATAGGAGGCTGACGCGGGTTGCGTCGCGGTCGGCGTCGGAACCGGCGTTCTGCTCATCGGCACCTGGGGAGAAATGATTGTTAACTTGATGGAAAACAAGTCTATGAAAATTTTATAGGTAATTTTTTTTTATTTTGAAGTTTGAAAAAACATGATTTACAACAACACTCCCTATTTCACACCGACTAAAGAAGTTCCAGATGTAACAGATAACCTACCATTAAATAAAATTACTAGAATAGAAAAGTGCAAATTAATACATAAGATTAAACATAAAAATAAAATCTGCACATCGATAAAAATACATAAAAAAATACACGAACACAATACTAGACAACAGGAAAATTTTCATCTTAAAACAAACAAGAAGCAATAAAACGAGGCGGAACACTATATGGAGTAGTGCCATGAAATTATTCAATGGGCTTCCGAAAGAGATGAAGATGACCAAAAATAAAAATAAATTTAAAATTAAATTAAAAGAATATTATATAGATAAATAAATTAGACCAATGTATGAGTTATAGCATAAATGATATAAAATGTTGTAGTGATCAAATTATATATATATATATATATATATATATATATAATGACATGTAGAAAATAAATATATATATATATATATATATATATATTTATTTTAAATAGATATTTTGTACGATCTCTCATACCAGACACTTCCGTCTGTCTGAGATGTATAAAATTTATATTTTCAATAAAATTTAAAAAAAAAAGATTATTAACTTGATGGAAAACAAATCCATGAAAATCTTATCGCTAATCGCAAAAAAAAACGAAAATAAATATTTTTATATTTCTTCACGTTTAAAAAATTTTGGTGTGTATGTGTGTGTGCGGATAAAAATTTTCGTCAACGATTTTGGTAACACAATCAACCAATTTGAGTAATTCAAAAAAGCTTTAGCTTGTGTAGACGATATGCAAAAAACGTTTTTTCAAAAAATTTCGTAATTTTGAACATTTTTAAAACAAAATTCCGTCTTCAAAAAAAATTTAAAGTTTCAAAAAAAAAACAAATTTTCGAAATTTTTCATCATTAGCGTAAAAACGTAAAATTTTAGCACCTTGTTCAGGACCTTGATATCAATATAAAAAGTTACATCAGAATTTTTTTCAACAGTTAATTGCGAAAAAACGGCTCGGCCGATCTTTGTTTAAAATTACAATTAATATCTTTCGAATAGTTATTGAATTTCTAAAATCGATCCAGAATTTTTGGCTAAAATGTGGACAGACAATTTTTCACTGTTAATTACAAAAAATCGACCGTATCAAAAATCTTATATAAGTGCTTATCAAGTTTCATAGAATGGTTTGAAATTTTTGCAATCGACTCGATCGTTTTTGAGAAAACGCATATTAAAAGTCTAATTTTAACAAACGTCGAAAAAGCGCGAATAATTTTTACAAATTTTGACAAATTTTCAAAGTTAAACGACTTGTCTTAGGGCCGTTATATTTAAGTATGATCTAGAAGACTGGTAATTATAGCAAAACAAAAATTCATGAAAATCGTCGAAATTTTTTTTAACACTTTATTACAAAAAAATTACCGGGCCGATCTTTACCAAAAACTAATCAGTACGATTCCCAACCAATATATTTCGCACGGTTTTTGAATTTTCATAATCGATTCAGAATTGCGGGCTAAAACATAGACGAAACATTTTTCACTTTTCTGCGATTTACAAAGAAACTGCTCGGTCGACCATCGCACGAAACTGACAAACAATAGTCCTCATCGAGGTACATCGAATAGCTTTTAAATTTTTTTTTTGAAATTGGTCCTGCCGTTTTTGAGAAAACGTCGATTTACGGTAAAAAATCTGTTCACACACACGCACACACACTTTTCCCAAATTCGGTCTCATTCGATTCAGAATGGCTTGAAACGTCGAGAAAACATAAAATTAGCGAATCAAATTTTTTGATAAAGACATAAATTTCTCCTTCGGAAAATTAATAAAACTTTATAAAAATCCCTTTATTTCATATACATTAAACAATAAACCAATTATTATCCGAAATGAATAATAAAATAGATAACTTTTTAATTGTAGGTCAATATGACGGCGCGCGGTTTGTATAGGTATACATGAAATAGGATACTAATAAGTTTAAAAATTAATTGACTTTTTTGGAGATGATTTTGAAAATTTTTAACTATATAGATAAAATTATCATCGTCCAAAATGTTTTAATTTAAACGTAAAAGGAGGACGAACAAAGGCTACTTTAAAAAGCAAATTACCATTAGTTAACTTTTTGAAATAAAATTTTGTTTTCGCCAAAAAAATCCAACATGCTAATTGTTAATTTTATTCTGAATCATTTGGCACCAAAATTGGAAAAACAATCTATAATAAATACTTTGCCAAAATCGATTTAATTTTTTGGTCGACCCTATTAGATTGAAATAAAAAATCTTAAAAGCTTCAAATTTTAGTCCGTAGATTTAGTGTTGGCTGTATCATTACATCTATTACTATTATTACTAAAGATTTCTACTCACTCGGCCATCCCTTCATTCCGCGCTTATAGCGAACCATGTGGTTCCTCATACTAGCATAGGACTTCTTGGCACTGCTCTTGTGGTTGTCCTCGAAATTCCTGGAGCCTTCGTAGTTGACTGCAGGCAACGGTGGCACTTCTAAAAAACATCAATAATTAGATAATAGAAAATACAATATATTTGAAAGAAAAATCAAATGTTGTATTACCATCATCGTTCAAGCCGTTCAATGCAAGTTCTAAATCGATATTGGCGCCTCCCTCCAAGGCGCAAAGTCTGCATATTCCACATTTGTTGCAACCGCTGTCGCCGACTCCACATCCACATTGCCTAAATGTAATAGAAGATGAAACTAGTTGAAAGTGGCATTTTGCCTTAAAGCAAATTGCTGGAACTTCCCGTACCAGAATTAAATATTAGAGATAAAAATCAGTAATCAATAAACATTGATTAATGATTTACAACAATTGTTCTAAACATTTTCAAATAGATAATTATAATCGCCATATATTTTATCGTTCATAAAATATACAGTGACGATCTTATCGCTCAAAGCACTTGAGAAAGTTTACATTATCAAGAGGTGTCAAATGAATCCATCTGAGGATATTTTTCTTACGATTAGAATAACACATATGAAATATTAGGTTGTCAAATATCTCCCTTCCGCTTTTTTGCTCTTGGTTTATAATACAAAAAGGCGGAAGGGAGATATTTGACAACCTATTATATACATTTTCAAACTGAATTGTAAATTTAAAATTCATTGTGATGTATAAATTTCTCGATATCTTAAACTACTTGAGTTGATCCAAAAAATCGATATCTTATGAAAAGTTTTTATTGAATAACAAAATATGATATTCATTTTCAGAATAATGTTAAAAATAAAATATTTAACTAGACGCGAGTAGCATTTTCCTACTTAGGGCAAGTGATCCAAAATAATTAACATATAACGAATTATTATTAATTGGCAATATAAAATGTATTTTCTGAAAAATGTTAGAAATAAAATATTTAACTAGATGTGAATAGCATTCTGTCCTAGAACAATTTACATAAACTTCTTGATACCCAAAACTATTCGAGTTGATCCAACAGAATTGATATATAACAAATAGTTTTTACTGAATAACAATTTATGAGTTTTTTTTTAATATTAATTTAATTCAACAAAACTAGTAAAAATTTGTCTTATGAAAATCGAATAAACTTGTTGGTATCTGTAACTAGTTTAGCTAACAAATAGTTTTTTACAATAACATAAATATAAAAAAAATTTGAATGCATATTAATTTTTAATAAAACAAATTTGAATGCTAATTTAATATTTATATTAACTATTAGTAGCATATTGTTAACGAAAGTTGCATAAACTTCTCAATCTCAACTATTCGAGTTGATCCAACAGAATTCAAATCTTACGAATTGTTTTTACTGTTCGACAATATGAGATTTGTTTCTTGAATAGTGTTGGTAATTTAATATTTATCTAAATGTAAGTAGAATTTTGTCTTAAGGCAAGTTGCATAAACTACTCGATATCTGAAACTAGTGAGTTGATCCAAAAGACTTGATATATAACGAATTGGTTTTACTCTTTTACAATATGAGATTTCATTCTGAATAGTGTTAGTTATTTAATATTTAACTAAATGTAAGTAGTCTTAAGGCAAGTTGCATAAACTTCTCGATATCTTAAACTATTCGAGTTGATCCAACAATTGATATCTAATGAATAGTTTTTATTAAATTACAATATATGAGATTTATTTTCTGAATAATGTTAAAAACCTAATATTTAACAAGACTTGAATAGCATTTTATCTTGAGGCAAGTGGCATAAATTTTCCAATATCAAACTAGTCAAGTTGACCCAAAAGAATTGGAATCTAACAACTTCTTTTTATTGAATGGCAATCTATGAGATTTATTTTCCAAATAATGCTAATTATTCATTTAACTGGGCATTTTGTTTTATAATTAGAGCAAGTTGCATAAAGTTCTCGACTAATCGAGTTGTTCCAAAATAATTGATATTTAATAAATAGTTTTAACTGTTTGAAAACAAGATTTTTTCTGATAATATTAAAGAGTAACATTGTATCTTGAGGTAAGTAGCTTAAAATTCTCGATAACTAAAACTAATTAAGTTGATCCATGAAATCAAGAACTAAGGAATTGTTTTTATTGAAAGACAATATATGAGCTGTCTTTGTTTTAATAATGCTAATAAGTTAAAACTTAACTAGATTTAAGTAGAATTTGGTATTAAGGCAAGTTGCATAAACTTCTCAATTTCAATAGTCAAGTTGATCCAACTAAATTGATACTAACAAATAGTTTTTATTGAATGACTATGTATGAGATTTATTTTATATTGTTAAAAATAGAATATTTAACTAGATGCGAGTAGCATTATCTCGTAGGGCAAGTGGCATGAACTCTTCGATAACTAAAACTATTCAAGTTGACCCAACAGAATTGGTATCTAACAAATTGTTTTTATTGAGAAACAATATATGAGCTGTCTTTTTTTAATAATGCTAATAATTTATTTAACTAGATGTAAGTAGCATTTTGTCTTAAGGCAAGTTGCAAGAGTTTCTCGATATCAAACTAGTCGAGTTAATTCAACTAAACTGATACTAATGAATAGTTTTAACTGCTTGACAATATGGGATTTATTTTCTAAATAAAGTTAAAAATAAAATATATAACTAGACAAGAGTAGCATTTTGCCTTAGGGCAAGTTGCACAAGCTTCTCGATATGTAAAACTATTCGAGTTAATCGAATTAAATTGATATCTAACAAATTGTTTCCACTCTTTGACAATATGAGATTTTTCTGAATAGTGTTTAGATTTCTCGATATCAAAATCTAGTTGAGTTAATCCAAGAGAATTGACATTTAATAAATAACTATTATTGAATAATAAAATAGGCATTATCTTTTTCAAATAATGATAATAATACCATATTTAACCAAATTTAGGTTGCATTGTGTCTTAAGAAAGGTTGCATAAACTTCTCGATATGAAACTAGTTAATCGAATCGAATCGAAGAAACAATTAACATCTATCGAATAGTTTTTGAATGGACAAAATTGCCAACAGAATACTGTTTTCTTTTAATTTTTGCAAGGAAATGGTTCAACTGATGTTTTAATCAAAGTGATATCTAATTTATATTACATAAAATTTGTAATAAGTCTAAAGAAACGAGAATTAAATCAATAAAATAAAATTGAGATCATTTTAATTCCAAGTTCCCCTACTAAAAATGTTACAACATAATTTCTAACCATATTGAACGAGCTTTGAATGTTTGAAATTATATGAAAAAATGTGAATGAAATATTATATGAAATGGAGATTACATTCAACAGACTTTTAAAGTAAAATCAGTACATAAATTAAATCTGATCTAAAAATTATATTGCGAATTATAAATTGCACAACAATTAAAATAAAAATTTCTTATAAATATTATTATTAAACCGATTCTGTCGCATTACAGACCAATGTTATGGCAAGGCTATGTTATGAAGAACTTTCCGTACTAGATATTGAAAAAAGCCATGTGGTTGCTGTGGAGTCAGGCATATTTCTCAGGTTGTCAAATAGAAAACCTAACTTAGAAACCATACAAATGTCAAAAAAAAAGATTTTAGATAACATAGTCTTTCTGACACAGCTTCATAACACCCAAGTGACGTTGCAGTTTATGTGTAAAACGCCTGGATGCACAGCAACCACATGAACATTTTGACAGTATTCAGTATGATTCAGTAGGATAACGTTTGCAAATTGAAGAGTAAAAAATTTTGTTTACTTACATTCCAGGTTTTCTATCGGGATTGGAACTTCTGCAAGCAGTTCCATAACCGGTGCATTCGTTACAGGTGGTGCAGACCATACAGTTATAGCGTCTGTAAATAATATATAAATAAATAAAAATTATAAAAATGTAAATTCAAATGATAAATTTTGCATTTTGATTTAGCTTCATTAGCTTAGAAGATTAATTGAGACTATTATATGGCACATTCGAGTTGAAATCACATCATCCCTTAATAAAAAATATTAAAAATATAATTTCAATCAACACTTTAGGAACACTATATACATTAAGAATATATATGTTTTAAAAAATTTATATTAAAATTTAAGCTTTTACAAAGTTGTTAAGAATACCAAATGAATGAATAATAAATTTATTTAAAATACACAAACCATTCCTAGTATATTTTTTAACTGGTGAGTTAAATCTTATATATAAAAATGGAGCTCTCTTTCAAATGTCCGAATAAAACTCGAAAACGGCTGAATCGATTTGGCCAGTCTTAGTCTTGAAAAATTCGTGCCAATCCAGAGAAAGTCCAAAAGGTGAGAAATTATTTCAAATCCGCGTAGAAACCTTTTATTTTTAATTTGAAAATTTTTGTAGAAGCGTAATTTAAATAAAACAATGGACGGTGGCAATTACGTGAAATGTCAAACGCTTTTGACAGATGATGTTCAATTACGTTTAATAGGATGTTTTACGCGAATATTATTTAATTATGATAAATTTGTAGTAAGTAGTTTTGTTTGTAGTTTTATTTATATACAAAAACGTTAGTAAACGGGCCGCAAGTGATACTAGAGACTCAAAATATCAACTTTTTTGAAATGTTAATACGAAAATGCACTTTTTGCCGATGTAGCACTCTTTTTTTCAAATAATTTTTTTCAAACACCGTGCTCTTTGTTCTCATTTGTATAATTATATAATCATTGGTATTTATAAAACATTTTCTAGGTTATATTATTTTTTATTTATGTTATTTAAATTCAGAACCTAAATTTGGTATCGATCAAATAGACATTTTGTCGAATAACATTTTTCCAGTTATAATTTCCCAGAATTTATCGCAGAATAGATAGTAATATATGAAGGTCCGGGATTAAAAAGGTCCACCACCGATGTGCCAAAAATCAGTAAAGTTAAGCACTGTTTAACAACAATATTTGAAAGTAGAGGAAAAAAGATGTATAGCCTGCTACAACCTTGATTTGAGAACGATAATCTTTGAAGTGGGGGAGATAAACGGTAATCTTTGAAAATCCATAATAAAAGTATTTTCTTCCGTTGGTAGTTTTAGCATTAGTTAAAAATGTAATTATTTTGTAAAATACCTTTAAAATTATAATAAGGCTTTAAACCTTTTGCCACCTGCCCGTTACAAGTTACCCCGCCTATAAGGTAAAAAGGTCTAGATAACAAATTTTTGAAAGACATCAAAAAGCACATTTCTACAATGATGAAGTAGAAGTCAGTTTACTGAACGTAGTCAGATAATCGTTCGTTTGATATGTGTTATTTGTTGTGATATAATTGTTATGGTTTTCACAATATAGTATATATTTGCTCAAAGTCAAATTGGACCTTTGTGTCGCCCTGTTCTACACATATACTTTTTATTAAATTTACTTTAATTCATCGAATGTAACTTGAAACTTTTCAAAAAGCAGGTCAAAGAAGAAATACTTAATTCATTTTCTATCTCTCCTCGCAAAAATTTACAATTATTGTTTACAATTATACACAAAATCCAGAATCCAAAAAGAATTTGAAAAACTTGAAACGTAATCAATAAGTCGAAAGACCGAAAAAGACTCGGATTGGATTATACGATGTTTTCTATAGAAAGTGTATAATTCTTCCAGTTTGATGGTATTGACAAAATATAGACAAACTAATGGGGTTTATTGTTTTTATAATACCTAACTGTATATAACATTCAAACAAAACATCCTTATGCACTTAAAGTATTAATATTTTTGATTCTCTAGAAATGGTTTAGAATATACCCTATTTAGCAAAACAACGTTTGCCGGGTCAGCTAGTAAAATATAAAAAGACATCATACAGTTTCTTTTACTATTATTGTTATTTTAGGATAAGTTTATAAGTGTTCTTTTCCTTTACCTAAATGTATGTCTACCAGCAGCGCAAGATGGATGATTAGCAGACAACTGCGGCTGATTAGGCTGCTGCTGCTGCAGCTGCTGGTTACATTGAGCATCGCTAATTTCTTCATCGTCCTCCTGCTGATATGGAGGCTGGTCATCCGATTCTCCCAAATTCTGGGCACTCGTTTCCATTGCAACAGGATCCGGTGCTGAGGAAGAAATTATCATATTTAGGAATAAAACATATTATAACTAGTTGGTATTGGTGGAAAAATCGATTTAATCAATAAACTCATTAAGACAAAGTACTCTATCGTTATACCAAGTAAATCGCCTAATTTTAATTTTAACCAACGTCAAAAAAACTACTCATTTTCTCAAACTTTGATGAATTTTTAAAATTAAACTACTTGTCCTAAAGCCGTAATATTTTAGTAAGTTCTGTAAGACCATGATATATATCGCCAAAAAGTTCCATAAAAATCGGCTTAAATTTTTTTTCAACAGATAATTACAAGAAAACGGCTCGGCAGATTTTCACCTAAAACTAATCAGTATCATTCCCAACTAATATATTTCGAACTGTTTTTAATTTTTTTAAATCGATTCGGTATCATGAGCTCAAATGTGGACGAAAAGTTTAAAACTTTTTTTCAAATTACAAAGAAACGGCTCGGCAGATCGTCGCCCAAAACTGGCAAAAGATAATCCACTTCGAAATACATTGAATGGCTTTCAAATTTTTGAAATCGGTCCAGCCATATTAAAATAGGGATAAAATGTGGAATAATAATTCCACAATTATTCGACTTACTACAGAATCTTGTCCACGTTCGAAAATTATATGCAAAGACTTTTGGAAGCATAAAATAAAAAAATAAGTGTTATTGTAATTAGAGCTAAAACTAGCAGGTTGGTGAATCTAAAAAGCTAGAACTGTTAGCAAAGTTGTGTTAGTTCGAAATCAGCATCAGATTATTTAAAAACCCTCTCATTCAGATCGAAAAGAGCAAGGCGAAAAACTTTACCAAGTCAGCAGGACTTTGGACAATTTATTCTAAAAAAAAGTAGGATTTCCATATGATAACTTTCTATTACTGGAATTACGACAAAATTTTATCCACGTTCGAAAATTACATGCAAAGACTTTTGAAGGCATAAAATAAATAATGTGTTTTAATTTTAATTTTAATTTGAGGTGAAACTAGCACGTTGATATATCTCAAAAACTAGAGCTTTTATTAAAGTTGTTCGGAATCGGCGTCAGATTACTTAAAAACAACTCTCATTTAGATAAGTTTTGGAAAACTCTTGGAGATGTTAGCTAAGAGCAAGAAAAAAATCTACCAAGTCCTCGGGACTTTGGAGGAGCTATATCAAGAAAAGTGGAACTTTCACAATTATTGGACTTACGACGAAATCTTGTCCACGCTCGAAAAATATATGCTAAGTCTCTTAAAGACATAAAAAATGTGGTAATGTTATTTAAAGTAAAACTAGTAAATTGGTGTATCTCGAAAACTAGAGTTGTTAATAAAGTTCTGTTTTTTTTTTTCGGAATCAGCGTCGGATTACTTAAAAACCACTCTCATTTAGATCGGTTTTTAAAAACTCTTGAAGATGTTAGTTAAGAGCTGGGCTAGAAAATCTACCAAGTCATCAGGACTTTGGAGGAGATATATCAAGAAAAGTAGAACTTCCACATGATAAGTGACAATTATTGGACTTACGACAAAATTTTGTCCCCGCTCGAAAATTATATGCAAAGTCTTTGGAAGGCATAAATTAAAATGTGTTATTGTTTTTTGAGGTAAAACTAATAAATTGGTATATCTCAAAAATTAGAAAAGTTCTTTAAAAATTAGCAAAGTTCTGTTACATTTTTCGGAATCAGCGTCGGATTACTTAAAAACCATTGTCTGTTAGATCTATTTTTGAAAAATCATTGGGGATGTAAGCTAAGAGCAAGACGAGAAAATCTACCAAGTCATCAGGACTTTGAAGGTTTTTGAAAACTCTTGGAGATGTTAGTTAAGAGCTGGGCGAGAAAATCTACGAAGTCATCAGGACTTTGGAGGAATTATATTCATTTCATCAGGACTTTGAAGGTTTTTGAAAACTCTTGGAGATGTTAGCTAAGACCAGGGCGAGAGAATCTACCAAGTCATAAGGACTTTGAAGGAATTAAATTCAAGTCATCAGGACTTTGAAGGTTTTTGAAAACTCTTGGAGTTGTTAGCTAAGACCAGGGCGAGAGAATCTACCGAGTCATCAGAACTTTGGAGAAACTATATCAAGAAAAGTGGGATTTCCATGTGATGAGTGACATTTATTGGACTTAGGACGAAATCTTGTCCACGCTCGGAAATTTTAAGCAAAGACTTTTTTGAAGGCGAAAGTTATAAAATATGTAACTCAAAAACTAGAAGTGTTAGGAGAGTTGTGTTACTTCGGAATCACCTCGAATCATGTACTTAAAAACTATTATAACATCTCAGGAAAAAAATTAGTGTCACCCAGTGTTATTTTTGACCATAAAATGCGGATTTCCTAACTTTTTCTTGAAACTGTTAGACCTGTCTTCACAAAACTTTAATAAATTATGTATTTTGTTCTTACAAGTGAAATTAATTTTGAGTGTTTCCGAAATCGAGAACGGAAGAATTTATCCGCACATACACATTATTTTTTTCTAAGTTATGGCAAAATAGTCACAATTCAAATTTTCAATTTTTGGACAATTAGTATAACTTACCCTCGAGATTTTAGTTCAGATTTTTGAGTAATGAAAATTATTTTTAAGTTTGGGGTCAAATTTTTAACTGTTTTAAGTGTGCAACCTCGAGACAGTTAGACCAGACTTCTCAAAAAATTAATAAATTCTATATTTTGCTTTTACAAGTAAAATGAATTGAGTCATTCAAATCAGTGTTCTTAAAGTCGAGGGCGGAAGATTTTATCCGCACATATACATAATTTTTGGCCAATTTCGATTTTTGGACAATTACTATAACTTACCCTTAAGATTTTAGTGCAGATTTTTGAGTTTAATGAAAATACTTGCATTTTACTTTGAAAAAAATCAATTTTTTAACTGTTTGTCTGCAACCTCAAAACAGTTAGACTTGTCTTTACAAAAATTTAATAAACTCTTAATTTCGTAATTACAAGTAAAGTGAATTTTAAGTCATCCAAATCAGTATTCTCGAAATCGGGGACGAGAGATTTTATACAAGACACAAAACGTTAATTTTTTCTAAGTTATGACAAAATGTTCACATTTTCACAAGTCATAATTTAGTTTAATTTTTTCGTAAATCCTCTGAAACATATGATTATGGAAAAATTGATAATTTTCGATTTTTTGGACTAATACTATAACTTACCCTCTTGATTGTTATTAGCATCCATCATGTCAGACATAGCACTAATTAATTTTACGAAATAATTAAAAATAACTGATTGAAGTAAAATTAATAAAATTTTCATTGAAGGTTATTATAGGAACTTAGCAAAATTATGATAAAAAACTTTTAATTATGGATTATTTAGGATTAATATAAGTAGCTTAGCAGAATTTAGATTAAAGAGTTAAAATTAAGAATTATTTATGATTAATATAAGTAAATTAGCCAAATTTAGATTAAACAGTTAGAATTATGGATTATTTAGGATTAATGAAGTAACTTAGCAAAATTAAGATTAAACAGTTAAAATTATGGATTATTTAGGATTAATATAGTAGCTTAGCAGAATTAAGATTAAACATTTAAAATTATGGATTATTTATGATTAGTTAAGAAAAAACTGTTAAAATTATGGATTATTTATGATTAATATAGTAACTTAGTAAAATTAAGATTAAACACTTTAAATTAAGGATTATTTATGATTTATAGGTAACTTAGTAAAATTAAGATTAAACACTTTCAATTATAGACTATTTATGATTAATATAGTAATTTAGCAAAATTAAGATTAAACGGTTAAAATTATGAATTATTTAGGATTAAACACTTATATTTATGGATTATTTCTAATTATTATGAACTATTTAAATTTATTATATTTTAGTGAAATATTAAAAGAAAATTCGCAATTAAAGAAAGAAGACACTCGAATCTGAATTGAATCAAAGACTGAATTGAATCAAAAACTTTCGAACAATGAATCCGCGAACGGTGGGTGCTGCAATTTATACTATGCACACACACACATGCACAATTGTGCAGACACCAAACTAAATTTGTACAATGATCGTATATTATATTATTATATATGGTAATACATCGAGAGCCATGGAGTATATAGCAGGGGTAATTTTTTTCCACAGAGCTCAGATTTGCGTATAGCATTTTTCTCGAGATGGCAACCCAATGGTCAACCACGTTTTTATAATCTTAACATGCCTCGACGGGAAGGGCTTTTTTAAATCTTTTCATCTATTTTATTTTGATTTTTTTTAATTTAATATTTATTAAATACATCGAGCCATAAAGTCTATAGAAAGGGTTTTTTTTTTCAACAAAGCTCAGAACTGCCTATTATTTTTCTGGATATTACAACCCAATGGCCAACCACGTTTTTATGACTTTTCTTGGTCTCAATGAGAAGGGCTTTTTCCAATCTCTTCAATTATTTTATTTTTTTTTATTTATTATTGATTTAAAAATTATCATCATATAACTTGTTGTTATATTAATTAGTGTGTATCATATATTTGTGTTTTCCTTTAAATTACTTGTATGCACTGAAGATGAGTCAAATCAAGAAACATTTGACAATAGACATTTTTCTTCACTAAAATTGATTAACTTCCCGTAGGGTTAGTTACTGTAATCGTCCAAAAATCAAAAATATTTTTTTTGCATATCTTCACGTTTCAGAGATTTCTGAACATTTTGGCATTCTTCAGAAAAAAATGATGTGTGTATATGTATGTATCACGGGATCAACCGATTTGAATGTTTAAAAAACCATTCGATTCCTATTGATAGGGGAATGTGTTGATTAGTTTTTGTCAAAAGCAGGTCCAGCCGTCACGGAGATACGAAGCAAATGGTGCAGAAAATACAAATCGAGTTTTTGAGAGAACGGAGCATCCGATTTGAATAATTCAAAAAATATTGTACTTGCATTGATATAATGAAAAATAGATTAAATTTTTGGCAAGGCAAATCCAGAAGTTTTGGAGTTCCAAGAAGAATAAGTTTGAAAAATGCCATTTGACGATTATAAATGCGATATTTTTGACAGTCTAGCTGGATCATAATGAGTATCACAAACATTCAAGAAATTTCAAAATTTTCAAAAACAAAAAATTTAGTGTTTTTAGTTTTTCAAAAATTTGAAAGTTCTGAAAAGATTTGTAAATTTTAAAAGATATTTGAAAGTTTTAAAAAATAATAAGTTTTAAAAAAAATTAATAAGTTTTAAAATAATTAGTAAGTTTTAAAAAAAATTAGTAAGGTTTAAAAAAAATTACTAAGTTTTAACAAAATTTACTAAGTTTTAAAAAAAATGAGTAAGTTTAAAAAAAAATACTAAGTTTAAAAAAATAGTTTTAAAAAAAATATTTTTAAAAAAAATTAGCAAGTTTTTAACAAAATTTGTATATTTTCAAAAAATTTAGGTTTAAAAAAATTAATGTTTTCCAAAATTAAGTTTAAAAAAATGGGTGAGCTTTTAAAAAATGAGTAAGCTTTTATAAATATTTGTAAGCTTTTAAAATATTAGTAAGCTTTTGAAATATTAGTAAGCTTTTAAAAAATTAGTAAGCTTTTAAAAAATTAGTAAACTTTTAAAAAATTAGTTAGCTTTCATAAATTAGTAAGCTTTTAAAAATGTGAAAGTGTTAAAAAAAATTTTTAGCTTTAAAAAAATTTTTAGGTTTTTAAATAATGTTTAAGTTTTCAAAAAAGGTGACTTTTCTCAAAAAAAAACTTTTTCGAATGTTTTCAAAATATTCAAATACTAAAAAAAAAAATCTCAAAAAAATCTAATTTTTCTTTTCAAAGCTTTTAAAATTTTTAAAGTACTGTACGGGAAGTTCTAGAAATTACTAGTTTTTTTCTTATGTTTGCTATTTTATTATCGTTTACATCTTGCCGATGTAAAGATTCATGTAATCCAGAAAAAAAAAGTTTAAAATTAAATAAGGTGCACTTGAAAATTATATTCATATCATAAACTAAATAACAGTGCTCAAAACAAGAAAAACTAATGAATTAAATACTTTTGTTTGAAAATTGACAACGTGCCCATTTATCTCCCGATAGCAATAGCTGGTTGCACATCTTTTGCCCTTTACTTTAAAATACTGTCATTAAAAAATTCCCAACTACAGTAGTTTCTAAGATAATGGTTCACTAAATGCTAAATAATTTACTCACTTTCTTTCTGATTATAAGGAACGTATTCTCGACCACACTGCCCTTTATTGTTGATTCCAAATGTAAAAACAGCTCCTTTCGAGTTGAGAGCAACAGCATGAGCTTTTCCAAGAGCAACTTGCACTATGAACTCGTTTCTTAGATCAACGACAGAACCTAATACAAAAAAATATTAACAATAACTCTAATCATATGTTAAAATACACATTCTTTAAAGTTTAATATTTTTTTACAATTTTTTGCAGAAACATATTTGCAATTCCATTTTCAAATTTATCAGGTTAATTTTTTCCCAATTATATATCTATATATATATAAATCTTGAGTGATCGTTGTTGAAGATTTTTGGACCCCCCATGATGATACGTCGTGATATTTGAAATTACCCTCCCCCCTCCTGCACCAAACATCACATGTATTTTTAGTTAGGGAAAAATATCTTAAATTTTTTAATTTATTTTTGCAAATTCCGTGCTATAGTTAGTGGCGCCTCTATGAAGCGCGGAAACGACTAAAATTGAAGTAAGGTGGCGTCCATTAATCACGTGATCCATTTTTTGAGCATGTTTAGACAAAATTACCAAACTGATTTATATTTTTATAGAACATTTAAATTTAACTAAAATAATTTAATATCAGGTGCATGCATAAATTAAAATAGCTGAATTATATGAGTCATTAAATTTATTTTTATTCTTTTCTATTTATTATTCCTCCCAGCTCTCTATCCCCTACATATACAAAAAGTGCGTTTCTGTGGGGTAGGTTATGTATCGGTAAATGTATATGAAGTAGAAATGTCTGAAAAAAAGAAGTGTTAAAAGTTGATACGAAGGAATAAAAAACACATCCCTAATAGGGTCAGAAATGTCTTATTGATATCTGCGATTCAATCGCACTTTTGGGATATCGCCTCCCTCAGCAATCATCACGTGTATTTTTAGTTACGAAAAAAATCGTAAAATTTTTCAATTTTTAATGAAAACGTTTGTTTTTAACTTCCCGTAGGGTAAGTTATTGTAATGGGCCGAAAATCGGAATTGAAAATTTTTACATTTCTCGACGTTTTGAAGGTTTCTGAACGTTTTGGCATACTTCAGAAAAAATGGATGTGTGTGTGTGTGTGTGTGTGTGTGTGTATGTATGTATGGATACAAATTTTCGCCCACGTTTTCGGGCGTACGGATCAACCGATTTGAATGGTTTAAAAAACATTCGATTCCTATTGATAAGGAGATGTACTGATTAGTTTTTGGCAAAGGCAGGTCCAGCAGTTACGGAGATAAGAAGCAAAGAGTGGAGAAAATAGAAATCGAGTTTTTGAGAGAACGGAGCATTCGATTTGAATGATCTAAAAAACATTCAATTATTAATGATTGGGAGAAGGGGTTATTAGTTTTTCGCAAAGGCAGGCCTAGCTATTTCGGAGATACAGAGCTAAATGTACAAAAAATGGCAGTTTTTGAGAGAACTAAGCGTCCGATTCAATTGATTCAAAGAACTTTCTGCTTGTCTTAACAAAATAATTGATTTTGGAAAAAAAAAATTTTGTCCCATTTTTTTTTTTTTTTTTTTAATTTTTTGTATATCGAAAATAATTCAGATTTTATTTTTAATTTTGACTATAGTTCTAATATACATTAAACAATTAATTTCAACTTTGTAATTTAGTTTATATAATTCTTATAAATATTAGACAATGTTACAATATTTATAATAATCTATTTGAAAACATTCAATATTTTTCGAACATTTCGTTACGGTACGGGAAGTTCCAGCAATTTGCCTTAAGGCACGATGCCACCCACCCCACTAGTTAACTTCCCGAAGGAGAAGTTTATGTTTTCATCAAAAAATCCGATTCGCTAATTTTATGTTTTCTCGACGTTTCAAGCCATTCTGAATCGAATGAGATCAAATTTGGAAAAAGTATGTGTGTGTGGGTGTGTGTGTGTGTGTGTGTGTGTGTATGTGAACAGATTTTTTGCCGTAAATCGACGTTTTCTCGAAAACGGCTGGGTCGATTTCAAAAATTTAAAAGCCATTCGATGTATCTCGACGAAAACTATTGTTTGTCAGTTTTGTGCGACGATCGGCCAAGCCGTTTCTTTATAAATGGAAGAAAAGTGAAAAATTTTTCGTCTACGTTTTAGCCCGCAATTCTGAATCGATTTTGAAAATTCAAAAACCGTTCGAAAGATATTGGTTGGGAATCGTGCTGATTAGTTTTTGGTAGAGATCGGCCGGGCCGTTTTCTTGTAATAAAGTTTTAAAAAAAAAAATTCGACGATTTTTATGATTATTTTTTTGACGATAGATACCATAGTCTTCTAGATCATACTAAAATATTACGGCCCTACGATAACTGGTTCAGCTTTAAAAATTCGTCAAAGATTGCAAAAATCAGTATGGTCTTTTTGGCATTTGTCAAAATTAGACTTTTGATCGACGTTTTCTCAAAAACGCCTGAATCTATTTTAGAAATTTAAAAGCCATTTGATGTATTTCGGTGAGGACTATCGTTTATCAGTTTTGTGCAACGATCTGACAAACCGTTTCTTTGTAATTCGAAAATACTTTTTGTCCACATTTAAGCTCATCCTACCGAACCGATTTTGAAAAATCAAAAACTGTTCGAAAGATATTAGTTGGGAATGGTACTGATTAATTTTAGGTGAAAATCTACCGAGCCGTTTTCTTGTAATTAACTGTTTAAAAAAAAATTTAAGCCGATTTTCATGGAACTTTTTTGGCGATATACATCATGGTCTTATAGACATAACTGTAATATTACGGCCTTACGACAAGTAGTTTAATTTTACAAATTCGTCAAAGTTTGCTAAAATTATTATCGTTTTTTTAAGTAGGATTTATGAAGTATATTATTTACACATTTTTTTTGATTAAGTCGATTATTTACACATATCGGGAAGTTCATGTAACTTGCCTCAAGGCTAAATACCAAACCAACTAGTTTTTTTTTAAATTCAGATAAAAAATAAATACAGGTGATATCTTACTAGACACCTCCCTTCCTCATGTAATTTTTCGTGATTTTCTGTCAAACCCCTACGTGATTAATGGACCCCCCTTATCGCAAAACAACTGTGTTTTTGATCTATTTTATACTTATTTTATATCCAATTAAACAATTGTATAATATTTGTGTTACTCAATAAGTATCTATTTCTATTTCTACCTGTGGCCTGATCACAATGCACAGTGTCCTTCCCGAACATCAACAAGGCACCATTCCTGGTGACTAACGCAGTCGTTCCGTTATTGCATGCTGCCTGAACTATGTGGTAGGCTTCGACTTTGGTCATTTTCTTTGGTTTACTCGGACGAGGCTGCCTACGGACTTTGACTTGGTCGCCGTCTTCACCCCGTCTTGAAGTTCCTAGAGGAAAATAATAGATTAGGAAATTTGAGGAAGAAATTGAAGAATAAATTAGTAACAGTAAAAAAAAATGGCTCATTGAGTTTTGAAATGTCGAACTGGTATAAAGTATGTGGTATGTCCAAGAAAACCAATTGAATACCAAAGACCGATTGGAATTATTCGTTAACTAAAAGCACTAGAATAGAAAAGAAAAAAAAATCAAACATTTAAAATTAGATTAAATTGATTTTGCAACTGGTGGTGCATGGCATCGTGCCTTAAGGCAAATTGCTGGTACTTCCCGTATCAAAAAAATTTTTTTTTTAAAAACGATTCACTTTTTTTTAAACTTTGAAAAAAAAAGATCTTTGAGAACATTTAAAACGTTTTTTTTTTAAATATTTGAATTTTTTTATACTTCGAAATATTTTGAAAATTATGAACTGTTTTTCAAAGAAAATCATTTTATTACTACTTTGTTATTTAATTATTTTTATTAAAAACAATTCAAGTTTTTAGAACTTTGAAAAAAATAGATTTGAGATCATTTGAAAAAACATTTTTTTTTGAAATATTTGAATTTTCTATACTTTGAGAAAATTTTATTTTATTTAATTATTTATTTATTTTTTTAAAAACGATTCACTTTTTTTAGAATTTTGAAAAAAAAATTTTTTTGAGAACATTTGAAAAAGCATTTTTTTTAAATATTTAAATTTGAATAATTTGAAAATTTTGAACTGTTTTCCAAATAAATTTATTGTATTTTATTATTTTATTTATTTATTTATTTTACAAAAAATCACTTTTTGGAACTATGATTAAAAATAGATTTTTGAGAATTTTAAAATTTTTGAATGAACATTATTTTTGAAATATTTGAATTTTTATACTTTATAATATTATGAAAATTTTGAACTGTTTTTCAAAGAAATTTATTTTATTTTATTATTTTGTTATTTATTTATTCTTATTAAAAACGATTCACATTTTTAAAAACGTTGAATAAAATAGATTTTTGATAACATTTTTTTATACTTTGAAAATTTTGAACTGTTTTTCAAAGAAATTTATTTAATTTTATTATTATTTGTTTTTCTTAAAAAAACTATTTACTTATTTTAAAACTTTGAAAAAATAGATTTTTGAGAACATTTGAAAAAACTTTTTTTTTTGAAATATTTGAATTTTTTCATACTTTAAAATATTTGAACTGTTTTTCAAAGAAGTTTATTTCATTTTATTATACCGGTTTATTATTTATTTATTTTTTCCCGAAAACAATTCACTTTTTTTATAACTTTGAAATAAAAATAGATTTTTTGAGAATTTTGAAATTTTTGAAAAATTTTGAGTTGAGAAATTCTGAATTGAGAACAGTTTTTCAAGGAAAATTTATTTATTTATTTATTTTAAAAACGATACACTTTCTTTGAGAAATTGATTTTTGAGAATTTTAAAATTTTTGAAAAAGCACTTTTTTTAGAAATATTTGATTTTTTGTATACTTTGAAATATTTTGAAGATTTTTAACTGTTTCAAAGCAATTGAGATACGATAGTTGCGTAGAAACAAAATATCAAAGCGCGTAAGCGCCGCGTCGCTATTTATCGGATAAACATTGGTACGGAATCCATAGAAATGTAAACAAAATTTGTTCATATTATTAAACTATGTATAAAATATGTAATAATTTGATGTGATGTTTTTATTTTACATTTTCGGCAAATTACTTTAACTTACCCTACGGGTAAATTATCTGCAATTGTTATTAAAAATTTATCAAAAATTATTGTTCAATTACCTGCAAAATATGCAGAACCATCATCCATAACAAGGACTGCATGCTGGCCTTCATGTCCTACTGCAATTTGGACAACTCGAGGATTTTTTGGAATAATCAACTCGCTTAGACAATTTCCTGGTGTTTTGTTTGCTGCGTTCACCTTTATGCCCAATACTGATGGTTTACCAGTAAAATAGGCCTACGAATAATAAAATAATTATATCTTATATAAAAAATTCTTCTGTAATGACGTATGTAAATATACTCCTCCTAAACGATTATTCGGATTTTGATAAATCTTTCTAAAGTTTGTTAAGGGAATTTATGATGTATGTAAATATAAAAATATAGTAATATTGTAGAAATAAATAGAAAAAAATGCAAAAAACGACATGTCATTGTTACACATTGAAAATATTTGAGACATTGTTGGGCATCGAAGATAAATAAAAGCCATCTGCCAAAAATTTCAATTTACTTATGAGTCTAGATAATATTAGAATATTAAATATACGAGGTCTGTTCAAAAAGTACCCGGAATTTTCGTTTTTTCAAAAAAATATTTATTTATTCGTCTACATTAATGTGGTCCCCTTCAAAGTAGTCCCCCCCAGATATAATACACTTAAGCCAGCGTTTTTTCCAATTTTCGAAGCACCCTTGATATTCACTTTTTGATATGTCCTTGAGCACTCTCAGCGATTTTCTTCAATCGAGGAAAACCGCCGTCCTTTCATGGGTCTCTTCAACTTTGGGAATAGGAAAAAGTCACACGGAGCCATATCTGGTGAATTTTTGCACTTTGCTTTCACACTTTATTTCATTTTTTACGCAAAATTTAATACAAATTCTTTGACTTTTCAATTCTTCCATTGTAAAAATCGCCGAGCTCAGAAAAACACGTCGAACCTTAGCGACTACCACAGACAAAGTAAACAGTGAATATAGCTGAAAATTTCATCATACTTTAGGGGCATGTATACCAACACAATAAAAAAAAAATTTTGACAATCAGACACTCCAGACCCGCGAAATTTAATTATTAGTAATTCCGGGTACTTTTTGAACACACCTCGTAAATATTATTTGTCCTCTTACCTTTCCATTACTCCCTCGAGCAAGCACAAATTCTTTCCCAGCACACACCTGAGCGATATCTTCCTCACCAGGAAGCGACAGAGCACAACAATCGCCTCCAGAATTAGGCACACCAGGATCTGCTTGTCTCGGACCAGACCCATCACTTAGAAATTCATTTGCATTTCCTCCCAAGACGTCCAAACGCTTCCTTGCCAATTTTAAGGGCAAATCGAGAGGAGTGCTCGAGTTTAGGGTTCTTACGATAAACGAATCCTGAGGAAAAATAGATAATTAACTTCCCGTAGAGTAGTTATAGTAATGAGCCAAAAATCGAAAATGAAAATTTTTGCGTTTCTTGACGTTTTGAAGGTTTCTGAACATTTTGGCATACCTCAGAAAAATTGGATGCGTGTGTGTGTTTTGTATGCCGCATTTTTTCGTCCACGTTTTCGGGCGCACGGATCAACCGATTTGAATGGTTTAAAAAACATTCGATCCCTATTGATAGGGAGATGTGCTGATTAGTTTTTGGCAAAGGCAGGTCCAGCCGTTACGGAGATACGGAGCAAAGAGTGCAGAAAACACAAATCGAGTTTTTGAGAGGAAGGAGTATCGGATTTGAATGATGTAAAAAACATTCAATTTGTAATGATTGGGAGAAGAGGTGATTAGTTTTTGGAAAAGACAGGTCCCGCGATTTCGAAGATACAGAGCTAAGTGTGCAAAAAATGGCAGTTTTTGAGTGAACTAAGCGTCCGATTTGAATGATCTAAAAAACTTTCTGTTTGTATTGACAAAACAATACTATTTTCCGTAAAATATTTTTGTAATTCTGGATTAAAAATTAATAAAATTACCCAGGGTAAGCACAGTCTAAGCGCCACTCTGGTACAAATGTTTACCCAAGTGCGTTTAGACTGTTTATGTATAGAGCACTTTTCCAATTTTGTGAAAACTATTGAAAAACGTAAAAATGCCGCCAAGCTAAGCACAGTATAAGTGAAAATGTCGCACAGAATTATTTGCAAATGCGTTTAGACTGTGACTATACGGGAGCACTTTTTCAATTTTGTGTAACAATTTTTGAGCAACTATATTTTCTTTGAAATTGAATTTGAAATGAAATGACGATTGTTAATGTTCTGGAGATAAATTGATTTTTGATTTACATTTAATTTGCTCAGATATAACAAGATAGCAAAAATAATGAAAGTTACAGTATTTGTAATAATATATTTGAAAACGTTTAAAATTTCTCGAATATTTCATCACGATACGGGATGTTCCGGCAATTGGCCTTAAGTTTAGTTTACTACTTTTTTTTCTTATTCACTTACATCTTTAGCTGCTGTAATGATGCCTAAATTTTCTCCATCGCTGAACATAACCGATGAAGTTCTGGACTGGTCTCGGCTGCTCGAATATTGATCCGTGCTTCCAATCAATTGTAAATTCTCTCGATTAATTTCACAAAGTGGCGTGTTGCCTGCTTGCTTGTAATACAGTGTAGTCTGCAAGGATTATAAAAAAATAATTAATGTAATTTACGACCTCTTAATTATTTTTGACTTACATTACAGTATCCGATCCATGCCCGACAAGCAACATCCTTATTACAAGCGTAAACGAATCCTTTAACAGTACCAGCATAACCAGTACCAATTTTCAGCAGTCCTCGGGCTGTTAGAGCATACAAGAATTTTCCATCAGAAGCCAGAGCAGTCGCTGCCATCTGTCCACCAGTTTCACTGGAGGCTGTCATGCAAACTGGTGTTGCCAGAGCGTCACCGCTTCCTCCACTCGAAGTCATGAGACAGTCGGTGTCCACGAAGAAGGAGTCCACCAGAGATTCGGCTGGTATGCCGTGGGTTAGGAAATCTGGTCGGGTTTGTTTTTCGAGTAGGACTGCGTGGACGGAGCGCTGGAGAGACACCAGGACGGCAGGCATCTGGAAGAAAATGATATAAATTAGGTGTAAGTGGCTTAAGACAAACTTTTTGCAATGTATAAGTAATCGACCTAATAAGAAAACAATATACTATGTAACTTCCCGTAGGGTAAGTTATAGTAATCGCAAAAAAATCAAAAATGAAAATATTTATATATCTTTATATTTCAATGGTTTCTTAACATTTTGTCCAACGTCTCCTGAGATCCAATAAAAAAAAGTAAATACAATGCTATTTGATGGTCAAAAGTAACCGTTAAACATATCAAAAAATAAAATTTTTCAAAGAAGTCAAATTTTTTTCAAAAATTTCAAAATTTCACAAAAATGTAATTTTTTCAAAGTTTGGCAAAGTTTTTTTTAATAATTTAGTTTTCGGTACGGGAAGTTCCAGCAATTTGTTATTTATACAATAGTTTATTTATACAAAGTTTAATTATAATGCAAAAAAACAATCAATTACGAAGAAACGGTCCGGCTGATCTTTGCCAAAAACGAATCAACGCGATTTCCATTGGTCGACAAAGACAGGCCCAAAAATATTGAAATTTATAAGAAAAAAATGAGTGCAAAATCAGTTAAATTTTGTATTTTCAAATTTCTTAAAATACCCAAATTTATTATCAAAAGGATTAAATTTACCAAATTTATTAAAATGCTAAAATTTATCAAAACATACAAATTCACAAAAATATTAAAACAACAAAAAACTGAAAGTATGACTTTTTAAAATTATTATAATTACTGAAATTCTAAATAGTCGACTCGGTTGAAACGTTCAACTCAATTGCAATTGCAAGTCAGTTCAAATGTTGAACTGGATTGAATAGTCAACTCAATTGAAAAGTTAAACTCAAATGTAACTATCAAGTCAATTGAAATTTTCGAGTTGATTGAAATAGTCAAATTGATTGAAATAATCAACTCAATTGAAATGATCAACTCGATTGAAATGTTCAAGTTGATTGAAATAGTCAACTCAATTAAACAACACAAATAAAATAGTCAAATCAATTGAAATAGTTAACTGTTGATTGAAATATTCAGTTTGGTTGAAACGTTCAACTCAATTAAAATAGTCAAATCGATTAAAACGTTCGAGTTGATTGAAATAGTCAACTCAATTAAAATGTTCAACACGAATTAAATAGTCAAATCAATTGAAATGGTCACCTCGATAAATACGTTCAATTCGATTGAAATATTTAACTCGATCAAAACAGTCAACACGTTTGAAATGTTCAACTCCATTGAAATAGTCAAATCAATTGAATCGTTCGAATCGATTAAAATAGTCAAAAATTTAATCAGTTCTTCATCTTGTCAATACAAGTAAAATGCTTTTTGAATTATTAAAATTGGTTGATCGGTGTTGCCGAAATGCTTGTATCCGCACACACACACATACATCAATTTTTTCTAAGGAATGCCTTAAAAATGTTCAGAAACCTCTGAAACGTGAAGATATACAAAAAATGTCATTTTATATTTTTTTGCGATTACTACAACTTACACTACGGGGAGTTAATTAGCAAAAATTATGAAAACAAACAAATAAGTGCTATTTTTTTCAACTTAATTATTAAGAAAATTGAATTGAATATTCTGCAAGACTCAAAAGCAAAGAACAAAATAATCAGAAAATATAAGATACAACATAATAAAGATAAAAAAGTATTTCATATTATCGAATATAAAGGTTCTTACTATAAGTTCGCAATTCTGATTAAAAAAATTTATTCATATAAAAAACTATTTTTTATTGTTTCCTTAAGTAGTTAAAATCCTAATTTTGTTATCTCATATTTGTCTATAATAATCAGTACTAAGGTGACCGTAAGTCCCGGCTAGGACGGGGCAGTCCCAAATTTTCACATTGCGTCCCGAGTTTTTCTAAAAGCAATATGTGTCCCGAATTGTCCCGTTTTTTTCCGAAAATCAATAAAACAAATAAGTGCTATTTACTATTTTATTAGCATTTATTATTTTAAAGGCCTACCCTCACCCTTCGTCCCGTATTAACATAACTAAAAACATTCCGGTTTTGACTTAAAATATATGGTCACCTTATCAGTACCTACGTTTGGAAAATTTGTAAGAAATTCAATAATCTGCAATAGTTCCTAACATATTAATTAATTACATCTACACCTCTCCAGTTTCAATTTAAAATTTCACATCAACTAACATTGGCCGATTAATCTAAATTGCCAATTATTGTCTTACAAGACCAGACCACTTTTAGGTCTAGTTTATCAAATTTTATCTAGTTTATTAAATCTAGATGATTAAATTTTATCTTCGTACATAACTACTTTAATCGTACAATGAGCCCAAAGGAGATATTGAAAAAAAAACTGCTTTTTGACGCTATGAAAATTCGAGGTAGCAAAGTTGAAATTCGTAAGGAGCATATCAAAATCTATAAGATAACCAATTCTCACAATTCCCCGGGTACTATACCAGCTAAACAACCAAATGACTGGACTATATATTTACCACCACCAAATCCTTACCACATTAAATTTCTCTACTTATTTTAATTATATAATAATTTTACTCCTGTCTTAGAATGAACACCGAGTAAAATTATAGGATTAAAAATATTTACAAAATCTTCAGACCATTAGCATCCGATTAGAATGATTCAAAAAAATATTACGTCACCAGAGATGTATTTCTCTTCTTACCTTGATGTTTTGTGAAGCAAGTTGTCTCGGACACATCAGCATAGCTCCTAAAGCCATTAACATCTTCCCAGTATCTCCTCTGACAGTGACCAGGCCGAGCAAACAGGCACACGCCACGGCCTGCAGACCGCGTCCGTCGTCTGGTTGAGACGGTGCAGGACCGTGAGATGTAGCCAGGTCGAGGAGCAATTGGAACAAGGCGTTCATGGTGTCTTCTGGTTCGGCTTTTAGTTCTTCTGGATGTTGACCTGGGGAATAGAAAGTTGGTGTAAATTATAAAGGACATTTGTAAATTAACTAGCTATATGTTAACATGTTGACTAGATGTAATATCTAGTTATTGAGATGGAAAATTTTCATAAATACAATAATTTAAAAAAATCGTAATTTCTGCATCAAAAGATGCAGAATAAAATTACAAATAAAATGATATATAAATGGTTAAGTGTGTTCATATAATTTTCTCGAGATTTTCCAGTTTTCCTAAAATTTTTCGTTTGCAACTTGCTTGTAGGCACACCGTACAGAATTCGAAGTTGCGATATATGGAAAAAAACTAAGCATTTTGAAACCTTTCTAACTATGTATAATACTTTATATGTTTTCTTTACATGAAACCTTTCTAACGATGTATAATACTTTATATGTTTTCTTTACATGATTTGCATGTTTTGTTAAATTTAAGCATTTCAAAAATTTTCAGCAATTTAGCCAGTTTTTTGTATTTAGTATTCAGCAATTTAGGCAGTAATTTGTATGTTTTGATAAATTTGATCATTTTGATAGCGCATGTATCTTTCGCGATTAATTGTTGAGCTGTAGATGCATCATCGAAAGAAATATCCCATTCAGTATCCCAAAATATAATATATCAGTATTTTTGACTTTCAGTAAATATAGTAATAATATAAATACAGAGAAAATCAAACGACATACATAACAGCACGTTACACATAAAAAACAAGCAACTATCGAAATGTGTTCAAAGAATTTTCCCAGTTATTTCCTAAATATAGAAATGTTTTTTTGCTATTTTTCAATAATATGTCATATGTACCCTTTTACAGCATAGAGGTAAAAGAACATCCAATGTCTCATTTTTAATTATGAGGATTTTTCCGAAATAAAAGCTACATTATTTACAAATTTCCTGAACACATTTTTAATTTTTATACCTAAATATTGGTCAGCAGAATATCTATTAATTTAATTTATCTCTTGTTGAATTACCTTTTTCTAACATAATATACTATTTTATTTACTATTGTCTTGAATAACAATTAACTAACGTATACTTGTAAATTATATTTAGGTATCGTAAATTAAAGTGGATATTTTTACCCGAGGACCTTTAAACCCCTATATTTCCTATATTTATATTTATTAACGTCCTAAAATCGAAATTGAAATTTTTCTTTACAGAGGTTTCTGAATATTTTGCCATACCTCAGAAAAAATTGATGTGTGTGTGTATGTGTGGATACAAATTTTTGTAAACGTATTAGCGGATCAGCGGACGGACGGACGGAACGGAACGGATTAACGGATCAGCGGATTTGAACGATTCAAAAAATATTCGATTCATATTGATAGGAAGATGTGCTGATTAGTTTTTGGCAAAGGTAGGTCCAGCCGTTCCGGAGATACAAAGATCAAGTTTTTTGCAAAATCCAAGCGTCCGATTAAAATGATTCAAAAAATACTCGGTTCATATTGACGGAGAGTTTAGTTATTTGCAAAGGCAGTTCCAGCCGTTTCGGAGATACTGAGCAAAAAGTGCAAATAAGAAAAAATCATCTAATTCAAAATATATGCTGTTTATGTTGACAGTGCGAATAAATGGTGAATTTTTGGAGTAGACAAAATTTATCCAAAATTTAAAAATAAACAGATTTTTTTCCATTTTTTTAACATTAAAATCATTATGATTTCAATTTGAATTCAGGCTAAATACATTTAATATTTTTCGAATATTTCATTGCGGTACGGGAAGTTCCAGAAATTTGCCTGAAGGCACGATGCCGTGCACCCCACAAATAGAATCTTTAACTTTATTGGAAAAGTTAGTAAGAAATGCCCTAAGAAAACAAAATTTATCAAAGAATTTTTTTTGCCAAAATTCCCGGAAAGGCACTATTTTTTGTGTCTTACATATATGACCATATATGAAAACCTCTTTCTCCTCCTACATATGGCTCATATAAAACTTCTTAGTGTCAGACAAACATGACTGACACGGCAATTAACGTCCTAATTATATCTTTGTATAATATTTCAGATAAGCATTTCTGAGAAAACAACTCGATTTTCTTATGAATCACAAGCAAACATGTTATCGCCGTGAAATAAATGTTTTCAAAACAGAGAAATATTTTTATGTTTATAAACGAGACCACGTATCGAAAATTGCCTTATATGTGCATATCGTATTTTCCAGATTGGTGGTGTTTAGAATTAGTCATAATGAAATAATCCTAATGCAAATCAGTAGAACTTCATTAAAAATTATTTATTACATTTGATAAATAATTTTATAACACGCGATTTATAAAACGAAACACGTCATATCTAATAATGATAATTCTACGAAAAATAAAAGAATAAAATATTATATTACTTGACAATAATATTTTTAAGAAAAATCGAGTACATTATTTTTTCAATAAATAAATGCTAGACTAGTTAAAAGTGGCATTTTGCTTTAGGACAAGTTGCATGAACTTCCAGAAATGCGTTATAATTGACTTATTCAAACAAAATTCAGATTTAGATATTTAGATCAACTGCACGAATACGATTTTTTACACAGAGAAGGCTCAAAAAATGGCTTTCAAACTTTGATATCGATTCAGAATGACTTGAAACGTCGAGAAAACATAAAATTAGCGAATCGGATTTTTTGATGAAAACAAACTTCTCCTTCGGAAAGTTTGTAACTAGTTGAAAGTGGCATTTTGCCCTAAGGCAAGTTGCAAAAACTTCCCGATATGTTTGATAATTTACTTATTCAAGAGATTTAGATATTTTAGAAAAAAAAAATCAACTGCTTGTTCCTAAAACAAAGTTCTAGCTTTCCAAATAGAAATACATCGATTGGCTTTTAAAATTTAAAAATCGGTCCAGCCGTTTTAGGGTGAAAGATTTACGAAAATTTTCTTATGTTTTTTTAGTTAATATTTTAAGATAACTGTCTTAGGATATGGACTCTATGAAATATCATAAAAAACCCAAAAATAAAATACAACATTTTATTACAAAGAAACAGCTCAGTCAATCTCTACCAAAAACTAATCACCACAACTCCCAAATAATATCTTTCAAACGATTTTTTAATTTAGGCTTTTGTTTTCGATTTTTTTATTCAATTTTATTCTGCAATCTGTATATATTATTACATTACATACAAAATAATAATTGTATTGATGTAAATTGTAAATATTGAATTTAAATGAAGTATCTATCTGTCTATCATTAAACAGAGAGTGCTGACAAGTATATGGTAAAATAAAGCTGATATCCCCAATAGAAAAACTACTAGAGCTAATTACAATTTCGAAATAAAAAAACTAAAAAGGAAGTATAAAAAACAATATAATATAGCAAAACTAAGTACAATTAATAGTTAATTATAAGGTCTTTAGGTGAATTTCTTTTAAGCCTGGTCAGCAGGACTTCCAGGTAGACTTGGCTTGATTAGGATGGACGTGTATTCTGTTTTGATAATTGTTGACGACCATTGTTATTTGTTCTAAAATGTTCTAGTTCATGTTGGCGTGTTTTCAAAAAATTGAACGATATTTTTTGCACTTTTGGCCGATGGTGTCACAAATTAACATCGAGTTACATCTAATTTTTAAAAAGGATCGGAGAAAACAACGACAAAAGTTGAAAATCAGCTCGTATAGTATACACATACACATATTTTTTACAAATTTGTAAAATTTCATTCGATTTGGAATAGCTTGACACGTCGAAACATAAACTCGGATTTTTTTTATTAAAACATAAACTTCTCCTTCGAAAAGTTAAAAATGATATAGACTAATGCGTTTCATGCTATTTTTTCAACCTTTACCTTAATATCTACTAATATCCAAATAATTTTATAGCCAATTAGCAATTATTAGTTTGAATCATTTCTAATTGTAACACCTAATATGTTTTATACAAGAATATTGGCACAATTTGTCTTATTATTAGGTTGAGATATTCCAAAAACATTATTATTAATCATTTGATAAAATTATTTAAAATATTATTTATTATCTACATCAAAATATTCAACATACATATTTTGGGTATATGAAAAACCAAAGAATTAAATCGCATTTTGTTTCTCAAAATTTCGCCAGTATTTCTTAATATATAAATATAACTAATTTAATGTTATTTATCATATTTCAATGCTGATGTCATTTTACAATCGATAAATCTTATAATCATATAAACGTAATTACTAATATTCGAACATTAGGATTTATTAGTCATCGTAGAAAATATCGAACACCAAATTAATGCAAATTAAACATTTATAAAATTGACGAATTAATATTAATAATTTAGACAACTATAAATTAAATTATTGTATTCTAACTATTTACAAAGCACATGCTTGAATAATAATATTTGTAAGTAATAAAAATATACTTTTTTTTAAATATTTTTAACATTTCGAAGAAGAAGTTTATTTTTTCGGCAGATTTATCTGATTTTGAAAGATATTAGTTGGGGAACGACCTAATTAGTTTTTAGTTAAGATTAGCTGGCACAAGTTTTTGTAATTAACTATTAAAAAAAAATCGACGATTTTTTAATTTCCCGAAGGAGTTTATGTTTTCATCAAAAAATCTGATTCGCTAATTTTATGTTTTCTTGACTTTTCAAGCCATTCTGAATCGAATGAGGCCAAATTTGGAAGACGTGTGCGTGTGTGTGTGAACAGATTTTTTACGGTAAATCGACGTTTTCTCAAAAATGGCTGGACCAATTTCATAAATTTAGGTCATTCGATGAAAATTGATAAGAACTCACATTGGTTAAATTATTTAATACGATCGGCTGAGCCGTTTCTTTAAAATTAGCAGAAATGTTCAAAATTTTTCCGACACGTTTTAGCCAAAAATTCTGCTCCCGTTTTAAAAATTTCTATTAAAACTATTAAAAATAATTGGGGATCGTGCTAATTAGTTTTGGACAAAATCGATTTGTCCGTTTCTTCGTAATTGATGGTTAAAAAAAATTCTCGAAGATTTTAATGAAAATTGACATGGGGAGTATCTGGTCTTAATGAAGATACTAAAACATTATAGCCCTACAAAAAGTGGTTCAATTATAAAATTTTATTGGAATTTGAATTCATTGTTCACACTCCTTTTTTTAGTATGTACAACGATTCTGTTTGTCTTCTAGATAAAAGTTACTCAAAATTTGCTCCTAATTATACGAGCCCTCACAAAATGGCCGTGGCGTTTGGTTATGTTTTTGAATAATTGTCTATTTTGTTACTGCAATATACACAAAATGAATACCCTTCAATCTTATAATTTTATCAACTTTTCTTCCATCCAACAAATGACAAAAAATAATTTATTAGGTCGTTACAGTGCAATGGTGTTACCCATTAAAGAAAACAAGAAGCTCCATATCCAGCAATAAAATAAAATACAAACCACAATCAAACACAAGTTCTTTCATAATATATTTATCATTCTTCAATTCATATATTCATACAATAATAATTCAAATCGATACATTCATACGTTCAACTCCACTATCTAACAAATTGTATAACAATAATAATTATATAAACATTAAATATTTTTTCATGGTAGTTTGTTGAATCACAAACCTTGTATGACGTCCAGAAGGGCATGAAGGGCTTTGGTACAAAGTGCAGGATGAGTGCTCCTGCTTTCTCTTATTAATTCAAAAACACTGCAAAGTCCTATACCTACAATCTGAAAAAAAGAACTAGCTGTAAGTGGAATTCTGTCTTAAGGCAATTAGGGCATCGTGCCTTAAGGCAAATTGCTGAAACTTCCCGTACCAAAAATTATTATTTTTTTAAAAACGATCAACATTTTTGAAAAAAAATTAATTAAAAAAAAATAGATTTGAGAAACTACAAATTTGACAAAAAATTACTTTTTTTTGAAAAAAAAAAATTTATATGAAAAAAAAAAATTTTTTTTTGAAAAAAAATTTTTTTTTTGGATACAAAAATTTTTTTGAAAAAAATGTTTTTTTCATTTTGGCATATTTTGGAAATTCTGAACTTTTTTTTCAAAGCAATCGCACTGCTTGAACTGCATAGAGACGAAATGTCAAAGCTCGCAAGTGCCGCGCTGCCGTCTAACGCATAACCATTGGTACGGAACCCATAGGAATGTAAACAAAATTTATACTTATTGTTAAAATCTCTATAAAATATCTGATAATTTGATGTGCATATGTCTAATGATAATTTTTCACCGCCGAATGGCATTATTTTTTACTTTTATTATTAGATCTCCGAAATCGCTAGACCTGCCACCATGAAAATTTGATCAAATTTACATCTTGTCAATACAAGTAAAATGTTTTTTGAATTATTCAAATCGGACGCTCCGTTCTCTTAAAAACGGAGGTACCGTTCTTGGCACTTTTTGCCCCGTATCTTCGGAACGGCTAGACCTGCCTTTGCCAAAAACTAATCAGCACGTCTCCTTATCAATACGAATCGAATGTTTTTTGAATTATTCAAATCGGTTGATCCGTGTTCCCGAAATCGTCGACGAAAATTTGTATCCGCACATACATACACACACATACATACATACATACATACATACATACATACATACATACATACATACACACACACACACACACACACACATACATCCATTTTTTCTAAGGTATGCCAAAATGTTCAGAAGGTTTTGAAACGTCGAGAAATGCAAAAATTTTCATTTTCGATTTTTTTGCGATTACTATAACTTACCCTACGGGAAGTTAAATATATTATTAAACTAGTTGCTAGTGATAACTAATTAATTAAATGAAAAAAATTCGACGATTTTTTATGATTTTTTGACAACAGATATCACGGTCTTATAGATCATACTAAAATAAGAATAACGTTTAATTTAAGGCTTAATAAAAATTTTATCTTAGAAATATGACATGTTTTGTTTTATGAAGCAATGAGTCTTTTCTCGACCCTTTATGGGCCCTCTTAACTTTTAGGTCACTTTCCAAATTTTTCAATATTTTACAAAATAATTGTCGACGTAAATAGCATGACTTATGGATAGAATCGCAAAAGAATGAATTTATATTGTGTGCAAATATTCTATATTTATTATGAGAGACAAATAGTGACATATAAAGATCAATGTTGTAGAGAGTGTCATTAGAGACAATAAACGAGTAATTAGAGATGAGGTGTGTTAATAGAGACGAACGAAGTTATTATAATTATGGATTTTTTGGTGAGATTATAATAAGATGTCAAGACAGCCAGTATGAATATTTATGACCTTTCCTAGGTTTTTCTTAGGTTAATAAAATTTTCATACACAGAAGACTCGAGGGTCAAATAATTCATTAATACCAAATAAATATTTAAACAGAATTTTTTGTTTTCCATTTACACATATAGGCTTATAATTACTGTTTTGTTATTCTCCTAATTTTTTGGATGTAAAACAAAAAATTGGACCATAGAGAATTAATTTATATTAACCATCGACATTTTTTATTTAATTTTTATTTATTATTTATTAATATTATTTTTAAGTAGAAAAAAATGTATGATATTTTTTTCTCATAACATTACATATTGTCATTCTTAATTCCTAAATTTTTATTTGTATTTTAAAAACAGATTGTAATTTAATCTTGAGAAATAAAAAAAAAAACAAAAAAATTCTGGAGGTTTTTTTATTATTGAATAGAGACATTACTTATCACTCAATAACCTTTACAAACTAATACTTTATGTAGTTTTATAGTTTAAATTTTCCTGAATAAGCAATATTATTTATTAATTTATTTTTGTGAACTAAAAATCTCCAAATTTTTATATATTTATATTATTTTTATATCTATGTTTTGTAGTTTTTTTTTAAAATTTCCTAAACTAGAAGCATTCTTCACGTTTCAATACATTCTGAATCGAATGAGTCCTAATTTGGAAAAAATATTTATATGTCTGTGTGTGAGCCGATTTTTTAACTCTTTATGTTGATTGATATCATGGTCCTAAAACAATAGTTTAATTTTAAAAATTGGTCGAAGTTCGAAAAAAATATGAAAGACGAGATTCGGGTCAAAAGTCGCTTTTGTGATGTAATAAGTCAAAATTAGAATTTCCTCAACGTTTTTCAAAAACCGATTTACAAATTTAAAAGCCATTAAAATAAACTTGATAAAGAGCAGTTATTAGATTTACGAGGAGATCAGCCAAGCCACTTCTTCAGCAATTATTCGAATTAACAAAAAAAAGTGCATTTTTGCACCAGTTTTCGCAAATATCTTAATATCTCAAGTTTACGGATTTGTGCATTACCAAATGAGTCTACAAAACTCCTCTAGTTGAGTAAAAATATATTACCAATAAATGAAATTATTAAATGATATCAAGGACTAATTACATGATTTACGAATCATGCCAATATTTTCTTATAGCAGATGCTTAATATTTCACAAAATAATTTATTGAATTTATTAATAAAAATGTTTCGACGTTTTTCATGAAATTTAACATTGCATAAAGTTCACACTCCAAGCAGTCCTAAAAAATTGGTTAAATTTTATAATAAAACATTTGGAATAATTAACTACAATTTTAGGACATATACAAACACGTGTGTGTGCACTTCAATTGATTTAATTGCAGATAATTTTAAAAAAAATCAAAGAAATTAATTCATCAATTTCGGTTGATTAAGACAATTATCACATCTATAGGGAAGATTTTGCAACTTCACTTAAGGCAAAATGCTAAGTTCATTTTTTATTTGGAATTATTTCTATATTTGTTTATAAGTAAACGTTAATAATTTTTTTCTTTCAAGTTTCTGAAGCAGAGAACGTCCCATATTCTTTTAAAGTAGAATAAATTATACATAAATGGAAAAAACGAACTTGCAGGAAAAAACGGATTTAGAATTATAAGACTGTAGTACGACTTGAGCAACTTTACCCTACTTCATTAAAAAAAATCATCAGATTCTTTCAAATATGAATAAAAAATAGTATAGAATATAAAAATGAAATGTAGTAGATTAAATGCTCTAATATTTCATCCCTTTGCCATTCAAAAATCCTCAAAGGTAGTAAATCAATATTCTAAATCACTTCGAATTTTGCAAATTTAACCTTTAGGAACAATTGTTAAAAGTCAATAAAACATGTCGAGTACCATTTCTTTCAAGATTTTCATAATACAATATTTAGGATATATTCGTATTTCTTCATTTAAATCATCATTATCTTTTAAAACAATTTTTGGTATATTTCTTTTATTATCCTAATCAGATCATTGCACTCAGTTGTTATTTAATTTGGCGTCGGTATGCTCGTTGTTTCTATTCATAAACAATCAAAAAGTTTACAATTATTTTAATGGCTTCGATTGTCTTTATCCAAATGTTGTTGTTGTTAAAGTCGATTGTGCCGAGTGGAAATTAATAGATAGAGCATTTTTTAAAATAACAAATAATGCAATTGTTTAAATTTGCACACGGTTCATGAAATTGCACGGATGTTTATGAAATTCAATTGATAAATATGATATTTGGATCAATAAAGAATGGTAAAGGAAATGGATGTTGTCATTCTTTGTTTTAATGCCCAAACAATTGTTTGTAATATTGGTTTGTTATTTTATATTTGTATGATAAGATGTCTCAGGTTTAATTAAATTTTCCAGAACTACATATTGGCTGTGATATCTAAAATTTGATTAAATTCCGTTTATACGAGTAGTCAGACTATCAATGCTATAGCATCCACGTCAAGTATTACACTTGATGATGCAAGTTGCTTGCCTGACAATAAGATAATTAATGACTACGGAAAAAGATAAGATAATACGAAGATACCTAAAGAATCGGTTAGTCATTACCTTGATAGGTATAATAATCACTAAAACGTAATGTTATATAGAATTAAATTCGAAACGATTGATCTTAAAATTTGAATGCTAAAGCATCCACGTCATTCTGCATCACAATGAAAATAAATGCTATAGCATTCACGTCCGGAAACGTGTTGGAATAGTAAGGAGTTGAAGTAGTAGGAGTTCAGCCTAGAATTTGAGCGGAATCGAACTTTAACTTCCCGAAGGACATAAACTTCTAATAATTTTATTATTTCTCGACGTGTCAAGCCATTCTGAATCGAATGCGACCAAATTTTGAAAAGTGTGTGTGTGTGAGTGTGTATGTGAACAGAATTTTTGCCATAAATCGATGTTTTCGCAAAAACTGCTGGGCCAATTTCAAAAATTTTAAATCCATTTTATGTAATTCGAATATCAAATACAAATTATGCGTAATCTTAATTTTATAAATATTACTTTGTTGCTTGAATATGAGTATGCTAATTGTCATAAAATATCGTTCTTCTGAAACACAATTGTAAACTTAAAAATCTTATTTTAGCAACTTTGTATTTTTCATTTTATTAACTTCCCGTAGGATAAGTTATAGTCGCAATGGCATATAATAAGATTAAGTTAAAAAAAATGCCATATTGGTGAATGATCGAAAAACAAACTGTTTTCTTATCACTTTTTTAGGGATAAGGCTAGTATATACTAGAGAGAAGTCTATAAAGAATATTCTCTGAAAATTTCAAGTAAATCGATCCAATAGAACTCCAAAAATCGTGGACATCGTATTGAAAATGACAGTTTTGAGAAAAACGCGTTTAAAGTTTCGCAAAAGGAAGGATTATCTTGGTCAAATAACAGTATCTCTGAAAAAAATTATTTTTTTGAAAATCTTCTCGTACACATATTCTTGAACAGTTAAACTTTGAAAAAAGAACGATTTTTGGGAATCTCTACATTAATTTTTCATTAGTTAATTGACAAGATAACCAGATAGATATATAGATAAGATAATAGGCTATATATTACTACTTTATTTCTTTTATCTTAACTAACAAGATATTTTGAAAATTTATTCCAATTTAAATTTGATCATTTTTGTTTTAGGTCAATTTTTGTTCAATCGATTGAAAAATATATAACAAAATTAATCTCTAAATGAATTTTAGTAGGAAAATCATTAATTTCACTAGTTCTGATTGAAATTTAAAATTTTCAGTTTTTTGAAAAAAAATATGAAATTCGGTATTTTAAGAGTAAAGATTTGTTGTCAGTGTAAAAAAAACGTAAATTAGTAAAATAATATATATAGTGTATATAGCATTTCGAATTCAATTTAGTTCAATTCCATTTTAAAATAACCAATTTAGTTCTCATTTCTAGAGCATTTTGCAGTTTCGCAATATTTTACGAACAGTTAAATCACATGTAAACTATTATACAAAATAAGAAAATTTATTGAATTTACTAAATACTTGTTTATAACGTTTTTGAACTTTTGGAATAAAATTTTATGGAAAAAATATTTTAAAAAGCAATTTTCAAGACGCCATGATGGTTTTACGTTTTGACAATATATAGTCTATAGTTCATTATGAATGATTTTTAAACTATATTTTATGCATAAGTTTCATTTAATTTTTCTGAACTAACTTTTCTAAATTTTTTTTGGCAAATAATACTTTTATTTAGAATTTAGAAATGTCATATTTCTGCAGTTTATATTTTTAGCCTTATTATCTAAGCAAAATTTATTCTCATCTAAAAAAAATAACTAGTGGTATATGGGTATATGGTAATAAATGTGTAAATTTAATCTTTGAAAAAATTAGATTTTTGAGATATACTAACTTTTTTTGTAAAAAAAAACTTTTGGAAATAAATGTTTTTAACTTTCCGTAGGGTGTTATTGTAATCGTCCAAAAATCTAAATTAACAATTTTTACATTTCTTCACGTTTTGAAGGTTTCTGAGCATTTTGGCATACCGTGCGTGTTTTGTATGTCCGCATTTTTTCGTCCACGTTTTCGGTTTTGAATGTTTAATGGTTGTGTTGATTAATTTTTAGCAATGGCAGGTCCAGCCGTTACGGAGATGCGGAGCAAAATGTAAAAAAATGGCATTTTTTGAGAGAACTAAGCATCCGATTTGAATGATTCAAGAAACTTTCTGATTGTAATTCTGGCTAAAGTTCTAAAGCTCACTTATGTACTTCAAATGAATAATTTTAGCTTTGCAATTCAGTTTATATAAATCTTATTAATACATATTAAACAATATTACAGTATTATTTGAAAACATTTAATATTCCTCGAATATTTCATTACGGTACGCGAAAGTCCAGCAATTTGCATTAAGGCACGATGCCATACACCACTAGTTTATAATGAAATTTGAAAGTGGTATATTCAAGTCTAAAATGTAAGAGTAATCCATTTTCAACTTGAAACAACCTTAGCCTAATATGGGAAGTACGGACAAAATGGCATCGTGTTTTGTTTTTTAATGATATTTATTTACTTAATGATATAATAGCCAGTTTCAATTGTTTTCGCCTATCTTTGGATCATTTACCACCAGTAAGATAGTATTTTAATTAGGTAAGAACAATAATAACATATTCATTAAGAAAAATTGCAACCAATTACAAAAACCGTTTGGTCCTGATAGTACGTTCAAAATAGCATTTAGGGTAAGGACATATAGTAAGATACTAATTTTTAAGAAGATCGTTTAGAAATAAATCGTTTGATCCTTTTTGATATATCAGAACATTACTTTAAGGCACATTAGGGTGGTCCTTAATATGAACATTTTCGAATTTCTTTGCTCCCAAGAGCTCAAATGAATTAATAAAATAAAATTCTCTAAAAGTGTTAGCTCTTAAATTATCATTTAGATAGTCCGATAGACATCTGACAAGATTGTGAATATAGCTTTCTTTACGTGATACAGTTGCGAAAGCTGTTACTGAAACTAGCAAATTTTTAAATAAGGCTTTTGTGTCATTTTGTACATCTATGCTATTTCGTCCGTATTTTTTATTATCACGAAGTATTAGTATTTTTTTTACCATACCTTTGGAATTTTAGCAGGTGTAATATCATGACTCTGTGTAATATCTTCGGTATCACTATCAATATCTATTGGTAGATCATTATTGGGGGTTGCTGCGCTGCTATTGACAAAAACAGCAGCAGCCTGACGCATCCATCTCTCTAAAATTGCTCCTCGAACAGCAAAATAAACAGCAAACTGTGATGCATTTGTTGGTATCTCAACATCGGGGGCGCAGGACACTGCCGGGTCTATTAGGGTACCATCGAGCTAAAAAAAAAAAGAAATTATTAATAGATATTTGGGAATAAGAGGATAGAAAATTCCCACACTATAATGTAAATTGTAATCTTGTAAATTGCATAACAAATTCAGAAAAAAATAATATATAGTAGGTATCCGCGTTAAAAGTACACAATACTATTTCAAGAATAGTATACGAAATACGAGGTCTGTTCAAAAAGTACCCGGAATTTTCGTTTTTTCAAAAAAATATTTATTTATTCGTCTACATTAATGTGGTCCCCTTCAAAGTAGTCCCCCCCAGATATAATACAATTATGCCAGCGTTTTTTCCAATTTTCGAAGCACCCTTGATATTCACTTTTTGATATGTCCTTGAGCACTCTCAGCGATTTTCTTCAATCGAGGAAAACCGCCGTCCTTTCATGGGTCTCTTCAACTTTGGGAATAGGAAAAAGTCACACGGAGCCATATCTGGTGAATTTTTGCACTTTGCAACACTTTATTTCATTTTTTACGCAAAATTTAATACAAATTCTTTGACTTTTCAATTCTTCCATTGTAAAAATCGCCGAGCTCAGAAAAACACGTCGAACCTTAGCGACTACCACAGACAAAGTAAACAGTGAATATAGCTGAAAATTTCATCATACTTTAGGGGCATGTATACCAACACAATAAAAAAAAAATTTTGACAATCAGACACTCCAGACCCGCGAAATTTAATTATTAGTAATTCCGGGTACTTTTTGAACACACCTCGTATATAAATAGTAAAACTGGTTAAGACCTCTGATTGACGATTCTTTCGAATTATTTTTAAAAAAATAATTAACCCTCCGTCGGTCGGATATTTTTTCACCTTCGAACGGTCGGAAAGGTCTGGCTGGACCACCATTCATTTTACATGCATTTATATGGGATAAATGAGTTTTTCGTGTCTTATATATTAACGATTATTAATAGTAAATATTTATAGTTTTGATTTTTTCTTTTTCTTATCGTCTTTTGCATGTGTTGAGCTTGATTAAAAATATTACATTATATATTATATTACAGAAATCTAGAAATATAAAAAAAACGTTGCTTTTTTTGTTAATTTTTCTGTTTTATATTAATATTTATTCTTTTTCGGCGCCTTTGAAATGAACGTGAAATTCAAATGAAAACGAATTGAGGTGCGTCGCCTTCGAAATGAGCTGTAAAATTCAAGTTGAAAATATAATTTCACTGCAGGTTTCCAAAATTGTTGATAATGTGTGCATTACTCATCCGATTTTCAGTGTTTGCGATTACCAATAAGTTTGGTAGGTTTTCAAGGAACTCTCGTCGTGAAAATACTAACATTCATGTTACGTAACATGTACAACATATAGCAAAGAATATATACAACGCACTTTGAATAGAAAATACCATGAAAAAAGACAAAATACTGGTTTACATATATCAAAAAGCGTATATTTCATACAAAATGTATGGGTGGTCTAGACAGACCTTTCCTACCGTTCGAAGTATAAAAAAGTTAATATCCTTATAATTATCCTTCTGTACATTTTTTCGTCCTGATTTTTTCATTGATCGATAGCTAATAAAATTTTAGGAAAAGTCAAGAAATTTCAAGTCGATAGGATTACTAGAAGTATTATTTTTTTTAAATTGAAGTCGAAAAAAGTCTGGCCAGACCACGCCGACCGACGGAGGGTTAACTTTGACGTACAACTTTGCATCCTCCGTTTTTGCAATGCAATTGCTTTACAGTAAAGGCGGAAGCAAAGTTGTATATTTTGATAAGTATTTTGAAGTACATCGAGTTGCTATAGAGCTTTATGATGTTAGACAATATCGTAGATTATTTAATTTAGTATAAATTTCTCTAATACATCATTCACATCAATCGAATTGTTTTGAAATTACTAGCGACAGAGAAAAACTTCTAATATTTTTTGCGTCAAAAATGGTAAAACTTATTTTTATTATTATAATTAATTTTATTATTTATTATTACTACTAACAATTTAGCAGTGTAGAAATCTTGTTAAGACCTCTGATTGAAGTTTAGAGAAACGTGAAATATTGTTCTATATTGTTCTTGGATTTTTCTACCCAAAATAATTGCTGCAATAATGTTGCTTATAATTTTTATAATCTCGTACCATATTAAAACTGGTTTTTAGTAATTAATTATGATACCTAAATTACACTTTTCTTAGTAATAATTTAATGTGCATTATAAACATGGACCCTCCTGGCGTCCTCAGCGCCCACATGACATTTTTTTTCTTGCAACCTACCCCCTTTTATTTTATCTGTTTTAACAGTTTATTATTAAAATTAGTATCATTAATTAATATTCGGCTTTCGAAACATTTTACTTATTTTTTTGGGCATTTTATGCGATTTATTCTATTGAGAAAATCATGAAGAGCAAAAAAAATCTAGCTTTTCATTATTAAACATAACCATAACATAACACTAGTACTTCATGTTGGATTATTTTAATTTGATTTTTTATTATTTAACATATCCAAAGTTGCATCTTAAACTTCTAATTGATATCGTAAGGGCCGAATTGTATGTATTCATCTTTACTTTCCCATTTGTTGTTTTAAAGTGAAATTTTTAATATATTTTAAGAATATTTGGCAAATATTAGTAAAAAATGCAAAAAAAATATATATTTCTTGAATTATATTGAAAAAAAAACATTGAAAATTTTATATCCAAAAATTGTGTTAGCGCCCCCTAAGACGTGCGCTCGCATTTTTCGCATGCATTATTTGCATTCAAAGTAGGACCGGCTCTGATTATTACCTAATTGCATATTTTAAGTAAATTAATTTGTCAAATCCTGTTCATATGTGTACCATTCAAACTGCCATACATATACTGTATCATATTATTTTAATTTCTGGCACATCTCAGGCGCCTTTTGGCAATAATAATGTGGCATGACTTTTTTTTTAATTCATAATCATGAATTTATTATACATATTCTAATATTATCTAGGCTCATAAGTAAATTGAAGTTTTTGGCATATGACAGTTTTCATTAGTTTTCAATGCCAAACAAGGTTTCAAATATTTTCAATGACAAACAATGACATGTCTTTTGCAATTTTTTCTATTTATTTCTACAATATTACTATATTTTCATAATCACATGCATCCTAAAAAAATCCTCTAACAAACTTCAGAAAGATTTATCACAATCCGAAAAATCGCTTAGGAAGAGAATATTTACATACATCATTACAAAAGAATTTTATATATAAGATGTGTGTGTGTGTGTGTGTGTATGTAAGACGATTTTTGTACTTTCGTCGACGTATTCTTAAAAACGACTGAACCGATTTCAAAATTTTTAAATCCAAGTCCTTTCTTTGTAAATAGCAGAAAAGTGATTTTTTGCAAAAAATGTATAGCAAATAAAGAATTGTGATAATTCATAACTTTCCAAAAAAAAAATTGTTTTCGAATAAAAATCCAATTGGCTAATTTTATAAAAATAAGCCAATTTTATAAAAAGTTAAAAAAAATTGTCATTTTTATCAAATGCCATATACAAATCAAATTTTTAGATTGTCACAGAGTTAATAATATTCATATACCAAAAAAATCTAATTTCGTTTTTTTCCTTAATTTTTGATATTTTTCAGGATATTCAAAATACTTGAATTTTTTAAAAAAAATATCAGAATATTAATAATTTCTGATAAAGTTTTTCAATATCCCTATAGCGTCAAGTACATAGGTACTTGAAACAAATAAATTTAACTTTGCAATTAAAATGTTTATATTACTTTCTGATTAATTCTCAGAAATATGAGTCAGGCCTCATTATGGTGACTTGATTCTAATCGAATGCGAATTTTGTTTATACCCAAATGTTTACATTACTTATGAACATATAATGGTTCATTTGTGCACTTATAATAGACGTCTATAAAATATGAACGATAACATTTAAATTAGATTTGAATTATATAAATATAAACTAGTTGAAAGTGGCATTTTGCCTTAAAGCAAGTTGCAAAAACTCCCCGATGGGTGGCTTACAACCGAAATTGGCTTACAACCGAAATTGAGATTTAGATATTTAGATAAAATTTTCAACTGGTTATTTCAAAAATCAAGCTTTTGCTTTGGAACTTCTACTGTATATATAATATTGCAACCTCATTCTAGATTAATAATCTTTTTTAAATTCCCGTAGGGTAGATATAGTAATGAGCCGAAAATCGAAAATTAAAATTTTTGCATTTCTCGACGTTTTGAAGGTTTCTGAACATTTTGGCATAGCTTAGAAAAAATGGATATGTGTGTGTGTATGTGTGTTTTGTATGTCCGCATTTTTTCGTCCACGTTTTCGGGCGCACGGATCAACCGATTTGAATGGTTCAAAAAACATTCGATTTCTATTGATAGGGAGATGTGCTGTTTTTGGCAAAAGCAGGTCCAGCCGTTACGGAGATACGGAGCAAAGAGTGCAGAAAATACAATGTGGCTATACGGGAGCACTTTTTCAATTTTTTGTAAATTAGGCCCAAACTATTTTTTTTAAATTGAATTCGAAATGAAATGACGATTGTTAATGTTCTGGAGATAAATTGATTTATGATTTATGATTTACATTTGATTCGCTCAGATATAACAAGATAGCAAAAATAATAAAAGTTACAGTATTTGTAATAATATATTTGAAAACGTTTAAAATTTCTCGAATATTTCATTACGCAATTTGCCTTAAGGCACGATGCCATACACCAATATTTATTTTTTATTTCTTATAACTAAGAGGGTTACAATCGTGGACATCGAATTCTTGAATATCTAAACTTTGAAAATATTAAAAACAAAACAAAACAAAAACAAAAAAACGATTTTTTGTAATTTCTACACTAGAATGCCCCCTTGATGGAAATAGTCAAGAAAATATTTTTTTTAAAAGTTAGTTACAGGAAAACGGCCCGGCCTATCTTTACCAGAAACTTATAAGCACGAATCCCATCCAATTTCTACGCAATTTGTCCAAAAAAAATATTTAAACCTTATTCTAGTATATAGCATTGCAACATCATTCTAGATTAATAAACTTTTTTTTCATTTCGAATTAATAGGAAAGTTGCAATCGTGTACACACACCGTTACGTGCCAATTTTAAAAATTATTAAGATTTTTTTCTGTACTCTTGTAACGTTGATAAATAAATTATAAAAAAACATAAACTTCTCCTTCGGGAAGTTAAAAATAATAGTAAAGAAATGTATTGCCTTTTTTACGATGATTTAAAAATTATCAAAAATTCATGTCTCTACACTAGAATAATCCCTTAATAATATGCGATGCCCATGATTTCTCCAGTTTCGGACCAATTTACTTGAAATTCTCAGAAAAAAAAAATTATAGACTTTTTTCAGGCTTTACTAGTCTCATCTCCAAATTTCAATTTTCACTATATAAAAAAAAAACAAAAATAAACTCAAAAAAGTAGTATGAAAATCGTCTTGGTTTTCAAAACCGTTTTCTCAAAAAAAATTTTTTTTGAATCTGATCCTAGTACTATATACCATGGCGACATCATTCTAGATTAATAATCTTTTTTTATTTCGGATTACTAAGAGGGTTGCAACGTGTACACCGTTACACGCTAATTTTTCGTACTAATTTTTAAAATCATTACCATTTTTTCTGTACTCTTGTAACAATAAATTATAAAAAAATGATAATAGATCCCTTAATAAGATATGTACTCCACGGCTGTCTGAAGTCAAAACAAAAATCAAATGCGTGCGCATTAACAATTTCGCTTTTGTTTATGCCAGGGTCGCACTAATTACAGGGACGTAATTGAATTCGTCGAATTACCCAAGTCGCTAAATATATTGAAATGCTACTAAATCGTTCCAGCACTTTGGAATTTATTTAAATTTTGGAATATTAAAAATAATTTTACTATTTACTAATTTAATTAGTATTTTTTTTTCTAAACCTTCATGATATTGCAAAAATAAGTTAAGGCATGTTTCGTTAAACAACTCCCATATTAGAGCTTATAAATTATTAAGAAGCCCTTTAGCTGGAGTTACACTCTCTATCAACTCATTTTGTTTAAACATAGTACATATCTAAGATCCTAGTCATCCTCATATTATTCCATATTTATTTTATTTAATTCAAAAGACATAGGACATTTCTTCAGGCCAATTGTTATAAAAGTATATAATATTTTGTAAATGTACAAAAAGCAAAAAAGACAAACTCAGTATAAATGTACAAAGACTATTTATGTGCAGTTACAATTTCCTTAAATATAATGCATTTATATTATAAATTATATAATGCAAATATATATAATATCCACGACATCCTCATATTTTTCCAAAATTTCTTACTTTAATTGAAGAAATGTGGGGCTTTTCTTCAGACCAATTGTAATAAAAATACATAGAATTTTGTAAATATACAAAAAGCTAAAAAAATGCGAACACAACACCATTAATGTTGCATAGTCAAAAATTCTAACATTAAAATAATTCTAGATAAATTCGCGTGGGTACATCGTTACTACACATTTAATATTAATTGTGTAATTGAAATTAGTAAGTATAAAATAATTTACTATCATGGGCCAAGCCAAAATGTTTCTATGATAGGACAGTCATTATAAGAAATGATGAAATTTGACATTTGGAGTTTCATTTTGCCATAGAGATTTGTCTAGAAAACTTCTAGTACCTCAAAGTTTGTATCATGTATTTTGCTCTTACGTGGAGGCATAGGGCGCCCCTTTGGCGTGTCGTATTTCAAAACACTCATATGTCGAGGGTCACTGTAGCAAGAAATTCGTGTAAAGTATTATACACTATTGAATTAGCAGACCTTACTTATAATAACTATATTATAAATAAGATATTACTTGATATAAGTAGTATAAATCACATTGATTGAGTTGCAGTGTAAACCAAAACAGTATTGTCAAAATGAACTTGAAAGTTTTGCCTAAAGCTAAATCTCGAATCTGATGGATTAAGTCTATCTATACCCTCTGGGAAATGTATGCAACTTGCTTTAAGCCAAAATCAACTTACAACTAGTTTTTGCATCATTTTTGTCAAAACAACCCGAGTGTTAAATGTTTAAGGAAGTAGTATAGACCTATCCTTCATTGACAGTACATCTTTACTTTGACATTTCTACTCACAGTTTTATAAATCGCCTTGCTCTTCAACCCCGACTTATTCTTATTCTTCTTAGACTTGTTTTTCTTCCAAGTGCCCCCATGTCTCCTGCAAACCAAAAACAAAGTCAAAACACATGGCAAAAACCAACAAAAAGAGTCCTTTACCACCTAACCTTTTGGCATCATTAGTATTTTCAAACAATCCATGAAAATACTTCCCAAAGTTCTCGGGCTGCAAAAGCGTATCGCCCAAACCCATCGTGGCCTTTTATTTTTGCTTCCGATTAATAAAATGAGTCATATTTGTCATGGGAAAATCAGGATTTATCGATTTTATCACAAACACCTGTAAGAAAGTATTAGGTTACATATATCTGTCTTATCTGATAAAGAAGCTGCTGTCACTTACAAAAATAATCGATTGCTAGAAAGTTGTTTGATTGATTTTTTATTATTATTTTGAACTGTTAGGTAATAACATCGCTTAAATTTGGCAAATGCTTTTTATGCGAAAACCACCGCTCAAAAAAAGTGAGGTTAGGATTACGATTTGTGTACAAAGTTCGGAGCGGAGTGAAGTTAGGCGCGTGTCCTAGGGCTTCTGTCAAGTGAAAAAGGGCGGTTAGATTTGAATTTGAAATATTCAAACTGAATGTTATGACTTAAGAGATTAATATATAACTAATATGTTTTGCTAGAAATATAGAAATAGAAATTTGCTAGATGAATATCTAAAAGAAAGAAATAACTTAAATTAAATTATATATGTTAGTGTGCGTGTGTGCGTATGTTTTTATGATTTGCTTGTATTTTATATTATTATTTCTCTAAGAAAATTGAAGGTTTTAAACATACAATTTGTATTTTTATTATAAATTACATACAAATATTTTCACTTTTATAATAGTTTTAAATATATTTATTATATACATCAAAATAGAATACAAAACTAGTGGTGCATGGCATTGTGCCTCAAATTGCTGGAACTTCCCGCAGTGTAACGAAATGTTCGAGGAATATTAAATGTTTTCAAATAAATTATTATAAATACTAAAACATTGTCTGATATTTATTTATAAGAATTATATAAACTGAATTACAAAGTTGAAATTATTTGTTAAAAGTATATAGTCAGAATTAAAATTAAAATCTGAATTTATTTTTTTACAAAAAAAAATTTAAAAAAAATGAGATACTTTTTTTCCGAGAAAGGTTTTTGAATCACTCAAATCGGATGCTTATTTCTCTCAAAATCTGCAATTTTTTGTACATTTACCTCTGTATCTCCGAAACGGCTGGATCTACCTTTTCCAAAAACTAATCACCTCTTATTCCAATCATTACAAATTGAATGTATTTTAGATCATTCAAATTGGATACTCCGTTCTCTCAAAAACTCGATTTATATTTTCTGCACTCTTTGCTCTGTATCTCCGTAACAGCTGGATCTGTCTTTGCTAAAAACTAATCAGGACATCTCCCTATCAATAGGAATCGAATGTGTTTTGAATCATTCAAATCGGTTGATCCGTGCGCCCGAAATCGTCGACTAAATATTGTTTCCACATATACATCAATTTTCTCTGAAGTATGCCAAAATGTTCAGAAACCTCTGAAACGTGAAGATACGCAAAAAATTCATTTTTGATTTTTGGCCCATTACTATAAACCCTATAAAAAATTAAAAAAAATATCTAGTTGAAAGTGGCATTTTGCCTTAAGGCAAGTTACATTAACGATATATGTAAGTCAATAATAAATCAATCTATTAATTTATGAATGATTTATAAATATTCTGAGTTGATTTATGGCATATTATTGAAAATCAAACACGTGCCTAATACAACTCGCATTATTTTCTAAGAATGTTAACGATTAATACAAATTTTAATATTTTGTTATAATTGAACCACTTTCCGTAGGACTATAATATTTTAGTATGTTCACTAAGATCAGGTTCTTTAAGGCCATGCTGATTATTAAAATCTTCGAGAATTTTCTTTAACAATTAAGTACGAAGAAAAAGTCTGGTTGAACTTTGTTCAAAACTATTCAACGAGATTCCCAAATAATATCTTTCGAACGGTTTTTTCCAAACTGGGTCCCATTCGATTCACAATGACTTGAAACGTCGATGGAGCAAATCATCTCCAAGTTAGATTAAGTATGTCATGATTTCATATACAAAAATAAAAAAGTGTACAAAAAGTAAATTGTTAATTGTTGTCTAATAAAATCATCGTGAATTACAAAGTATTGAAATTTAATTAAAACTACTAAATTATTTATTGAAATCGATAAAAATTAGCAAGATGGGGATGATTTCGCGAAGTTAGTTTCAAAAAGTTACAAAATTTTAATGAAAAAGAATGTCTGTAATAAAATAGCAAACGTCTTGGGTCTTGATGAAATTGATATATAACAATGAGACCTTGATATATAAAAAAATATTTCTAAAACAATAATGCCAATGAATTTTAAAAGTAATATGAAGAGCATAAACAAAAGAAATTCGTAACATGAAATTTAATGCTCAAATAAACGGAGTGTCCCAGAGCTTAACGTTTAGCCAAAACAGATAGTATTGTCTGTCTTGATCAAATTGCTGGAACTTTCCGTACCGTAACAAAATGCTCGAGGAATTTTAAATGTTTTCAAATGGATTATTATAACATGAACGAAAAATTGTATCCATACATACATACACACACACACATCCATTTTTTCTTAGGTATGCCAAAATGTTCATAAAACGTGAAGAAATGCAAAAATTTTCAATTTCGATTTTTGGTCGATTACAATAACTTACTCAGCGGAATGTTAGAATAAAACTAACTTGGAGCTTTGCTAAAATTGTGATCATTTTTTGATCATTGTGGTTAATTTTTTACCAATTTTGTTCATTTAAACTTTGCAACCGTAACTGTGAATAATTTTTCTAGGTTCGCAGTAAAAAATATTTACAGATTGAACTGTGAATTTAAATTTCTAAAAATCGGTCCACTTTGAGAGGCCACCTTCTTTAAGAATGTACCAAAGTGTATTGGCAAGTTTCATAAACAGTTGGCGCATTTAATAAGGATTGTAAAATATTAAAATACTTATAATACAGATAATATTTTTTTTATTAAAAATTTTTAGTGGCTAACGCATTTCGCTCACAATCATTTAAAATGTTTCTAGGACTTTTAATTCAATTCAATATGCGATGTTGAAGCAAAAAGTCCTAGAAATGTTAGTTACGATTACGGTTTCAAAGTTTATTTAAACCAAATTAATAAAAGTCAACCAATAATAACCAAAAAATGGTCATAAATTCACCAAAGCTCAAGATTGAATTTAAAGCTTATAAATGTGAGATATTTTTTTTTCTAAAATATTTTAGGCCACTTAAAGACAATAGTATCTTTAATTTTGCCTAAAATTTAAGGTCTGGAACAGAATAAAATAAGAAGAGTAAATATAAAGTAATATATAGTAACTTACCATACAAGTACTTCAAACAAAACACAAAAATGACTAATGGTGGATGGCATCGGGCCTTGAGACAAATTGCTGGAACTTCCTGTACCGTAATGAAATATTCGAGAAAATTTAAACGTTTTCAAATATATTATTACAAATACTGTAACTTTCACCATTATGTTTGCTATCTTGTTATATCTGAGCAAGTCAAATGTAAATCACAAATGAATCAATTTATCACCAGAACATTAATAATCGTCATTTCATTTCGAATTCAATTTCAAAAAAAAATAGTTGCCTAATTTGCACAAAATTGAAAAAGTGCTCCCGTATAGTCACAGTCTAAACGCATTTGCAAATAATGCTGTGCGACATTTTCACCTATACTGTGCTTAGCTTGGCGGCATTTTCACATTTTTCAATAGTTTTCAAAAAATTGGATAAGTGCTCCAATAAAGAAACAGTCTAAACGCACTTGGGTAAACATTTGTACCATAGTGGCGCTCAGACTGTGTTTAGCCTGGGTAATTTTTTCAATTTTTAATCCAAAATTACAAAAATATTTTATGGAAAATAAAAAAGATGTAACATTTTTTTCAAAAGCAATTGTTTTGTCAATACAAGCAGAAAGTTTTTTAGATCATTCAAATCGGACGCTTAGTTCACTCAAATACTACCACTTTTCGCACATTTAGCTCGATGTCTCCGAAACGGCTGGACCTACCTTTGACAAAAACTAATCACCACTTCTCCACATTATTACGAATTGAATGTTTTTTGGATCATTCAAATCGGATGCTCCGTTCTCTTAAAAGCTCGATTTCTATTTTCAACACCTTTGCTCCGTATCTCCGAAACGGCTGGATCTGTCTTTGCCAAAAACTAATCAGCACATCTCCCTGTCAATAGGAATAGAATGTTTTTTAAACCATTCTAATCGGTTGATCCGTGCGCCCGAAAACGTAGACGAAAAACTAGAAATAGACATCATTTTTTTCTGAGGTATGCCAAAATGTTCAGAAACCTTTGAAACGTGAAGAAATGTAGAAATTTTAATTTTCGATTTTTGGACGATTACAATAACTTACCCTATGGGAAGTTAAAAATAAAATCATTGTCAAATAAAATTTACACTGAAGTCCGCATTTCAACTACAAATTATTCAAAATTTCAATATCCAAATATAAATAATCCTATGGACTTCAATATACTTATACTTATTAATTAAACAAATTAACATAATAATTAAACATAGTTTATTCAAACTACTTTTCATAACAACAAATACAAATTACGAATTAACAAATTGCTTGAAAACAGGAATGTGTCTTAACTACTTAAATTGTAATTTTTCCTGTCGCAAACATTTATTATATTTTTATATTTATCAAAATATGTTTGTGTATTATTAAATGCAAATAGAACTTTCGAGAATTAAAACATGCTGTAATAAAGTACAAACAATTTTTATTATTCTTGTGCTTAACTAATTTATAAAAAAAACAAACTTATGTTAAACAATTACATCTTAACAATGAATTTATTGTCACAAAAGTAATAAGAATTAAAATACCGTTGTGCTAAAAAAATCTTATTATTACACATATCAAAAAAAATTCAGGCACACATACAGTTATAACAAATCTATATAAATATTTCTCGGGGTGAAATATATTTATAAAAATAATTTATAACAATTCACACTAATGTAATACACAGTCAATTGAGGGTGTATTAATAATTGTAAAAAGTTGTTTCGTTTTTACATTTGGCTTGTAAGCATTTTTGTGTTATTTTATTCGTAGGCTTAAAATTTTATAAAATAAAGGTATATCCTTGAAGGCACCTTGCAAAAGAAATAATATACATATTAGGGTGGTCCTTAATATGGACATTTTCGAATTTCTTTGCTTCAGAGGGCTCAAATGGTTACAAATTGATAAAAAACAATTCTCTGAAAGTTTTAGCTCTTAATATTAACTCTTTATTTATTGCACCTCTTGTAACATTGTTTTTTTTTTATTTGATTTACTATTTTTTATTTTGCCAGAGTAAAGGTCCAGTTGGTCCTTTTTACCCCACCCACGTGTAAGCTTTTATTGTGGTTATATAAAAACATGTGTAAAATCTAACTTAAAATTAACAATACATCTTATAAAATAATTAAATAACGTATATTTCAAAATTATATTAATGCCTAGTGCGCAATTTTTTCAGTGCGCAAAAACATTTTCAAAAATTAAATAATAAATAAAAACAAAGAAATTTTAAAAATGTTTTCAGATATAATTTAGCAAACAAATAAATGAGTTGTATTCAAAATTCGACGCTTCACAAAACAAATTATAAAAAACCTGTTTAGCAGAACGTTGAATTTTCAATAAAAACTGACACGAATTTTTACTTTTAATTCATTTGTCGCTAAAAAGACATTTTTTAAATTTTTGAAAATTTTCCCATGTTATTTCTACTTTGATTGAATTGCGCACTATCTAAAAGTTAATATTAAGAGCTAAAACTTTCAGAGAATTGTTTTTTATCAATTTCGAACCATTTGAGTCCTCAAAAGCAAAGAAAACATGAAAATGTCCATATTAAGGACCACCCTAATATATATATATATATGGTGGTCCTCAATATGGACATTTTCGAATTTTTTTGCTCCCAAGGGCTCAAATGGTTCCAAATTGATATAAAACAATTCTCTGAAAGTTTTAGCTTTTGATATTAACTTTTAGATAGAGTAAAAATTCGTGTCATTTTTTATTGAAAATTCGACGCTCTGCACAATTTTTGAAATTTTTTTCTTGCTATTTCCATACAAATCTCTGAATTGTGCTCTATCTAAAAGACAATATTAAGAGCAAAAACTTTCAGAGAATTGTTTTTTATCAATTTCGAACCATTCGAGCTTTGGGAGCAAAGAAATTAAAAAATGTCCATATTAAGAACCACCCTAGTATATATTTTATATATTATTTAAGCTACCAAGGTGCTAATAATGTTAAAAAATACAAAAAACCATACAGTTTTATATTTACATATAAGTATAATAATTTATATAAAAATAAATCAATATGTACAATATTAATTTTTGTATTTTCTAAGAATTATTAGCACCGATAATACAATTATTTATAAACATACTTAAATATAAGTATGTCAATTAATAATTAGCAATTAAAGTGTACTGTATATTTAGAAATATCACAAAATACAGTTTACACAATATTTAAATTCCAAAATAACTTATTTTCTGAATCGCTCTGGCTTTCAATTCAATGATCTAAAATAAAAACATCAATTTTTTACTACTACTTTTTTACCCTTAAGCACCAGTTGTGCTGTTCATTAAACCAGAAACAGTTTCATTTACAAGAGCCATGGTGGTTCCATTTAAAACTGGTGCCTGACCAGGACCCGATGTGTACATGGTGACGATATCGTTGATGGCGCTCTGAGATCCGAAAATTAAGGCAAAAATTCCGAAAACGGTTATTACGACGTTTTTCCAAACGACCCAGTTGAATTTGCCGAATCCTTCCTCCCAGTAGGTCACCGTTTCGATCATTACGGGCACCAGGAGACCCAGGATTGAGAAGCAGAAGGCGCCGATTAAACCTGAAAGGTTAAAGATAAGGGGTAAATGATAGAATAGATTAAATAGGTGTAAGTGAAACTTTGCTTTAAGGCAAGTTGCTAGAACTTCCTGTAGTTTTTAAAAAACCTTAAAATTTTGTAAAAATTGACTTTCTTGAAAATATTGATTTTCTTATAGATCGATTTTTTTTTATGATAAAATATCTGTTAATTTGACGTGCATATGTTTAACACGTTGCCGCACACTTTTAATTTCACAATCGTGCATAGAAACACACTTTTTTTTAACTTCCCGTAGGGTAAGTTATTGTAATGGGCCGAAAATCTAAATTGAAATTTTTTACATTTCTCGACGTTTTGAAGGTTTCTGAACATTTTGGCATACCTCAGAAAAAACGGATGTGTGGTGTGTGTGTGTGTGTGTGTATGTATGTATGGATACAAATTTCCAGTCACTGCGTTTCAGATTGATAAAGGACACAGTAGATTAAATAGGTTTTTTTGTATAGCGAAAGAAATGTCTTTATGCACATCCCAGACTAGAAGATTAAATAAGTGTATAAATAGCATTTTGCTTTAAGGCGAGGAGCAGGAATTTTCAATTACAAGTCAGCAATAGACTTAAGTCATAATTAACTTTCTGAAGGAGAAATTTGTTTTCGTAAAAATTGTTTTATTCTGAATCGAATGAGACCAAATTAGAACTGGTTGAAAGTGGCATTTTGCCTTAAGCCAAGTTGCATAAACCCGAAATGTGTAAGAATTGACTTAATCAATCGAAATTGAAATTTATTTTTTATTTGCATAGTTTTATTGTCAATCAAAATAATATACATTTAAAATTTAGATATTTAGATAAAATTTTTAACTTTACGATTACATATATTAATGATATAACAATTTATACAGCTAGAAAAGTTCTGCAGACTTCTTTTTCCGATAATTCCATAAAAATGACTTAAATTAAATGACACAGAAGCGACTTCTGACATTTTTTTTAACTTGAGAATAAGAAGTTTATGTTTTCATCGAAAAATCCGATTCGCTAATTTTATGTTTTCTCGACGTTTCAAGCCATTCTGAATCGAATGAGACCAAATTTAAGAAAAAGGTATCTGTATGTATGTGAACAGATTTTTTGCCGTAAATCGACGTTTTCTCGAAAACGGATGGACTGATTTCAAAAATTTAAAAGCCGATCGATGTATCTCAATAAGAACTATCGTTTGTCAGTTTTGTGCGACGATCGGCCAAGCCGTTTCTTTATAAATAGCAGAAAAGTGAAAGTTTTTTCGTCCACGTTTTAGCCCGCAATTCTGAATCGATTTTGAATTTTCAAAAACCGTTCGAAAGATATTGGTTTAAAATCGTGCTGATTAGTCTTTGATAAAAGATCTAAGAGTTTCTTGGTAATTATTTGTCGATTTTTTGACAATTTTGGTGAAACTTTAAATAAATATAGATTTCGTGGTATGCAATGAAATACTGAAATATTGGAGACCTACGATGAACAGTTGGGTTATTAAAAATCATCAAAGTTAGAAATCCACACTTAAGATGGCATAAAATTCATTTTTGAAAGTTCCTAAAAATAAAGTAAACAAAAACAAAATTTTTAACTTCCTGTAGGGTAAGTTATAGTAATTGTGCAAAAATCAAAATTGAAAATTTCCATTTCAGAGATATGGAACTAAATATGCCAAAAATGGCAGTTTTTGAGAGAACTAAGCATCCGATTCGTATGATTCAAAAAACTTTCTGCTTGTGTTGACGAAACGATTGTTTTTGAAGAAAAAATTTCTTTCTCATTTTTTTTTAATTATCAAAAAATTTGTTTTTTATGAAAACAAAATCGGATTTTAATTTTAATTTTAACAAAAATTCTAAAGCTCACTTATATGCCCCTCGAATATTTCATTACGGTACGAAAAGTTCCAGCAATTTGCCTTAAGGCACGATGGCATGCACCACTAGTTTCAATTGAGCTAAAAAATTATCAAGATTTAATTACTAAGAAATGTACCGTCTGATCTTTACCAAAAAATAATGCGCACGATTTGCAAACTAATGTTTTTCAAATTTTCAAAAATCTTTGGCTAAAATGTGAACAAAACTCTTTACACTTTTCTGCAAAATATAAAGGAACGTCGTGTAAAACTAACAACCTTAAATTAACTTAAATTTTCTAAATCGGTGCAGCCGATTTTTAGAAAATCGTCGACAAAAAGTTAAAAATCTACCAATGTACACACACACAACATACGTATTATTAAGTGTGTGTCAATCGTATCAATTTTGGTATCAAACGATTTGTAATGATTTGAAACGTGAAGAATATAAAAATATGAAATGGGATTTTTTCGCGTAAACAAATTTCTCTTTCAAAAAGATTGAAAAAAATATCACAAAAATTATCATCAAATAAAATACGAGACAAATTGCAACGACGCAAAGTAATTTAATATTCCCTATAAAAAAACATGTAAAGATCGAAGATATTCTTTTCGTAGGCCTCGTATTTTATTTCAGAATGTTCAGTTAAATAAGACCAGAATTTTAATTGATTGTCTAATTACGGAGAAACAGTCCGGCCGATCTTTACCTCAAACTGATCAGTATCATTCCCAACCAATTTCTTTCGAACGGGTTTTGAATTTTTAAAATCGACTTAGGATTGCGGGTTAAAATGTGGACAATTTTTTTCACTTTTCGGCTATTTACAAAGAAACGGATTCGCTAGTCCTTATCGAGTTACTTCGATATAGCCGTTTAACAAAAATTATAGTCAAAAATTGGCTCACATACACACAAACACAAATTTGGTCTCATTCGATTCAGAATGACTTGAAACGCCGAGAAAATATAAAATTAGCAAATCCAATTTTTTGGCGAAAGCAAGCATCTGCTTCGACAAGGTAAAAAGCAAAACAAGACAAAAAACTTCGATTTGATTATTCATCTAGCAACGAACGCCAAACGAAACGAACGCAAACGATCAAAAAAACCCTTGTTAAAGATTGGCTACGAAATAGCCTACTATCCAATAAAAATAGGTATTTTACATTTGATCTACGGCAGCAAACATAAAAATTTAATTGTACCATCATTAAGCTAAAACCCGCACTTACTTAGTTGTCAACCTAATATATCCAATGGCGTTAGTGTTTTTATTTTGCAACAATGCTCACGAAAAGCGATTTCCACTTGAATCTCTTATTTGATATCTATATCCTCAAGTGTTAATTTACTATCAGATTGCATGATACCGAGCTGGTCGAGGTTGGAATCAAAATCGGGGCTACTTTGTACTATACCACGGCAAACGATTCTAATTTACTATTTATGTTTAAAAATCATAATTATCTGTCTATTTGTTTACCAATAAACGGTCCAATAGTCGGCACTGCCACAGCCACCACGACGGCCAAAGTCACCAAAACTGTCCTCAGAATGTAGTTGACCAGCAACGGCCTTTTTGTGAAATTGTCCTTGATGGCATTCCATACGATTTCAAGGCACACGTAGAATTGAAGACCAAAGGTGCAATACACAGCAAGTGCAATTAAAATTTTAACCGATTGAGCCAAACTGCAAACAAAATAGAAATATAAATAGGAAATTGGATAGCTTGAAATTGTATTGTTTATCTTAACTTACATTTCATCGGTGGGCAAATTAAGAGTGATGGCTCCCAACGTGGAATCACCATATGCCACATAACCCATAAAACCGAGCAAAATGTAGATCAGGGTGACACCGGACATACCCTGGTTCAAAACACCACACAAACCGACAAAGTTCTGAGGAGTCTTCATCTGGTTCTCTAAAGGCATCACCTACAAATTATAGAAAAATATTATTTATGTTGAATATGACGGATATCATTTTCATGAAAATACTATCATTTATTTTGTACTCTTTTTTATTTTATATTATGTTATTATTCATTATTGTTACTAGATGTTAAATTATTTAGCAGTAATTAAAAAAAAATTGAATAGAAGTAATAATAATTAAGGCGTGTAACAAGCAAGAAATTTGGTAAAAAAATGCATAAGCATTTCTAAATTTTGAATTGTACACATTTAATTAAAATAAACGAAGTAGAGGTTTTGAATTATAAGAATGGTTATTAGGAAAGAGATTATGCAACACAAGATTAAGATGAAAGTTGCACAATACAGTAGAAGTATTAAAAAATGCCTCTTTAACGCTATAGCAACTCATTTTATTCAAAATTTTAATATAAAACAGTTTTTACTGGATTTAAGTAAATTATATCTAGTTTTTACACATATAAACAAATAATGTCCGAAATGAAAATTTAAAGTTATTTGAACCAAAGTAAAAAAAATGTTCTTAATCCCTACAATGCTAATTATGAAAATACTAAAGAATGCATTTCAACAATTCATATTTTTTAAAAATTAACAGAACTTGCTCGTCAATAGAGTCCTTTTTTTCTAATATTGCAAGAATTTGCTCGTCAGTAAAGTTCTTTTTTAACTGGAAAAGTCAGAATTTGCTCGTTAGTAGAGTTTTTTTTTTCTAAAAAGGTCAGTATTTGCACGTCAGTAGGGTTTCTTTTTTTCTTTTATGAAAAAGGTCAAAATTTGCTCGTCAGTAGAGTTCTATTTCTTGTAGAAATGTCAAGAATTTGCTTGTCAGTAGAGTTCCTTTTCCTAAAAAAGTTAGAATTTGCTTGTCAGTAGAGTTTTTTTTTTAAAAAAAGTCACAATTTGCTCGTCAGTACATTTCCTTTTTCTTCAAAAAAGTCAGAATTTACTCGTTAGTAGAATTCGAAGACAATTTGTCAGTAGAGTTTCCTATTTCTAAAAGTGCCAGAATTGACTCGTCAGTAGAGTTTCTTTTCTTGCTAAAAATGCCAGTAGTTTCGCCGAGAAACTACTGCCATTTTTAGCAAGAAAAGAAACTCTACTGACGAGTCAATTCTGACGAGAAACTTTCTCGTCAGACATCTTTTTCAAAAATTCCAGAATTTGATCGTCAGTGGAGTTGTTTTTTAAAAATTCTAGAATTGGCTCGTCAGTGGAGTTCTTTCTTTCTAAAAGTTCCAAAATTTGCCAGAAAGTAGAGATCCTTTGTTTTTAAAAAAGTCAATTTTGCTCGTCGGTAGAGTTTCTTTTCTTCTAAAGAGGTCACAATTTGTCAATCATTGGAGTAGAGTAGAGTATCTTTTTTAATATAATAATTGCTCGTCGGTTTTATTCATTTTATATAAAAATATAAGAATTTGCTCGTGAATAGTTTTTTTCAGAATCCAAAAATGTTAGAAGTTGCTCATCAATAGAGTTCCTTTTTTCTGAGATTGCCAAAAGTTGCTCGTCAATAGAATTATATTTTTTATTCCAAAAATGTCAGAACTTGCTAGTCGGTAAAGTTGTTTTTTTTAAAAAAAAATGTGAGAATTCGCTCGTCTGTAGAGTTTCATTTCTTATTCAAAAAATGCCCGAATTTTCTCGTCAGTAAAGTTCCTTGTTTTCTAAAAATGACAATATTTACTCATCAGTAAAGTTCCTTTTTTCTAAAATGGACAAGGTTTACTTGTCAGTAGGATTTCCTTTTTCTTTAAATAAAGTCGGTATTTGCTCGTAAGTAAAGTTCTTTTTTTTCTTAAAAAAATGCCAGAATATTCTCGTCAGTAAGAAATGCTTTTTTCTGTAATCGCCAAAAGTTTCTCGTCAGTAGGGTTTCTTTATTTTCCTAAATAATTTCAAAATTGTCTCGTCAGTAAAGTCTCTTTTTTTGTTCTAAAAATATCAAACTGCTCGTCAGTAGAGTTTATTTATAAAAATGTTAAAATGTGCTCGTCAGTAAAATTCCTTTATTTATAGAAAATCCAGAATATTTATTTTTTTAAATGTCAGAACTAGCTCGTCAGTCAAGTTCTTTTTTCTTCTCTTAGAAATGCCAGATTTTGCTCGTTTGTAGAGTTTTTATTTTACTTCTAAAAATGACAAAATTTATTCGTCGGTAAAGTTATTTTGTTCCTCCTCAAAATGTCAGAATTTGCTCGTCAGTAGAGTTACTTTTTTCTTAACATGACGTCAGTATAGTTTCTTTTCTCTTGAAAATATTCTAGAAGTTTCTCGTCAGTAGAGTTCCTTTTTTTAATAATGTCAAGATTTGCTCGTCAAACAAAAACAATCAGCTAAAACTCTTTCAATATCATAAGTAAACCGAATTTAAAATTAGTGACATTCAAACTACATATGTGTATTAGGGCGGGTCGATTTGTATGGGTGAAAAAAATCACATAGGCACATATGATATTCGTATACTAGGGATCAAAATAGGATACTTTGGCGAAGAAACCATATCTGTAAAATGAATTCTGATGTCCCGTGCATTCACCCAAAGATTGGGTCAAATTTTAAAAAATCCTGTAAATTGTGTATATAACTATGTATTAACAGTGCATTTATATGTTCTTTATCATCTTACCACTCCGATGGCCTCCATCGCGAATATGCTAATACTGAAGAACTGCGGCCACAAATGGGCCTCCGCCACCAACTTTCGATCGGAGATTTCAGAAGTCTCCATTACCAGATAGTAGAAGGTTATACCTAAACCTAGACCCATGAACACATTGGCCAACATGGAAATTGGGGCCAAATATTTCAAATTTGGCACCCAGCAGAGCAGGATCAGGGGCAGGAGGAGGACTGCTATGTAGATCCTGTCGTCTTGGACGTTGCCTGTGTGGTGTTCTATCACCTAAAAATAAAAAAAACTAGTTTGGTATTGGTATTTAGCCTTGAGGCAAGTTACATAAACTTTCCGATATGTGCAAATAATCGACTTCATCAATAATAAATTAATTTGTGAGTGATTAAAAGTATTCTAAGTGGATTTATTACACACAATTGAAAACGAACGATCACGTTAACTCGGAGTATTTTCTAAAAGCAAATTTTCAAAAATCAACAATTATTATATTTGAACCAGTTTCCGTAGAACGTTAATGGTTTAGTTTATGTTCCTTAAGACCGAGTACTCTATCGTTATACCAAGTAAATCGTCTAATTTTAATTTTAACAAACGTCAACAAAACTATTAATTTTCTCAAACTTTGATGAATTTTTAAAATTAAACTACTTGTCGTAAGGCCGTAATATTTCAGTAAGTTCTATAAGACCATGACCGCCAATAAAAATCGGCTTGAATTTTTTTTTCAACGGTTAATTACAAGAAAATAGCTCGGTAGATTTTTACCTAAAACTAATCAGTATCATTTCCAACCAATATCTTTCGAACATTTGTTGATTTTTTAAAAACGATTCGGTAGTATGAGTTTAAATGTGGACGAAAAGTTTAACACTTTTTTCAAATTACAAAGAAACGGTTTGGCAGATCGTCGCGCAAAATTGATAAACTATAGTCCTCATCGAGATACATCGAATGGCTTTTAAATTTCTGTAATCGGTCCAGCCGTTTTTGAGATAACGTCGATTTACGGTAGAAAATCTGTACACGCACAACACACACACATACTTTTTCCTTAAATTTGATCTCTTTCGATTCAGAATGGCTTGAAACGTCGAGAAAAGATAAAATTAGTTAATCGGATTTTTTGAAAACATAAACTTTTCCTTCCGGAAGTTTATAAATTTTAATAAATTCTTATAATTCATCTTAAATATAATGTTTTAGTATGTTCATTAAGACTAGATACCCTACCATCATGCCAATTTCGCGAGAATTTATTTTTAAACGATGAATAACGAAGAAACATCCTGGACCATCTACAGGATTAAGTCCAGGATTTCCAAATAAAATTTTAATTTTTAAAATTTGGTTAGAATCTTTGGCTAAAACGCGGCCGAAAAGGTTTGAACTTTTATGCCAATTTTAAAGAAACGGCTCAACCGATCGTATCAAAATACTAACAAACGGGATTGCAAAATAAATTTAATCGAATGACTTAATTTTTTGCAATTGGTTCGCAAAAAATGCAAAAAAATGCTTCTAATTTTTTGAAACTTTGATGCATTTTTTAAATTGAATCACTATTTTAGTATGTTCTATAAGAAAATGATATCTATCATCAAAGAAGTATAAAAAATCAACGAAATTTTGTTTCGTTAATTACACAAACACTAAACGAAAAATACAAAGAAACGATTCAACCGATCATCACGCAAAACTAATAAATGCTAGTCCTAATCGAGATACATCGAAAGATTTTTTGTAATTGGTTTTTGAGCAAACGTCCACGAAAGGTCAAAAATCGATTTACACATATAGACACACACATTCTTTTTCCAAATTTAGTCTCATTCGACTCGGAATGACTTGAAACGTCGAGAAAACAAAATAAGTGAATCGAATTTTTTGGCGAAAATAAACTTCTTTTAAATTTTAAAAGGATTTTAAAACAGGAACGAGAATATTAAAAAACAGCTCGGCTGATCTTGTATAAGAATAATTAGCGCAAGTTCTAATTGAGTTTCTTCATGGCTTTTTTTACATCACGAAAGGTAATTATATTTGCTAATTTTATGTATTCTCTACGTCTCGGACATTCAAAATCGTTTGATACTAAAACTAAACCTATGAAAAGAATGCATATATTCATGTGTATGTGAGCTGAATTTGGATTTTAGTCCACGTTTTCTCAAAAACGCCCACACAGACTTCAAAAATTCAAAAACCAATTGGAAAAACTGGTAATCAAAACTCCAATTTTATCTTATGCTAGTTTATATCGTAGCTGTATATGGCATCGGTTTCAATTAGAAATTTTTGATCCATGTAATTCTTCAATTATATAAAAATTTATATATTTTTATACCCTTACATGAACTCTTCAATTGTAAAACAACATATAATTTATTCTATCTTTGTACTTATTTATTTCTATATAACGCGGTACAAATGATGTGATTTGTACCAATTCTGAGTTTCTTATAGCGCGGTTTCCATATTACACGGAACGCACACATTATAAGAGGGTTAATTGTACACATGTGCCTAAGGAATATTTCAGTTTCGATAGCAAACGACTCAGACTCATAGTCTTTATTTTTCATAAAACTCTTTTCATTTAAGGCGCGCATTTGGTTCTTGAAAAATCGTCTTAACAGGGTTTTCTTGTTTATTATTTTGCTTTCGTTCCTTAAATTACCTGTTGGAAATTCTTGGCTACAATCACAGAGTACACACTGCATGTTCCGAAGTATGTCAGGAACAGGCAGTTGAGAATTAAAAGTCTGCAAAGAAAAATTAAAATTGATAAATCTTGTATACAATATATTATCGTTAAATACTAAAATTATTTATAGACTTAAATTGATTTAATATTACCATATTTATAGTGTAAAAAATTAACGTAAATTAAGGTAAAGTTATTTCAACTTTATTCAAGATTATTTAATTGCTGATTAAATTGGTTGTAAACACTACTAGGTTCAAGGATAAAATAGAAGTCGCTTATTGTAAAACTCCTAATGTCCTAGATATTTTGTCAAAAAATGTTTATGAAATATTCATATGAAAAACAACGATTTTACATTAAATAAAATACAAAAATGTTGAGAACAAAACCATCAAAATGTAAATTTACTCATTTTATTGTAAATTGAACATTAAGACATTAAAATTACACTTACACCACTTGAGTAAGTAACTAGAAAGACTTAAAAGAAATAATGCTTTAAAATACCAAATTATTTGAACTACAAAATATAATATACTTCAGTATTTTATATAATTGGTGTATATTTTATACCTAAATCCGTAACCATATTTCCTGGTGGGTTCTGGACCCTTTTGGAAAGCAACTTCTGCTACTTCTGCAAAACCCATGGCCGACACTCTCGTCCTCCTGTATAATGTGTGTGCGCATTTTACCTAAAAAAAAATAGTCATAAAATATATAAGTCAATAATGTATATAGCAATATAGCAAGATAAATGCTGATGATTGTATCCAGAAAGAGAAAAAAAATTTAAATTGCTGGTCCAAAATATTTCTATGAATAGAAGATGTATCAGACATCATTCATTCTTTAAAGTGGAAGACTAATTTATTATTTATATTTATATTTATATTTATATTTATACAATAGATATTATATAGTACATTCAAACATGATAACTAAAAAAGTATTATTCTTTTAACAAATATTGATAGTTCTCGTAATATTAATTCGAGACTGAATTACAGTTGAAGTACAATGACTATTGAATTACAATTTCAAAGAAATAAGTTCTTTATAAGAATTTTTCTTTGTAAATAAATCTTTTTTCGACTTACCAATACATATGAGCAGTGTGTGCAGATAAAGGCCACCAATATCGTGAAAAAGATGCCCAAAACCAGTCCGCAATTCATGAAGGCGAAGGGCATCGCCAGGATGCCGGTGCCCAATGAGGCCTTTAGCAAATGTGTCAGGGTTTCGCCATCACTAAATAAAAAAAAAAATTAAATTATAAAATCATATGACATAAAGATATCTGTCAGTTTTGATGAAAGTACTTACGTTGTGGGATGTTCCAATTTTCTTTCTTTAAACGGATCATAGTCTCCTGTTCTTAAGGCTTCTGCGTCTTTTTGGGATACGTTTACTTTGTACCTAGAAAAAAGTGTAAATAGAGTCATTTGCAAAATATAAAAAATGATTATTGTAGTAATAAAATTTGCTGAAAATTAATAAACAATTATCACATTATTAATAGTATGGTTTAAATCTTTTGAAAAAATATTGATGCTGAATAAGAGGGCATACATTAATCACGTGAGCTTTTCAAAGAAAAGGGTTATGTTATATTTTGACAAAAAAAACACGAAACATCAAATCGTGGAGTGAAAGGTATAGCAAGATATCACGTGTATCTATTTTTTACCAGAATTTTTGTTGAAAAAAATTCAAACATTTTCAAAAAAATCAAAAATTTTACAAAAGAGGATAATTTGTCACTATTTTTTAAAATTTTATAATTTTTTCTCATAATTAAAAATACACGTGATATTTGGTGGGGAAGGGGAAGGGGATAATTTTGAATATTACCAAGAGCGAGGAAGCTCCAAAAATCCTTAAAAAAATCGATCTCGTGATTTATGAACGCCTCCTAATTAAATTGAAAAGTAAATTAAAAAAAAAATTCACTTAAATAGTAAAGTAAACATTAGCTCTCTTAAAGTAAGTTTTTGAACTATTTATCTAAAATAGGTTCTACTAAAAAATTTATTTGATAGTGAATAAAAATTCAACATAATTTTATTAAACATATTATACAGGCAATTTTCTTTTGTGTAAGTTTTTTTCGGTTTTACTGTTTAGAGTCGAAATGAAAAATCACTAATTCAACACAAAATATTATGTAATAAAATTTGCTGATACACAAACTATTAGACGAAGTTTTTCAAAATTTAATTCGTAAATTGATTTTTTTTTTCAAATAATTACATTTTTAAATAATTAATAATTCATTTAAATATTTATGTTTCTTATTATTTGAATAATATACAAACCATTGATGAATTTTATCAAAATTCCACAAGATTACTAGATGACAAATAAACATGAATATATTCCACATAGAATCTTGAAAATAATGTGACATTGCAAATCGACAAATAAACGAATTTCATACAATATAAATAAACAAAAATTTATTTTGATCCTATAATGACCATATAACTATAACTATAAAATTTAGCATGAATTAGACAAATTATCAAGGTTAATAAACAAAATGTGGAATAATAATATTAGTTCACATTTTAAACAATTTTAATTTAATTATATTATACTTGAAAGAAAAATTAAATTATTTAATAAATGTATTATTAAATTATCTTGTAAAATATTTGAACGCTTGTTACTTTAAAATAGTCAAACATTAAAAATGCATTTTATTAAACATTTGTTAGCAAAACGTATAAGTTGCATTTTTTGTATACTTTTAAATTATTTGCAAATTATAAAAAATACTTGCAAAAAATAGTTTGTTTGATAAATTAATTAGAAGTAATTTGTTATTTTTTATATTATGAATAAAAATAAATATGTTTTATAGTAATCTTAATATTTGGAAATAGTTTCATTATAGAATTAACAATTCATAATGACAAACGTTTAATTATTTTAATTTGTATTTTTATAGATTTTTTTTCAGGAGTTACATAACAAAAGGCATCGCAAATTACATAGTTCATTAAGCGCAGAATTTGTTTAATAAAAATTTTACACTACACTACACTAATTAAATTAATTTATTTATTAATAAAAAAATGTATTTGATAAAAAAAATGAATTTTATCCTATAGAAAAGCATAAAACATGTTTTAGCTATAAAATTTGAACATTTTTATGGTTTCAATATAATTAAATAATATTTTAATTAAAAAACCAAAAAATTAAATTAATTTTAGCCATGAAAATTATATGTTTAAGAGTAACAGTTATTTGTGTAATTGTTAAAATTAGTTATTCAATGTTTTTACTATTATTATAAACGTTTATTTACGTTATTCTCGGAAAAAATTTAGCACACTAAAAATGTTGAACATAAATTAGTTATTAACTTTCATATAAATTATTGTTTAATTACTTATTATTGAATTTTATTTATGTAACGATATTTTTAAATATTATTTAGAACCAACTACAATATTCGATAATATAAATTTAATGAATATTTATTATATCATTAGATGCAGATTTTAACAACCAAAAAACACGTAAACAATTATTCACACATGTGTTAATTTAAATTATTAATATTATTTATACATTTAAATAAAAAATATAATTTATAGCTGAGAAAAATGTTAATCGAACATTACTTTTCCTACTTATGTTAAATATTTTAAATTTTAATTAATTGAACTACACTTAATTAAATTAATATTATTTGTTTCACGATACGTTTTATACTTAATATTAGATATTCGCACAATTAAATATTCAAAAATATTAATTTATTATTACCCGTCCATAATGTTTCCAATCCTCAAATTGCTCTCATAGAATTTCCCATTCGATTTAAAATCCATATTAGACGATTCGAAAACATTAAATGATGATTTTTGCATAAAATTCCCAAGCAGACTGTTCGAAAAATGTTAAAATTCACAAGAATCGTATTAAAAGGATTATGTAATATTTAGCTTGGACCGAAATGTATTAATATTTGGAAGACAGGGATGTATTGGAAAGAAATATATTGCAGATAAATCATAATAAAACCTATGTTAGAAGTGTTTCATTCATTCACTGTTTCATTAAGTTCTGTTTTTTTGCTATTTTAAAATATTATTATTTTTAATTTCTAGAATAAATTAATAATTGAAAGACAGGACTGAAATAGACCTTTTTTCATTATTTACCAATTTAAACAGTAACAGTCAAAGGTTCAATTATTTCATATAAAATTTCTTGTATCCAGAATTTAACATTTATCAGCATTCAACATTTACATTTTTCAAAAATTTTCACAAAATTAAATTCTAAACGCGTTTGCTAATATATTTGTGAGAAATTGTCACCTAGACTGTGGTAATATTAAAAATTTATTTTGCAATATTTTATACAAAATTGAAAAAGTGCTCCCTTAAACTCACAATCTGAACACACTTGCGGAAACATTTGTACCGGATTGTCACTTAGACTGTGCTTATCCTTGTCTTATTTTTTATACAATAAATTCAATAATTTTATTTATTCGAAATAGTAACTTTATTGCAAAAATGTTTAGTGTAGTGGAAGAAACTTAATTATTGTAAATTTGATAAATAATATTTCTTTAATTTTTGTTAATTTAAAAATTGTGTTAATAAAAATATTAAATAATGACTTGAAAAAATAAAAAAATATTATAGTAATTATTATTAAAGAAATATTATGGAAAAAATCATAGATTTGATAAATTTTTGAAATTAATTTAATATATTAAAATTTGCTAAAATTGCGTTAAATGTAATAGTGTTGTAAAATTCAATTTCATTCTACAAAATCGATCTCCAAATTTTTTTTTCTTAGACATGATTGGTTGGTGCACTTTTATACTTTTTATTCTATAGATCGTTATATAATTAACTTAGGTATCCAATATATTAAGATAATTTCTAGATAACTAAGTTATCTTAAACTTCGTCCAATATAATAGTGTTGTAAAATTAAATTTCATTCATCAAAATCGATCTCCAAATTCAGACTTCTTATACATTATTGTTTGGTGCACTTTTATACTTTTTATACTATAGATCGTTATATAACTAACTTAGGAATTCAATATATTAGGATAATTTCAAGATAATTAAATTATCTTAAACTTTGTCTAATATAATAGTGTGTAAAATTTAATTTCATTCATCAAAATCAATCTCCAAGTTTAGACTCCATATATAATGCTGGTTGGGTGCACTTTTACACTTTTTTTACTAAAGATCGTTATATAACTTAGCTATCCAATATATTAAGATAATTTTTAGATAACTTTATTATCTTAAATTTCATCTAATATAATAGTGTTGGAAAATGAAATTTCATTCATCAAAATCGATCTCCAAATTTAGACTTCTTATACATTATTGGTTGGTTTTATACTTTTTATACTATAGATTGTTATATACCTAACTTAGATATCCAATATATTAACATAATTTCTAGATAACTAAGTTATCTTAAACTTCGTCCAATATAATAGTGTTGTAAAATGAAGTTTCATTCATCAAAATCGATCTCCAAATTTAGACTCCATATATAATGCTGGTTGGTGCACTTTTATAATTCTTATACCATAGATCGTTATATCTAACTTAGACATCCAATATATTAAGATAATCTCAAGATATCTAAGTTATCTTAAATTTCATCTAATATAATAATGTTGTAACTTAAATTTCGATTTTGTTTGTGGGAAGTTAATTGTTGGATTTTATCTCAAATTTATTAATAAAATAATTAAGGTTTCAGCAAATTTATTTTCCATATAAGATTATCTTTCAATATTATTAAAAATATTAAATTAATATATTAATATTGTATAATAATTTACTACTCACTTTCCATCAGCTTTGTCTTGAGGTAAAAATGTTTCCAGCTCGTGAGGCGGCTGGCCGTTCGCTTCCTGAAAATAAAAAAAATATTAGAAAAAAATTTAAAATAAAATTCAAAATGATCAAATAGATAATTATAATAATCAATTTAGAAGAAACGGCTCGTCATATCTATATCAAAAACAAATCTACACTATTTCCTATAGTATCTTCCGAAATCGTGAATACGTATTTTGTTTCTAATAAAATTGTAAGAATAAATGATGTGTAAATTTAAAGGTTTGCTTAATATAAACTCAATATTTGCAATTTTTGTGTCAAAGGATTCCGAATGACCTGGGACGTCCGGAAAATTGAATTTAGAAATAAAACTTCAGAAAGTTAAAAAAAATTTGTTGTACAGTATTTTAACCTTAGAATATGTTAGAGAAGACAAAACACAATTTTAAAGATTTGTTTAAACTAATTAATTTTTTACTCACCGAAACCATCTTGATTAGTCTTGTCTCTCAAATGCAGTCACAGAAAATTAATCTGAAATTAAAAGAGCATAACTTAACAATGATCAATCTATGATTAATTATTATTAACACATAAATCCAGCTGCAACAATGATGATTATTTTATTTATAAAAACATAAAACGCTTGTTTAAAAACATTCTATTGTTTGTTGCTATTTCTCTAACGATTTGTTTTTGTGTTTAGTGCAATGACTTATTTAGGAAGCAAATCGGATAAAATTTGTTGACATCAGAGAAAACAATGAGATAATGAGAAGTTCACTGGCACAGAGATCAAAATTGTTAAATGGATGCATATATATATATGTATATATATGTATATATATGTATATATATGTATATATATGTATATATATATATATAACAATACAAAACCCATTTATTATAATATGCCATCTATTGAAGACGTTTTTGTCTATTTTGCTAAATTGCTAAACCAGGAAATATTTTAATTTCAGGAACCTCTTTATATTCTTTCAAAGAAATGTTTTCAAAACTTAAAACAATCACTCCTCATAAATTCAATATGAACTTAGTTTATTCAATTGCTTGTAAAAATTGTGACAAACAATACATTGGTCAAACATTGCATATCCACAAGAGACAATATGAATTGAGTGTTATTCACCACAAAAACCTAAATTTCCAAAGCACTAGTCCAACCTTCCATTGAAAATTTTGAACCTAATATTTTATATAAAGAAGATTGCACTTTTAAACCACTGTTTTATGAAAGTAGTTCTCTAAAATATTACACACTCCAAACAAATTTTTTAATGGAAATAATATGGATAAAATTTCATTTGTTTTTTAGAATTTTATAACTCAGCAACAAGCGAATCAAAATTTTGAGAATAGCATTGTATTTGCTTATTTAGATCACCAACAACAAAAATTCAATATATTTCATAAAATACATATTTACTTAGGAAGAAGAACCAAGAAACTTTGGTTGGTGAGCGGACTATTTTGAAGTTAATATTAAGAGCTAAAACTTTTTGAGAATTTTTTTCATATGTATCAAAATGTTAGTGTAGAATTTCAGATACGAGCCGTATTCTTTGTTTGTATCTTAGACTGAACCTGTCATTTCTTACTTGACTGTGTTCATTTCCAGATCTATATGAACCAACCAGTTTGGGGCATACTTCGGAGCGTTTATAATTTCTTTAAAAATCCTGTTTTGAATTTTTTGCATTACGGCGATGTTGGCTTTGCATGCCGTCCCCCAGAGCTGTATTCCGTAGGTTCAAATTGGTTTTACCACAACTTTATATAACAGTTTATTCAATGCACATTGTTGAGATTTTCTGTTCAAGAACAAATGCAGCTTCCTTCTCATGGCTTCCAGCTGTTGACGTTTTGGAATCAAAGTGCAAGACCAATTATTTAACTACATTTGTCTTTTGCAACTTTTGGTTAAAAAATACAACAGGTAGCAAAGATTTCGAGCTGTTAACATTGAATCTCCAAAGTTTGAACCAGTGTTCAATCTTTAACAGATGTAATTGGAAATGAGATTTACATGTCTAAGTGTCTACTTATTAACTTCCCGTAGAGCAAGTTATAGTAATCGCAAAAAAATCAAAAATGAACATTTTTATATATCTTTACCTTTTAGAGGTTTCTGAATATTTTAGCATACCTTAGAAAAAATGGATTTGTGTGTGTATGTGTATGTATGTGCGTGTATGTTTGTGTGTTCGGATACAAATTTTCGTCGACGATTTCGGGAACACGGATCAACCGATATGAATAATTCAAAAAACATTCGACTCGTATTGATAAGGAGACGTGATGATTAGTTTCTGGCGATAGCAGGTCCAGCCGTTCCGAAGATACGGGGTAAAAAGTGCCGAAAACGGTAACACAGTTTTTAAGAGAATGGAGCGCCGATTTTAATAATTCAAAAAACATTTCACTTGTATTGACAAGATGAAGAATTAATCAAATTTTCATGAAGGCAGGTCTAGCGGTTTCGGAGATCTAACATAAAAAGTAAAAAAAAATGCCATTCGGCGGTTAAAAATGATCATTAGACATATGCACATCAAACTATCAGATATTTTAAAGAGATTTTAACAATAAATATAAATTTTGTTTAAATTGCTATGGGTTCCGTCCCAATTTTTATCAGTTAGAAGGCGACGCGGCGCTTACGCGCTTCGATATTTCGTCTCTATGCAGTTAAAGCAGTACAATTGCTTTGAGAACAAGTTCAGAATTTCCAAAATATTTCAAAATAAAGAAAACATTTTTTTTTAAAAAAGACTTTTTTCAGAAAGTCAATTTTTTTCAGAAATTTAAAATTTCTTAAAAATGTAATTTTTTCAAAGTTTAAAAAAAAAACTTAATCTTTTTTATAAAAAATAATTTTTCGTACGGGAAGTTCCAGCAATTTGCCTTAAGGCGCGATGCCATACACCATACACCACTAGTTTTACTTGTTTCACTGCAATTTCAAAATCTCTGGGCATACTTTTCCAAAAATATGATAAATTTTTTATTCCCTCAATACAAGTAAAATGTTGTTCGCCTAAATTCAAATCGAATGCGTTCTTTTAAATATTACTATTTCTGGGCTCGTATCTACGAAACAGCTGGACCTGTCTTTGCCTAAAACTAATTAGCAAGATTCAACATCAATAGAAATCGAATGCTTTTTGGAACATTGAAATTGGTTGGTTCGCACACGCATCCATTTTTTCTAATGTATGAGAAAATGTTCAATTTTAACAAATCGTTGAAACATAAAGATTTTACAAACATAAAAATTTTATTTTTGATTTTTTTGCGATTTATATAACCGACTCTTCAAACCGAATAAAACATGTGAGAAAAAAAAAAGTGATAGCTGATATCACCTGGTGCTTCTATAAAGCAACGTACCATCTTCTCCTCCTGCCCTGAATAATCAAGTTCAAATAACCATATGCACAATTTTTTATTTTAGTCTAATGTCTAGAAAATGGGTCAAATCGTTTTTTTATGTCGGATTAAAATTTTGGCGTGGGAACACAAAACAGTGTCCAATGTTACGTGGAAGATTAATTGGACATCCTGAATTAAATTCATTGACCTTGATACTAAAACTTTTGTGTGTCTCTGGGTTAGAGATTTAAATTTTTTTGGCAACTATCTTAGGAGATAGAAATACCATTATATGATTTATTGCAGAAATTAGTATTAGAGTAATTTATCTTCCATGTCTAATTTCCACTATGTCACAAGGAATAGGACTATCAAAGGATCGACTTTTAAGTTTAATACTACTTTTAATTAAATTTTTGGTTTTGGTATTCAACTGTTCAATTTATTACCTTTACAAATACGTCAACTAAGCAATCATAAATTCCACAACGTTTTAATTAATTTACTAAAAGCCAACAGTTTTTATGACATTTCTGAATATATTAATTTTGACTTCAAGAAATACAGTGGTACCATCCCCTTCATATTATAAATATCTATTGTAACTAATTATATGTGATATCTTACAAATACAGCAATTTTTGGCTATAACTGAGTACTACTTAGCTGGGAAATATTTTTCTTCGTCTCAGATACTGATCTTTTTTTCAGAAAAGCTTCTAAACTTTTTAATAATTTCTGCGAATTAATGGATATACAGGACCTCAACTTTTGAAGATGCTCTTAACGAAGACGTAATATCAAATTTCATAAAATCAAGACACAAAATTAAATTAGTTTAGCACTCCTTTATTTGTATTTTTATATTTGGTTGTTTTGTTATTTAATTGTAAAATTGTGAATTGTATATTTAATATCTAATATCTAATAAATTAATAATTCCTCCAACGCCAAAGACCAACTTTTATTACTTTTCTTCCTTCGATTAGTACAATTTTTAAATGGGCAGATCTAAATGTAACTTTTCACTGAATTGACCACATTATCTGTTATCTGATATGCGGTTTAGTGGTAAAAGTGTTTGTTACAAAGATAACAGATAGAAAACCGACTGATCAGTGAATCAATAACAAATTTTGTTCATTTAATTAATTTCAGTAAATGTTATCAGTAAAGTGGGAGTTTGATAATAGACATGGGGAAGTTACGGTAACTCGATTCTAATTGAAAGTTATCGGATTTACCCACCAGATATCAAATATTTAGTGGTCGAGGATTTCATCAATTCGTCTACCAGAAAACGGTACATTGTTATTATAAATTATAATTTAAACTAGTGGTGTATGGCATCGTGCCTTAAGGAAAATTGCTAGAACTTCCCGTACTGTAATGAAATGTTCAAGAAATATTACATGTTTTCAAATAGATTATCTTATATATAAAAATGGAGCTCTCTATCAAATGATGCGCTAAAACTCGAAAACGGTTAAACCGATTTGGCCAGTCTTGAAAAGTTCGTGCTAATCACTAGGTTGTCGGAAAGGTGAGATAGTATTTCAAAATTGCGTAGAAACTTTACATCTTTAATTTGAACATTTTTGTAGAAGCGTTAATTGAATAAAACAATGGACGGTGGCTAATACGTCAAATGTCAAACGTTTTTGACAGATAATGTGCAATTACGTTTAATTGGATGTTTTACGTGAATATTATTTAATTATGATTAAATTGTAGTAAGTAGTTTGTAGTTATATTTATACACAAAAACGTTATATCAACGAATATATTAACTTTTTTAATTTCCCGTAGGGTAAGTTATTGTTATCGTCCAAAAATCGAAATTGAAAATTTTTGCTTTGTTTAACAGGTTTCTGAACATTTTGGCATACTTTAAAAAAATGGATGCATGTGTTTATGTGTGGATACAATTTTCGCCGACGATTTCGGGAGCACGGATCAACCGATTTCAATGGTTCAAACAACATTTGATTTCTATTGATTAGGGAGATGTGATGATTAGTTTTTGGCAAAGGCAGCACCAGCAGTTTCGGAGATTCGATGCAAGAAGTGCAGAAAATTCCAATTCAGTTTGCGAGATAACGGAGCAACCGATTAGAATGATTCAAAAAAACAGTTTAAGT